AACTTTAGTTGTTTTCATTGTGTGTAGCAGCCGCTAAGGTTGGACGTGTTTTATGAGCTCGGCGATTTTTCGTTCGTTAAAAAAAATGGATCAAAGAATTTGTATCCAATTTTGCCTTAAAAAAATGAAATAAATTCTGTGAAATGTTAACAAAGGCCTATAGTGAGTCTGCTATAAGTAAAACAAGAGTTTACAAGTGGTATAAGAGTTTCCAAGATGGCCGTGAAGACGTTGAAGATGACGAACGCCCCAAACGCACAAGCACATTAACAACCGATAAAAACATGGAAAAAGTGGAAGAAATGGTTATAAACCATCAGAAAAGTCGCTGATGATGTTGGTATATCGATTGGCTCATCCCATGAAATTTTTTCGAATGTTTTGGGTATGAAACGCGTGGCAGCAAAATTTGTTCTAAAATTGTTAAATTTTGAACAAAATTTTTGACCAAAAACAATACTATAATGATGCCCCAGCCTCCATATTCGCCATACATGCCTCTGTCTGACTTTTTCCTATTCCCAAAAATAAAGGGAACCTTAAAGGGCCGTCATTTTGCAAGCATAGATGACATTAAAAGCGCATCGCTGAAAGAACTAAAGGCTATCCCAAAGATCGAGTTTTAGAAGTGTTTCGAGTATTGGAAGAGTGCATAATATCCAATGGGACTATTTTGAAGGCGACAACATTAATGTAGACGAATAAATAAATATTTGTTTCAAAAAACGAAAATTCCCAATATTTTCTGAACACACCTCGTACACCCTGTGAAACAAAGGTAAAATTTATCCCAAAGTCCCACAAATATGCTAGAAGGGTAATATTGAATATGGTTTTTGAAAAAACTAATAGGATAAATAATAGAATATCTAAATTATCAAAGCATTAAAAAATCACATTCTGATAACTTTTTTCCGCCTTGTCTCTAGACCTTGTTTTGACAAATAACATTTTCTAGAGAATGATATAAAGCCTAAATTACCCACAAAGGGTATGGTAAGTAATTTAAATGATGGTACTTAAAAAAATATTAAAAGTAATTTGTGTTGGGCAATAGCTGTAATAATTAGAAACATGTCATTTATTATGAGCGGGCTAATGGTCAAATTTAAATTTTTAAAGACTGGTTATGTTAAATACTGCTTTAAGGCATGTTAACATAAGGTTATAGGTGTTATTTCTAAATAAAAATATGTGTCATATATATTTCAAGCATAAAATTGATAAATTGTGCATAGTATTAATTGATTTTTATGTTATTTATTGTTTCTTTTGTTATCATTAGAAAACAGTAAATATATTTTATAACTTTTTAATGTATTTTATATCGTTATCGCTATTATCCCAAATAAATATATATTACTTAAATGGAATCAAAACAGGAAATGCATTTTTGCTCTTTTTTATTTTTATTTCTTTCAGGTAATTCGTCTGGTGCCAAAACGACAATTGTAATCTACCTCTAAGAGATGTTTTAGAAATAGATAAAAAGTAAAAAGCATTCCTAAAAAAATACAAAAACAACAAAGAACTGTTTTTATTCCAATGAGGTAGGTAGGTACTTAATCAATTTAACCTAATATAAGCACCTATCAGACATTATAAAAGAGTTAAATTATTTTTTTGTATCGGCTTCAATCTGACAAGATATTTCGTAAGCAAACTCACAGATAAAGTTCGATTCTATTTTAAGGATTGCCCAATAAAAATAACAATCATCAACCTTTGAAAATCCTAATTGGTTCCAACATTAATTTGTTTCTATTAGTTTATTAGATTGATTCACTGATTTTTCGAGTTCCTAGTGACACCATTTTATCGTTTACAAATTAATAATTTATTGAGTTGGTACTAATATTATTTAAATTCGTCATTTCACAATGCCTCAACAATATAGTTTTTATGATTCTAGACGGTGTTTCTTTATCTTATTCAAGATAAAAATCTTGGTCTAGGTTACGGGTAAAAAGTTATTAAGTTTTAGGAAACCGCTTATCATGATAATAAAGCTAAACCCTTTTTTAATCCGTCATAAATATTAATCAAAGCAGTGTTTATATCAGTATTACCGATTTCCTGTTATATCTAAGTCATACTTGCCCAAGAAATTGAATTTATCAAGTATGTGTTCTAAATCTTAATATTAATTAATAAAAGTTAAATGAACTATTAATATCACATTTCGCATTTTTATAAATAAGTAATGTTTACATAAACATTATGCCGAATACACAATTTTAAAGGGTTAGTAGGTACCTAAATTTAAATAATAAAGACTGAAGGCACAAAAAACGAAATACAATGTGTCGTAAGTATATGGGAAAGAGCTTTTAAGAAAAGGCGTGTAATCGCCGACGCAGATATTGTGAATGAAAATCCTACACTTACGAATAATGTCAACAAAAAGGGTTGTCACCAACTCAAACTCAACTTACATTTAACTATATCTTCTTATTCAAACAGCTTGCTAATTAAGTTCCAACTCTTCAAAATATAAACACAATTAAATCCCAAACCAAACGTCAAACTTCACTCGCGTACTTAAGTGCGCAAAGCTCGCTAGCACGTACTCTTTCCCACTACGTCGAAAACACTACTGAGTCTGTCAACAACGCTAAGTCACTTGAATGTGTACTGTGTACAGTGGTAGGAGTCAATTTTGCCCATCATGGGGCTACTATACCATTATACAATATATTGTGCGTATACGCACGATCTCTATTTCTTATAATTTTTCACTAAGTAATTTTATATTAAAAAATAAAAAAGTTTTGAGTGTTTTTTAAAATTTGCAACTTTGCTTTCCATAGAAAATGATCTTTGTGGAAAGCAATAAACCAATCAGAGACGGCATTCCCCACCACACGTAGTGCCATAGGCTGAACAATTTTTATATGTCTAAAACAACAAATTAAGGGAAGAATGCCTTAAAAAATAAACCACAATTTTTTGACAAATAAAGCATGTCTAGCATATTTTGCATCGCACCTATTTTCGCATAAAAGTGTTTTTATCAGCGATAAATATTACTTTTGCAAATATTTGATAAGCAAATTTAACGGAAAATTAACTTTTAATTTTTGTTCACGGCCACACCAATAAAGTATAAACATAATTTAAGACGCTATTTCTAAGTTTTACAGTGCATAATTAATTTTATCAAATAATGTATAATTATTTTATCTCTGACCTTTTAACATTTAATTTGTATTAGCTAAAACTATTGGAATTAATTCATTTCAATACCAGATAATATTTTTTAGATAATAATAATAAATTTATATAGAGGTATCCAAAAACGGAATAAATAGCGCATAAATATCGCTATACTGTTACTTTGTTGCGAAATATTTAAATTTAAATAATTATTTTCCAAATGCAGGCAACCCAGTATACACTAACAATTGCACGGGTTGCCTAGTTTTTTTTAAATCATGTCCGTACCCGAATACTTGGACGTAGACAGGTTCGTCTTCAGTGTAAATTTCCAATACATTAATCGAAAACCCCCTTTTATTTAACAAAATCAAATAAAATTAAAAAACATAAGTTCTGTATTTTTTTTTAAGTTGGCCATTTTGACAATCTTTGACAGGTCACAAGTGACAGATGATTTGCAATTTTTTAAGGTGGATTTAGCCAGCATTTATGTAATGTAACGTAACGTAGTTTAATTTAAAAGATAAAAATGTAACGTAATGTAATGTAAAGTTGGCCAACTTTTAACTATTATTAAATTATATTACATGAAAATGAATCTAGGCTTGCAGCAACAACATTTCCTAACGAATGTTTGAAGGTTAGTTATATTATTTTGTTCTTAAAAGTAAAGATAATTATCAAGGTTAGTTATATTCTTTTGTGTTTAAAATCTTTGTATCATGCTTATAATGCTTATAATTATCAGTCAGTCAACCAGTCTTGCCAACATCGTTTTTAAAATACACCAACACGTCTGCATTGCGCATGCTTACAAACATGTACTAAATGACATTTAGTAAATGTTGTATAAATGTCACATTTTTTCGTTATATTAAATTAAATTACGTTACATTACATGAAATGCTGGCTAAATCCACCTTTAGTGTTAACCACAATCCACAAAACATGTGGATTGTTAACCACGTCTCTAGTCTTTGTGGTGTTTACCCTTAGACCTTATAATGTAATAAATATATAACTTCATGAAGCCTTGGTTAACCTGTTGATTGGTGTTTCAAGTAATTGGAAATGAGGATTGACCGTATTTTTATAATAAGGTAAGCCTTTTTAACTATATAATAGGTATAGGAAATATAGTTTTCACAACTTATTACTGTTAAAAACTGCAATTATTATATGTGCTACTCTACTGTGAAGTTAAACATTTAGGGCTATTATTTCCTTTGATTTAATTTGGGGCTTAATTAATTGAATTGGATTTTTGAAGGAAAGTTAACAGTTATTTGCAATTTTACAAAAATATTCGTCCTTCAAAAAATTTGGTTAGGTTGTAGTTTGTAAATGACACCAAAATGTTTAAAAAAATGTTTATTTATAATAAAAAACAATACAAAAGGTTAATTAGCCCATTTATGCACTATTAATAGCTTAAATAATATGTTAATTAATAAAAAAGTAAAATAAAATTTGGACGGAGTACCTACATGTCATTTATCTTTAATCAGTCTATAAATTAAAGTTTATTGTTGTCAACACTTGACGTAAAGGCACATAAAAATAATTTAGACCAATCAGGTAGTTGCAATTTACTTTGAGGCTAGTAATTCATTATTTTTCATGTTTTGACCAATTATAAAATTTGATATCTGTCAGATCTATCTAAGCTTAAGCTCTACTTTTAATAATTGTATGTTTCATTTATTCTTTAACCAATAAAATTTCGCTTTAATTTATAAACCTATTGAAGATAAAATGTTATGTCATTTGCTCGCTCAATTGTAGGCCTTTGATTTAAATTTGAGCTCAGCACAAAAAGACTCACTTCTTGGTTTTGTCAATTAAGGCCATAATAATTCAATATTGGGCGACTGCATTTTGGTGAAGACTTGATATTGTGAGTAGACCACAAGCCAACAATAAATCTGAAAAAAAACATGCAGGTTTATTTAAGTTTTTGATTTTGCTTTGTTTCTAAAAACTTACATTGTATGCCATCCAGCCCCAGTCTATGAATGCATATAAAACAGCATCAAGCTAAAAATAATCAAATTTAATTAATATTTTATATTTTTGTGGCCTTGTACACCTACATAAATATAGTAGCCACCTATAAGCCACAGTCCAAATATAAGCTGGAATAAGCAAGCAATTCCAAATGTAATAAGCCACGGGAGCATCATGCCTCTATTCATTTTACCAAGTCCAAAACATAGTAATATTGCAAATGCTGATAGCAATATAAAATAAATAATTAATAGTGAACCAACCACTTGCATCGCTACAAAACACAACATAAATAATAATAAATAGGTTATGGTTTACAGAATATCTGTACTTACAGTATCGTACATCTGCTTCAAACAAGGGGTTGTATAGTTGTGTGGAATCACCCCCACACATGTCAAACACTATAAATGTGCACAAAACAATGCTCATTGCAACTGTGTAAAATGCAATTGCCCTGCATCCTGATTTCAAGTTGTCTGTCCATATACATGGGGACCAGCACGAGTCTAACAGAACCATTTTTTATTATTTGTTTTCTTAGCTTGCCTTCACTTTAAAGGTTTTAATTAATCATTTATGGCACGCCCAATTTTAAATTTAATTGACCTGTACACATAGAATCACAACAAACTCTAGTTCACTTCACTTTGTTAGGTTGGTAGCCATGAAGTTTCTCTTTAAACATTAAGTCTGGTTCACACTTTCTACGTAAAGCGCCAAACTTAAAAAATACTAAATTTTAATTTAATTACTTTTTTGGATCATTCTTTTGTTTTCGGCTTGAAAAATAATAAAATAAAAAAATTGTATTGGGGTATTAATATTTATTTTCACATTTTGAATGAATTATGCCGTTTTTGACATTGAATAAGTTTCTGGGCCCCTAATGTATTGAAAACGATGGAATTTGAAAAGCTTTATTACAAGGGTTGACTTTTATATTTCTGGAATACATGGCTTTATTGTTTTATACGTTTGAATCAATTTTCGTAGCACTTTTTCCATTCAGACCTTTAAAACATCTGTTGTCAGATGACAGCAGCAAGATCGCTAATTTCTCGAAATATACAAAGCAACCCTTGTATACTTAATTATTACTATACTTAATTAAAATACTTAAATTACTCATTAAAGTAAATCACAATAATACAACACAGCTAGTTTAGCTATAAAATAGACAATGTTCAGGGTGATCATAAAATACATCCATTTAAAACAAAAATTAACCGATACAATTAATATAAAAAAATCAGTCTTTATAAATATTTCAAAATAACGTTTGTTTTAAATCGAAAATTGAGTATTGGGTTAATTAATATAAAATACACTCACAGGCAAAATAATCGATCCACACAAATTTTCGATGAATTTCAATGGCAAATAACTTTTTTATTTGATTTCGGATTTAAACAAATATTATAGAATATTGTAGATACATTAATGGAGAATCGCTCACATTTTAAAAATTACTAAAAAATACACGTACGTTTATAATATACAGGTTTAAACAAAAAGATGTTTTTTACCATAAGTTTAAGACACTCTGTAGAGTGGCAAAACCGTATATTGTTCTAAATTAAGTTTTAATTATCAAGTCACATCTATTTTTAACAGTTTTGTTTTTGGCTCACCTTGATATATTTATTTTTGTGGAAAATATGGATTTTTTTAAAAAAACAATGCAATTTCCAATATTTTTTCTGTATGAAGAATTATGGTCCATCCATAGGCTATGAAGAATGACAGTGACAAACGTACGTCAATTTTTTAGTAATTTTTTAAAATGTGGGCGATTGTCCATTAATTTATCTACAATATTCTTTAATATTCGTTTAAATCCGACATCAAATAAAAAAGTTATTTGCGATTGAAATTCATCGAAAATTTGTGTGGATCGATTATTTTGCCTGTGAGTGTATTAATATGGCATGTACTGTTAAATCACCCTGCAAGACATTCAATGCTTGAAGCACCTCGAATAATGGCATCTACTGCAAAATATGACTAGCATATAATTTTAGATAAATATTGGGATAAAATGCTGTCATTTTTCGGTAAAATAACTTAAATATGATGATGGGGTGCAGCTGGCGAGTTGACAGCCGCAGCTTGCGGAGATGGAGGAGTTGGGGTTGTGCTCGGTCCACTCTCGGCAGACCCCCCGGAATGACCCATATTTTGCGGCTGAGACGGCCAGTTTCCTTGTTCGACTTGAAGCCTCTGGTGCGCCTGTTGCCTGGCTCTGAACTCGGCCGCTTTCAGCTGTTCCAAATGGAACTGCTGCCTCTCCGTTATCAGCTGCTGACGTTGATATTCGAGCCCTTCGCGTTCCCTTTCCATCGTCGTTTCGAGTTCTTCGAAATGGCGAAGCTTGATCTCCAACTTTTTCATTTGCGTTTCCACCAAGAGAGCGACAAGGGATTTAATCTTGCGCTCTTCCACGGCAGCAAGATGCTTGGCTTTGACAGCTGCCGCAGCTAGAGCAGCTGCAGCCGCGCTCTGCATGTCGCTCTCTTTCATCCCTTTATCGCCTTTTAGATCGGCTTCGTTCGATTTATCCTCCTTATCGTCCGACGGTTCCGATTTAACGTTCTCGTCGATTTTTTTCTCGTCTCTTTCCTCTTTAATGTCGATTTCCTTTTTGATTTCCTCGTCTTTTTCCGGAAGCGTTCCAGCTATTCCTGTCAGGGACAAATTCGCCGAAGCGTCGAATTTTCCTTGGATCGAAGAAGCCTCGACGTTTTTGATGTGCGCATCCATAACGGATGCCGGAACTTCGTCTTTGATGTTCGCAAACTCGTTCATAGCTGATTTGGCGGCCGCAGCTGCCACTCGAGGATCGACAATCGAGGCTAAAAACGCGACTGTCGACATTATGGGGTTTCCGGATTTGCTAAACGGTATCGGTTGGTACAATAGAGGCCCCAAGGCGCTGCCAGCGTCTGGATCGTCCAAATATGGATCCTCGATGGGCAATCTGAGGAAATGCAGAATGCATTCATCTTGAGTTCTGGAGCCGACGTGTTCGCACACTTTGTTCCAGTCGTCTTTATACATTTCCAGGGCTTCTAAAAGTAGCAATGTCTCTTGCTCTGTCCAGTCTCTAGTCAAGGAGGCGGCGCTTTTGTTTCTTAAAGCGGCCGGCTTTTTGGCATACTGATCCAACTTCAACCCAAACGTGGTAATTTCCGCGATTTCGGGTTTTTTCGTTTCTTGAGCTTTATCCAGATCCAATAACGTTTTGGCAGCGCTCGGCTGCGGGGTTTTAGGCGGGTTCACAGGTTGCAAACCCGACGGAGTGTCCGACAGTATATGGAAGTGCGAAGTGGGCGGAGGTCCCATAGGGGTAGGCCTGGATTCCGTGTCCACTTGATAGTTAATCAAACCCCATTGCTCGAGAAAAGCGTGCACTCTCATGATAGCGCACACATCGCCAGCGAGATTTCTTCTGCACGCCGTGCTCGTTATGTATTCGGTCGGATTGAGTCGGTAGGTGTCGATCATGAAGTTTCTGTACGCCAAGTAGATTTCGGGGGTTTTCGATTTGTTTTTCGTGTTGAAAAATTCCGGCATCGCTCGTTTTTCCACCTCGTGTATGGAGTTATAGTCGAACCATGAAGAGTACGATGGAATTATAATGTGGTGGGTTTGCTCAGTGACGTTATCTTCTTGTCCATCGTCCTGCGTGTTGCTGTCACTTTTGGCGGTTTGAGAATCTTCCCCTTTGTCGTCTTGATCGTCGAGCTCAGTTAACGATCCTCCTTTTAACGGTTGCAACTCGTGATCTTTTTTCGTCGCCAGTAGACTCGGGGCGCCAGGAATGACCTCCACTATGTTGGGCTCCGGCACGGGGTCCTCCATGTCTTTGGTGAGATCCTCCACCTCGTCCTCCGGCTTGGACTTTTTGCAAATAGCCGGGCTCCTCCCGCTCTTTCTTTTCCCGCTTTTTGACGACGGCGAAGGCGACCTCCTCCGTTTTTGTTTTTTCCTATTGCTGTCCGGATTCATCAAATCGTCCACCGACATTCTCTGCGGGTGGACTTTTTTTCGGCCCGTTTCGTCCACCTCGTAATCCTCCTCAGTCATCCACTCGTTGTACTGATCAGTCTCGTACACCCACAAGTAGGTGAGCCTCCAAGGCCCGACATGTGGACTCATGGGCTCAACAGCCAGCCCATCCAGAGCCATGGCTTCACAATTCAACCAAGTATCGTAGGAACTTGGAAAATAATACCAGTGCATCATTATGTTTTTGTCTCTTTTGAATAGAGGCCTTGCGTATTCTTCTTTGAGCGGGTCTGCCGGACCGTAGATAATGTGGGTGGCGGATTCTTCAGATTCCACTATTTGTCCATTTCGTTTCCTTATAATCTCCTTAATTTTTTGATTTATTGACTTCTCTATGTCACCTTTAATGTAGACTATTGGCAAGACAAACAGCTTATTTTGTATGAGGGCTTTTTCCATGGCTTGGAACATGTCAAAAACTCTCTCAACTTTGTTGGAATTCGTCTTTCCAGTTGGCAATTCAAATTTTCTCCAGCCGTGTTCACATTTAAATCTAAAAGCTGCCAAGAGCAGATGACACAAGCCACCTCCAGGTTTAAAGTCCAGGAAATACTTGACAGGAATCCTGGTCATCAAAGGTTTTTGCGAGTTTTTACCCAGAAAATCCTCTTGGAACTGCATTAACTGCACTGTCAAAGCTGCCAATATGCGGTTGTTTATAGGATCGGACGACACATACTGAAACCAAGCAGACATATAGATATTTGTAGGTTAGTGTACATGCAAAACTACAAAACTACCTTTTTGCCGTTTCTTTGCAGCCAAAGACGAACGCATTCAAGAGCAGCCAACGTTTCTTGGCACTCAAAATATTTCGTATTTGGACTTCCGTCCATTTTGGGGCCTAGCGACAACATTTTTGCAAATTTTGCCGGTCAGTTTTTCTGTTAAATTTCTCACAGACCGTCTTTAACTATTCTTTCATAATTAAGAGTTGGTATTTGCCCTAAAAGAAATACTGTTTGTTTAGGTTTTTTGCGCGTTACAAATATAAACATAAACAATTTACCTTTACGTAGCTGCCATTTTTGCAAACTTTAGTGACTTTTTAGGGACTTACGCTGGAATGGCTCCAAAGGAGAACAAGCAAAGAACAAAAAACCCGCTTAAGGTGGCTTTACACGCAGCACACTTTAAATCTCAACGGTTTTTTCAAACTTTATTGTAATTAAATTTTATAAAATAAATAGAAAATTCTGTAATAATATAACAAAAAACAAATTCTTAAAAGTAAAATGCATAAAACGAAATATTATTTATAGCTTCTTATGGCATGTCCGGCAATTCCAAAACTGCATCGCTCAGCTATTTCAGTGCACGTTAAATAATCGTTTTCATATTTACTTATATCATTTTCATCAATTTTTCTATAAGTGGCGCATTTTCCTTCGGTTTGTGTGGATTTTTCTACGAAATTCCTCATTTTCTTCGTCATTTTATTTTCCAACGGAACTGTACTTAAGGTGTTCATACTGTCTGTATAGTTAATTTTATACCCAGATTTATAATAACAAACATCATCTTCAGTGGACATTGTTGAATACGAAGAACATAACCTGTATATTTGCAATAGAAAAATTAATTGTTTCCCTAAATATTTCAGACATTTTACTCACTTATTCATTCTGTACAGGAACTTCATCGTTTTGTTTGTTTGTTCGTTATATTTTAATTTAATTTCCATAAATAATAATTCTATATTCTATAGTTGCCAAACTTCATGAGAAACGAGGTTTTTAAAGATGTTTACGTTTTTTTATAAATATAAACAAAATGTTATTAATTGAAAACATATTTTTTTTTTATTTTTTTTTAATCCGTCGATAAAAACTTGTTGCGATTATAAAGTAAATATAACTCAAAGTTATTATAATATGTATGTGCTCATATGAGCCCCAATAGTTTTTGAGCTCATGCCAAAAAACGTCTTAATCGATACGAAACAAATTTTAAATGAATAATTTTTAAAGAAAATAAAACTCCTTATAAATTTCAGGGGATTTATTTTTAGCAGCAAATAAACATTTTAATACATGGGCAAAAAATAAAACATTTTAGAATAGCAGAATAGCTAGCGTTCAGAATTTTTCGCATTCAATCAATTTTTGAGCTTCATTCTGCAAAAAAAATATTTGTTTACTTGGGTACATTTAAGTATAAAAAAATATGTTTTACCTGTATTATTTTGTAAATAAGCATGATGGTTTCGACGGACTCCTTGCAATTGTTTTCGTTCTCCACGGTGTTGGACGGTGTTGAGGCCCTTTTTCCCCAATTGGGCGAAAAGTTCACTTGGGCCTGGCAAACGCCAACGAAGGCCAGAATTGCAATAAAAACAATAGCCCTGAACATTTTGCTTTATATGTATATTATTCAGCAAAAATCTTCTTAGAACTGATGTGCCACCCTTAAAACGCACTGTCTTATATACCCCGCTTATTTGTTGGAGGCGCGTTCAAAACCCCTCTCTCTCTCCTCTCCATTCGAATTAATTGGAGAATAGAAGCCCTTTTGTAAATAGCAACAATATTAACTCTGAAGTGGATGCTAAGAAATTGACAATTTCCTCTAAAGAATCACTAAAAGTTTTGCTAAACGTTCTATAAACATTTAAACATTAATTGTTTTTACCCCATTCTATTCTTAAACTTAATTATTTGTTTCTTCGTCATGCTTTTCAATTTTTTATACAGTACAGTACAAATAGTTATTCTTTTCGTTCAGTAAAAGGTAGGTAATTTATTTTTATTTAATATTAAGTTATTTAACGAAACTTAATTTTTAAGATTTATATAGTTATAGCTTAATGTAGATAAAAGTAGTAATGATTTTAATTCATTGAAAATATCTTTTATCAGAAAGAAAAAAACCTTTAAACCTGTACATAAATTCTGTACTGTTCATTCAAGTTTTATCAATTATAATGAATATTTTTTCTACTCCCACCTTTAAAATGGTATATATTTCCATAACAGTAAGTGGCCTTTAAATACACATTGACAAGTTGTGGCGTTTTAGTCACGGGCTGAAGTTAGCAAATGGTTTTTAGTCACGTGCTGAAGTTAGTTGACAGTTGTCAAATGTCATACAATCGTTGAAATAAAGGGCCCATAATATAAAAATACAAAAGTATTAAATATATTTATTTTGCCGAAATCAGTTTACTGCCGGCGAAATCAAAAGGTCAGTACAACTGAATATGAACTTTTCAAAAATTGTCAGTAAACTTGATTTAACTAAATTTCGGCTGGAGATTCTATCGTGGAGTGCCTATAAAACATTATCTTTACTTTCACTGTAAAAAAACTGCTTCTATATCGCATTTAGTTAGTCCATTTTCAAGGGATAAATTTCAATTTACACCTTAGAAGAGAGAGAAGTTTTTTCTTCTAAGATTTACAAGAAAAAAATTGACCCTAGACAAGAAATTGACATTTGACATCCCACAAAGAACACAAGTTAGAATGGTTACTCTATTGTTTCATAGATGGCGCTCTATACAAATTTTTGATTTAAATCATTTTAAGATAATAATAAGTATTTGTCGTAGAAAAAGTATAGTATGCAACTCGTTTATAAACTTTTTTTAAACTGGTGACTAAACTGGCGTTTAGCAAACTTGATACGTAATATTCTTTTTTTTTTGGTATTTTAAAATACCTTACAATTGTTGAGGAAATAATACACAATATGCATTTATACATTATTTATTGTATTCTCTTTACCACAGGGCTTATTAATGAACAATATTTAGTTATTAAATTTTCCTCCGCACATCATCATTCGGTGAGCCTCGGTCTGCAAAAAAAAAGTTATTTAAAAACCTAAAAAACACATGTATGATAACTATTTAAACAACTTGTTTCAGAGTGACATGTCACGGATTATTTTTATCTTAACAATTGAAGAACTTAAGCTTTAGCTTAAGCTAAACAAAAATGTTACATAAAGTAACATTTTTGTTTAGCACGAAAATGTCACTTAACATGTTCCCAAGCTTTTCAATTATTTTGCTAAACTGTAGCTTCTTAAGAATTTATTATGAATTCATAATGTATACCTACAAACTAGTTTCGCCAATTACCTGTATTATCTTATAGATCATCATGATGCTGTCCATAGAGTCCTTGCAGTTGACATCTCCAGTTGGGGTTTCCCCTGGTAGAGTCCTCTTGCCCCAATTGGGAGTGAAGTTGATTTGGCCGCTGCATATTTGACATACGGCAAAAATCACAAAGAACAATGTAACACAACGTATCATTTTGCTTTTCTGTACGCTGGCCAGTTCAGCAATGATTATTATTTGCAGAAAGACAAACTTTTATATGAAATCTGAACGAATCAACCCCCCCACGCAGCATGAGCTTTTTTGATAACTCGATAAAAATATTAAATGATTTATTTTAGTACATGTGTATTATTGTTTATTTGCCGATTCCTCTTATTAAAGCAAATATTTACTTTTGAACATCCCCTAGCTATCCACATAATTGCAATCACGTAATGTTTTATTTGCTTCTTTATGTTATTATATTTTTATGTAATAGTTAATTAATATTCTGATTAGCTTAATCTTGAAGACAAAATATTCTTCGTTGATACATTATAATTTATAATTATAATTAATTATCTTTAATCAAGCTGTAAACATAATTTAGAAAAATCGGATAAAGTTTTTTACCTCCTAGTTTGTAAAAAACCCGTTTGGATCTAATCTAACTTAACTTTCTACTTTTAATAATTATTTATTATAATTGTACGTGAAGTGCTTTTTTGTGCTTTCCTTAATTGGAAACTTTGTTTTATGTCATTAATAACTATTTTGGTGATCACCCTATATGCTTAGGGAGAAAATTCTATTGATATTTCATCACTTTTAAATACTTACTTCTTATAAAAGTCTTTATCTTTCAGACTTACTTTAAAAGTTTAAAGTAAACAAAAAACTGAATAAGTTTAATTTTTATTTCCAAGCTTGTTTTTGCCTGTTCTGTATTCTAAAAAGTCTTGATTGTATTGATATTTGTTGAGCAAACAGAAATTAAATTGTATCAAAATAAATAATATACTCTCTTGATTACTTACCGGGCTTAGCTAATAAAGTGGATAGGTACCTATTGATTTTAACTTGGCGAAGTTTTAAACTGCTCAAGTTTAAAGTTTTCAAGGTGGGTAGTAAAATTAGGCAATTGTTTTAAATAAGTAGTTTATATTTAAAAAAGAAACTATAATATAAATGGCAGTGAGGAAAATATTTTTACAAATGGGCCAAACTAACATAATTGCTAATAATGAAATAAACGAATAAATTTGTTCACGAACGCGTAATAATACTATATATAAATTTAAAATACATATTATAACTTAAATTTTCTCATGTAGAGATCAAATCTGCCCTGAGAAAGCAAAATTAAATAAAACTGCTTATTAAAATAGCATAACAAATAGGTAGTTTTATATTTTAGCTTCTCGACACTAACATTACTTAACTATGGCTGCCAACTGAAATCACATATATTTTATAAGGAATGTTTTAAGTTGTTTAAAAGCATATTATCGTATATAAAAATCTTAATAAAAATATATGTGTATATTATTATTATATGTATATTTGTATAAAAATACCTTATCTACAGAAAACAGAAAAAATATAATTTGTTTAACAATAATAGGTATTCCTCCTTAAGCAAAGGGTTTTATTAACCACAAGCACTATGAATGGCCGTTATTTTCAATGTATTTTTCTAAACTATTGCAAATTTTTACCTAATTGCCTTTTACTTATACTTACAGGTATAAATACGTAAGTCAATTTACATATAAAAATTTGCTTACATTTCAATTATAATTGTAGATAATTTTTCATAATCTGAGCCTCAAAAATACGTAATTTTTCGTTGAGCACTTTATTATTAATTGCGATATAAAATAATAATTTTATATAAAAAAGGTATTTTTTTTTAGTTTGTATATACACTTGCTAAGTATCACAGGGTAGTGCATAAAAGGCCATCATTTTAATATTTGCTCATCATCACAAGATTTCCATATTTAAACATTTTAACAACATTATGAAAAATTAGAAAAAATTATAAAATAATTAGGTAGAAACAATTATTTACATTATCATTTCGTTTGTACCTAGTAGTTGGAAGTTGCCAAAAAAATTGACTAAGTTTGTATGTATAGCCACAACAAAAAAAATATAGTCAAAAAATAAATACATGTTTTCATAACACACCCCTACAAATAAAAAAATTATGTATGATGCACTATTTTAAACACACGAAACAAAAAAAGTCAGTCGAACATTATTTACAAAGTTTGTCAGTTCTCCAAAAATATGCGTCGGTATCTTTGGTAAAACATTGTAGTTAAGTACAAGAAAAAAGGGGTTCATTTGATTTTGATTTAGCACCATGATTCTTCGTGTCCGTTTTCCGATTCCTCGTCGTCTTCGTCTTCTCCGTATATGTTCGCTAGTTTCCTGAAACGCGGGCCGAACGACGACAAATGACTGAAATTCAAATCGCCATCGTCTGTGCAAGAGGCCAGAGAAGAAAGAGAACCGGTACTGTTTCCATCGCCTTCGTACGCGTAATGCCTAACATCGTCGTAAGGCAAATTATCTGGATCCTTATCGCACGATCCTTTTTTCGTATTCAAAAACATGCTGATGTCTGCGGGTACATCTGGCAACATGTGCTTCTCGTCGAGGTCGTTCCTGAAAACCGTCAAATCGTAGTTAGTGTCGCATTCGCCGCCACCCTCGTCCTCGTAGTTGATAATGTTCTCGCGCGTGTCGTCCATATCCTTCTCCAAAAGGTTGTCTTGCTTTCTTCTGTACACAACCAAGGCCAGCATCAAAACTTAAATAGAAAGAATAACAATCATCATAATTGTTGACCTTTTAACACTTGATTACTTACTTATCATAACGCCGATGCAAACTAATATAGCAACCAGAGAATCTCTTCCCAAAGTAACAGCTTGTTTCATGAGATAATTGCAGTCGCTTATGGCCTGTTTGTGGTCAGATGGTTGTCCAAGGTTGTACAGATAACCATTGTAAGACAAATTCTTAATACAACCGGCAAATTGGTCGTTCATTACCGGAGGATCCGACCAGATCGTTTTCGCTTCCTCTTGGAATCTAAATTTAAGACCGCCAAGTTGCAATGGACCGTTTGTTCTTAATAATCGTTGACTTTTAATGACATTCAATTTAATGCAGTTGGATTTACAATCGTCGATCTCCAATTCGACATCCTAAAAGAAAATGCGCAATAAGAATTACGTGATAACACAAAAAAAATAGTTGCTTACGTTAGATGTCAATCTGATTCTGATTTTATGCGAGCTTCCATCATTTAGTGCTTTGTCGGATCTAACCTGGATAACTTCATCTCCAAGATTCAACTTTAAGTACAAATTGTTCTTTTCCAATTCGAGAGATATAAAGTCCTTGGAGAGTTTACTTTGACTGGCGACCAAAGGTCCTTGATAGAAAATCAAACCGTTATCGCTTTGAGGCGTGATCCACATTAATATTTCGGTGTTGTTGCAGGAATCGAAAGGTTCGTAGGTAGCAGTGCCATATCCTGTAAAACCGATTCCAAGGACTTCGCAGTGAGGTCCTTCAAATCCTGGAGGACAGCTGCACACATCGTTGTCAATACTGGTTCCGCCGTTAAGGCATTCCTTGTTTGGTCTTTCGCACGTATCGCATAATGCTTCGGTTATGGCTTTCACGCCAACAAAAGATGTTTTATTGGTGAAAACAACAGCGGGTTCTTCTTTTATTGCCAATCGACTGACGCAGTCTTTACCAGGACATACAGAGATGTTAACGCATTCATTAATGCTAATCATCTCAAAGTCTACGTTTAATTTTGTTTCTAAATCTTTTTGATTCGATGTTGCGATGTTATTGAGCTTTTCCGGGTAATAATAAGGAGAACCATGCGCAGAAAATCTAACGTCAACCAACTCCTTACCACTATTTAAAACGGTAAACACGTCAACATTTTCTCTGGAAGTATTTAAAATTCTCGCGATCTCAAATTGCAGTATATCTTTCTTGCTTTTCATACCGTTTTCTTTGTCAATAAAACCCTCGATTGTCGTGTGGTTTAACCTTATAGATCCCGATTTCTGGACGGCTTCCTTAGGCAGTGCTTTCACTATTACGTGCACTTTGCCAGTTACGGTGTGGGTCGAAATTATCGGTTCGTGCGTTTCCGTAACTTGGAATTCCAAATCGTAAGCACCTTCGCTTGTTGTGCTCTTCATTATAATCATACTGTGGTCGGTTTGACTGAGGTAGAAAGACGACTGATCGCCATCAGTTAACAAGAAAGTTTTATCGTTCAAATCCCAGTCGTCGGGATCGTTTACGTATACTCTACCGATCGCTATGTCTTGCTTAAACTCCTCGTATTTGTAGACGAAAATTTCGCTTTCGCCATCTTTGGCCTTATTGTCGTTCTTATCGCCTATAACAACGCGCAGAATATTATTGTGACTGGTTTGAGTCGGTTCGCCGGAATCCATAATTTTAATCGGGATATCATAGAACTTCTTTTCTTCTCTGTCGAAAAACACTTTGGCAACCAATATTTTTCCATTTTCCATACCGAATTTCCCGGTGATTTCATCAGAAGCCGAATCCTCGATTTCAAAGACAAACGGAGGTCCGTTTTCGTTGCTATCGTTATCGTCAGCGCTCAGCACCGTTATTTGACCTGGGTCTTCATTTTCGTACCAGATTACCTCACTCTGCAAAAATCATACATTAATATACAGTGTGTATTAAATAAAACAAGTGCCAAACCCCGCCCACTGTGGTGGGAAGTTATTTTCGTTATTTTAGAATTATTTTTGTTTGAGAATTTATAGGTTTTATTTTTATCGAATTCGTTTGTTTTGTTAATGCATTTCTGCAAATAAAAACCAAGTATTTTTTAAAATCCATTAAATTCCAGTTAATGGCGAAAATGTATTTCTTAAAAACTATACACATTTCCCTACGACAGCGTCGGAGCTACTGAACCAGGACACAGTAGAGCAAACTGCATGCCCTTGTATCTGGCTGCATGCCGCGCTGTTGCCATATGCTATTATTGTTTCCCACGCCCAATTAAAGTTTGTTTCTTTTTCTCTGATCAGAATATAATTTGTCATCCTTGTCTCCAGCCTTACTTACTTGATTCTATACAGTCTGTATTACAACTTTAAATAACAAAAAAAAACACTTACCACATTAAGATACGGAGCGTTATCGTTGACATCCTTTAAAATAATTAGCAGCTCAGTGAAGTTGGTTTGGTATGGCAGATGGCCGTCATTATCATAGGCATGTATGAACACTTGTCTTGTTTCAGCGCCATTTGGGGGATCCCTGTCCAAAGGTTTCTTCAACTTAACGCAACCATATTGATCGACATCAATAAAGTTCTTGCTGTTTTGTACGTCATAGACTATGTGTTGATCAGCTGAGCGATCTTTGATATCGGGATCGTAAGCTTTAACTGTTATGATGCAGTCGGTATAAGGCGTTTCTTCTTCTAAGGTGATTGTCTTGTCAAAATCTTCGAACTGCGGAAGCTCATCGTTTTCGTCCTTTATGTTTATTATAACGTTGGTTTCATCTTCGTAGATTCCGTCGTGAGCTCTTACAACAAGTTCGTACTTCTCGGTTTTTTCATAATCCAACTTGGCGTATACTTTGATACGACCGGTGGTATCTTCGATATAAAAGTGATGATCATCGTCGCCTTTGATAATGCTGTACTTGATAAGTGAGGCGGCATCTTTATCATCGGCCTTTACTTCCCCGACATCTTTACCGACATCAGTGCTTTCGGATATTAGATCGAAACGGTAGTAGGCTTGTGTAAACTTCGGTTTATTATCGTTTCTATCTTCGACAATGATTTGGAACTGTTGGATAACACTATTGGGTTCTCCAATTTTTGTTAGAGCACTTGGAGAGTTGTCATAAGCCTTGATTTTAATGTGGTACAAGTTAATTTCTTCTCTATCGAATACTACAAGAGATTTTATGGCACCACTGTCGGGATCTATTTCGAATTTGTCGGAACCTTCACCTTCAATGGAGTATTTGACGATGTTGTTTTCAGAGGTGCCGTCTTTATCCAACCCTCTAACTTGCATTGCTTTCTGACCGGCATGCTCGTTTTCTATAACACTGCCTTTGATTATGTCTATGAACGCAGGAATTTCGTCGTTTACATCGGTAACGGTAATTAAAAACGTCGCCGTAGCCTCCATTTGGTCTTTATTCTTAACACGAACAGTTAGTGTGTATTCGGTCACCAATTCGTAGTCTAAAGGCCTACCTAATTTAATAACAGCGTTCTCATTATCATTATCGGGTGTCAAAATAAACGTTTGATCCTTGTTTGTTTGCGCCGTTTTGCCCTTAATCAACTCAAAAACAACCTCCTTGTCGTCGATATTAGATTGTGCATTTATTTCGAACAACGGTTCGTCGTAATTATTAAAATTCTCTGGCAACACTTTAACATTACCGTCTTGTCGCGTTAGAATCATCGGCAAGCGTTTATCGGAACCCACAACCTTAACGCTGATAGGCACCTCTGATCGTTTGGGATCCACACCGTTATCGTGCACCTCGATATTACTTCTAAAAGGCTCGCTATCCCTCATACCCACCAGCGATTTATTTAGAGTCAAAACCCCAGTATCTTTGTCAATCTTGAAGTACTCGGAAAACGAACCTCTATCGTTGATAGAGTAGGTCAGTCTGGAGTTATCGCCGTCATCGATATCGTAGGCAAAAATTTTGGCCACCGTAGAGCCAACTCTGGCATCTTCCGCAACATTGGGCATATACTCGATAGAATCAAAGCTAGGATCGTTGTCGTTGATATCGGTTATTGTCACCCTAATGGTGCAAATATCGGCAAGAGCAGGCCTACCGTTGTCAGTCGCCTGCACAGTGATGTAAATCTCCTTCTGTCGGGTCGGTTCGTCGCGGTCAAAGGGCAACAAAGTAGTTATTTGACCTGTCACATTGTCGATTTGAAAGTATTGACGCTCGCCGTCGCGTTGCACCAATTTATAAGTGATTGTGCCGCCGGCCTCTGGCGGATCGTTGTCTTCGGCTTTTACCTAAACACAACGAACAATAGTTTAGACCCCAATGTCTAACTTTCCACAGAATCTAACGGCGGCCATTGTTATGTTGTTTAAAATTCTTGTGCTTTGAGTTTGTGCACTGTTTATAGGCATCAAAGTGCTAAGAACAACCATTTGTACTACTCTTCTTTCGTAAAAAATTAACCTTATTCTATCAGGGCTGTCATCAAACTCAATTTCAAGGTTAATTTGTGGGTTATAGTAAATTAACCTTGAAATTGACATTTGACAGTTTTATGGTTTATGTTTTACATAAGAGGAGTAAAATGGTTGCACTTGGCAATTTAAAGCCTTTTTTAAGTGCCTCTGTAAGAAAGACAACGTTTAAAACGATTATTAATCTGAATAAACAGCACAAACCCAAAGCAGAAGAATTGTAAACAACAAAAATGGTCGCCGTCAAATTCTGTGCGGTGTTGCAGTGATTTTTAGTATGCGCGAAACGAGATAGAACAGATCTTGTTGCGTGGATTGTGATTTAGACTAGACTAAAAAATTATTAATTGATTAAAATGTCATTAGGGGGAGTTATGATGATAATGAGACGGTATGAAACTTACCTTAACCACCGGTATCCGACCCTGTTCTTCTTTTATGCTCACATTGTAAGTGGAACAATGCGTAAATCTGGGTTTAAGGTTTTTATCTCGTTCTGAAAATAAAATAATAAATTTTACTTTTTTACTGAGTTGTGAAAATGTTCAAAAAAATATGTCATAACCATGCCCGTTCACTGGAGGTTTTGGGGGGTTTAACCCCATCAAAGAGAGCAAAATAAACAAACGTCTCAGTATAACAATTTCGCATAGTGCAAAGGTATGAATTTTTGTAGATTTTTATCTAAAAGACCACGACTAACTTTAGTTAAGTAATTTTCTAGTTATAAGATTTTTAAAATTGGATTTTATTTGTTTTTGTTTAAATGTCCTCACAATATTTGTATTCAAATAAAAAGACAATTTTTATTCGACAGCCATTTCATTTGTTAACTTTAACCGGTGGGCGAAATAGCATTTCACTCACGGGATACAGGCATTTAAAGGCTAAAACTGTTGACAGTTAAATGTCAGATAAAATATCAAATAACATTGGCTCTAAATTCATTGTGGTAGTTGAATAAAATATCGTGTCAAAAAGAAGATTCCACTTACGTGTTACCGGCTAACTCCACGTTTGGGGAATCTCCTCTTTCTCCCACTAGTTGCACACTGTGCAATGCACAGTATACATTTTATTTCTTAACTTTAAAGCCTGATTTATAGACTGCCTTCCTTCCTTCCTCCCTTAAAAGATTAACAATAAGAAAATCGTAGTGCCATTTATAGATTCCCGTACGGGAACCTATAAACAACACAGCGGTTTTTGTATTGTCCATCTTTTACGTGAGAAAGGAAGGAAGGCAATCTATAAATCAGGCTTAAAAGTTATCAACCCAACCCAACATATGATACCGTATGAACTTTTAAAAAATGTCATATTATTTTTAAATTACCATTTTTTTGTCAAGCTTTTAAAATAACCCCAAAAAAAATCCTGCCACGGCCCTGGTCATAACACAAAGGTCTTTGTTAATATTGCATTTAGTAAAGTAAAATCTTAACATAGCTGGGCTCCAAAGGAATGCGTAATAGACGAAGAGAAAAATTTGCTAGCTGGCAAATTTTGTAATACAATTAAATAGTAACAGTTAAACGCGAAGTGTAAACATTTTTATAGCCTCGTTAACGACCACTCGCTAAAATAGACCAAATGCTTAAAAAGTGTTTAAATATAATATATTATAGTTTCTTAAGTTGTGTTATAAATATAAAAGGACAAATTGTAATTATATTTGAAACCATAGAACTAAATGTTTTGACGTCGAAAAATGCAATTTAAAACTAAAACACGGGGTCCTGATTCAGAATGTTTTGAATGGTTTCCTTTGTGGTCAGCAAGAGACGGGAATTTTTCAAACGTGACTCACAAACAATCTAAGGCCATTTCTTAACACTTATCATAAAGCATACATTGTGATAAATAAAACATAAATTAATTGGAATTCAATAAATCAACGACCTCATTTGTTATTTAAAGAAATTTAATAAAAATTGTGTGGGTATTTATTCAAAGAACCATCATTATTTATTAAAACATTGTGAAAATGCATAATTGGCTTTTAAATCTATGACTCAGTGCTATAAAATAGCTGGTCAAGCAATTTTTTCGTTCCGATGCGGTTTTGCATTTCAATACAATATACACACAAACCTATATTTCTGATCTATTTATAGGTAACAAGTAAAATGTACAAATATATATAATATTTGTTCTCAACCAAGTACCTTCTGATAGTGAAAGGAATTTTAAGTTGTGTAGGTAGTATGCATAAAAATGATTTCTGCTCTTTTTCAAACAACGACTGTGTGTATTTGTAACGATAATGATGTTTTTTATCTCGCTTTATACATAACGTATACACAGCGGAAATGCTTAACTAATCTTCTGTTTTCTTAGAACTCAGCCATGAATGCAAGCTAAGGTGTGCGGTAGATATGTAGATAGGTAATTGAGTTCTTCTCAGAACGTTTTAAACGATATGAAGTATTAAAAATTCTAATTCACATGACTGTGCCTTTCAAAAATATATACAATCTGTGAGTTAGTCATTTATTATTTAAACAATAGAATTGTTCTAAATTCTCGGTAAAAACGTAAATTCTGCGTAAGGCTTTACTATTGAATTTCTAAAAACCGTGTCGATAAAGAAATACATTACTTCTAAATTAAACAGGTATTTGTAAAATAATTAGCAGGTACCTCGCAGACGCCAAACAAGTTAGATATTTGACGACATATTTATTATACCGAACAAAAAATATCAATAAAGAATATAAACATACTTTTAAATTTAAAAAGGTTCGTTGCTACGTAATAATTCCATTAAAAATGATAAACGAAGAACTATTTCTAGACGCCACTTATTTACATATATTGATATCAATATTGACAGACAAATAGGTACTAAGAACGATACATTTTAGAAGGGCAAAAAATGTATTTTTAAAATAAATAACTAAAAAATCTCAGATAATTTAAATGTATTATTTAATAAACAAAGCTGAAATAAATTGTTTTATTACAGGCATTTAAAGGGCCATAAAAATAAAAATCTTCCCAGCCCATTTTAAGCATAACAATTAAATCTAATAAATTGCCCCTTATGTTTACATTAAATTAAATAGCCACCATGGACCGAATCTCTTGTTTCATGAATCATTCAAGACCAAATAATGACTAATATTTATTTGTCATAGATTTTTCTTATTTATTGTAAATTTTATAAATTTTTGACGACTTATGTACTTGTTTATTTATAATCACATATCATTATTCAATGGTTTGTGAAGAGCAAAGTTATGGTTGAATATATTTATTTTCTTGAGTTTTATATGAACAACAAATGCATAGGTACATAGGTAATTAAAAGCAATAAGAAAGACCTTGGGAATAATGTTGTTCGCAGGATAAATTGATTATAATGGATTCTCACATAAAATTGTAACGATTTAAAAAAATATGTCAACGGATTTAGATTTTTTAATACCTAGTATTTGTACAATAGAATAAATACGCTTATCAGCGTACCTATTTATTGATTTATTAAGTTTTATCAAAAATAGATAAACGTTACTACCAAATTAAATATACCTAATCGAAATGTTAATTTTAACGGAAAGGCCTATTCAGCATCGAAATGAGAAAATCAACAAGTGTAACAAAACGGGGGATTAAGGGAAAACACGTGATAAGGTTCAGAGCCCAAGCTAATGTAACTGTTTTTTCTTTTACCTGTGAGTTTAACTTACCTTGCCCGGATTGTGCATAGCAGAAAGTAACCAGTAAAAACCAAATTGAAAATAAATAATAAAGTTTCATTTTGAACAGAACTAAAATACCTCACAGACACTAAGAAAAACTTTTATTGTTCTTAAGGTACTATGCGGCAACATTACAATAGGTTTTACCTATGTTTACATATTTGAATTGTTTTTCTGTTGTTTACGGGACTCATCCGCTATTTTCCTTTACTAACAGATGAAACACATCACTTTAAACACCAAATAAGTTTTCTTTGGGTTTGTAAGGCACTTTTTATTACATTTAATTCAAGTTACAGTTTATCAAGGCACAAAGCTTTTACCAGCTTACACGACAGTCACTAAACTGCCTAGTAACTTTTTTTTTACACAGATGTCACTTTATAAACAACTTAATCGAAAATTGGGGTTTTCTTTGGATTTACTTCACTTAAAACTTATAATCACGAGTGAGATCGAAATTTAATAAATAAACGTTACTTTTAAGGAGTCTTACGCCCAACAAATAAATAAAACTTAAAAGATAAAGGAGTGGTGAGACGCGCTTGCGCATTACCACTCATCTATGACAAAGCGCGACATTACGAATCTGTGAATCATAGGTAGTTCTTAAAATTATTAATCAGATGGAGAAAATTTACAGATTTTGTAATACCACTCTCTTTAATATCTTTATGTCGAAACCGCTAGCTTCCTTTTAAATTTAGCGCAAAAAACCGCGATTAACTTATTTCGGTTTTAAATATCCATAAAAATTACTATAATGCGAAAACCACATATGATTCTTTTTCGTAAAGAACATTATTTTTACAATTTGAATGCAAGCAAATATTTATTTCACTTCACTTAGATTTTTTCATTTATTTTTATAAATAGTCAATATTTTTTACAATACTGAATATTCTTGGAATAATATATATAATAATATATTTTATTTAAATTACTCCTACATGTAAATAAAAATTTAAATAAAACGCCATAAAGTCACAGCTCGTCAATGCATTGACGATCTGTGACTTTATGGCGTTTTAGTCACGGGCTGAAGTTAGCAACAGTGGCTTTTGGGCATTTTAGTCACGGGCTGAAGTTAGCTTTATTATAAAATGCGAAAAAGTAAGGTTAAATTCATCAAATGTCAAATATTTATGAATTAAAATTGGCTTTAAATTCCTATTTCTGTTCGTTGTAGATAAAGTATAGTGTGCAACTGGTTTTATAAACTTCTCTAGACACTCGTTTTTATTAAACACTCGCTCGAAAGCTTTGCTCGTGCCTAATAAAACTAAAATGGCGTTTATAAAACTTGATATATAATATACTATTTACATAATTACTTATCTTATAATCTTGTTTATTAAAATAATAAAGATATTGTGTATCTAAATATAGAAATTACCAAAAGGTACTGGGAAAGGCAGAAAAAATAGAATTTAAAATTTGTTATAATAGTTTAATGTTTAGGTTATGTGCTAATATTTACAGATTACACATAAAAAATAATTTTTGATAACAGTTTAGTTTTTAAGTAATTAAAGACTGAACTATTTGCCTATGTTTGTATTTTGCTAAATACTACAAAATATAATTTATTTGACACACAAGTAAAAGCATGTAACATATGATCACATTTATATATGTAGTTTAAAGATCATTATTATATCTACAACTACCTATATCAAAAATACGTAAATAAAAAATATATAAATAACTGTTATTAATGGACATTTTAATAAATACTACTTTTAATACCTCAGAAACTTAACATTTACAAACAGAATCACATTGTATTTAAAAAAAAGTTCCACAAAATTTTTATTGGTTAGTTAATGTGAATAAAACCCAAAGTACTTAAATTAAAATATAACGTAACAAATAAAAAAATGTGTAATTTAGTTAAAAAATTTAATAGAATTAGAAGATTAATAACCTAAATCTACATGTTTTTTCCTGTCAATTGATCACATAGAGCAGCCAGCTGCTGACATTCACTTGTTTTTTGTTCAAGTGAGGATTCCAAAGACTTGCACTTTATTTCTAGCCTTTTGTTTATCGCGCTTATCTGGACTTGTTTATCTTCGTAGTGTTTCTTTTGTAGCTGAATTTCCTTATTACTCCTAAAAAAAAATAAGTAAAATATTTCAACTTCTTGTTTGTTCCACTTACTTATCAATTTGGGCCTTGGCATAGTGTTTCAGAGATTCATATCTTTCATCAGCCTTTTTCAAGTTGTTTTGGGCCATTGCAACAGTTAATTTTAATGAAGTTTCATTACTCTTATATCCTTCAAGCACCACCTTAAGCCTTTCATATTTCCTTTAACAAAAATGAATTAGTGGTTGTGATTAAATTCTTTTTTTTGACTTACTTATGAACATCCGAAAACGAAAATTCTAAATTTGCTAGATGCATCTTTGCAGTTTGATGCACTTCAAGTAGTTTATCTTGCTCAGAAACTTTAGTGGAAAAGTTATTTTCATATTCTTCCATCAATTTCCTAAAAACAAACAAAAATCACACCTACTCTTTAAGCAACCTTTAATAAACCTACATATGTTGAGCTTCTCTTTTCTTCAATTCATGTGCCATTTGCGCAGCCTTTTCCTTGCCTTCTTTCACTTGTTCCTCCAGTTCCTTGTCTTTGCTACCGCCATTTTCAAGGTTATTTTCCAGGATTTTAGATTTTTCCTTCAGCATCTCATTCAATTCCTTGATCTCCGATTTAAAGTCATTTCTTTCAGCTTGCGTTTTTATCACGATTTCTTCCTTTTGACGAATTTCTAACTCTAAACTAGCTCTAGCTTGCTGCAGCTGAAATTTAAGGTCAGCTATTTCCCTTTGTTGCTCTGTAGTTAATTCAGCCATTTTTTGAATCTAAAAAAAAATATTTTATTTATTTTTGTTATTAAAAAATTGTATTACTTACTTTTGAGTCAACCAAATTAACAGCAGGTAATGTTACATCCTCTTCTGAAAAACATGATAATTAGTATTTAATTTAATAGGTTTTGAAAATATTAACAGTTGAATTTAGTTCAGGTTCTTTAACTGCTCAAATTTGACGAATTTATGTTTAAAAACCTGAACCAAGTTCAACTAACCTTTTTTATCTTTCAAGTCTTTTACTTCAAGTTGGTGGTGTTTACAAGAGTCAGCTGTGTCTTGTGTCAAGATTTTCTCAGAATTTTTAAACTCCAATGAGTCTGTTACAGTGGGTGTTACTTCCTTTGAATCTGGTTTTAACACCTTTTCTGCTTCAAAAGTTCGGTTTAAGTTTTCTATTTCAATATCTTCTGATTTGGGCTCTTTAGGGTCTACTTTGTTTATATCCTCAGTCTTTGGAATTGCGCTGTATATTTTATTACCTGGCAAGGGGGGAGATACAATACTGTTTATTACTGATGTATGTAAATCCTTCTTTACTGCTTCAAATGTTTGGTTAAGGTTAACTCTTTCTGAAGTGTTATTTACTAATTTCGGCTTTTCTTTTGACAGAGTTTTGCTGAAGTTAGCTTCTCCAGATGTATCTTCTGATGCAGCACTTTCTATTGTTGTTGTAGATACAGGAATCTTCTCTTGTGTGATATTTGATGCAATTTTTACTTCTTCAAATGTTTGGTTAAGATCAACTTTTGGCTCTTCTTTTGACAGAGTTTGGCTGAAGTTAGCTTCTCCAGATGTATCTTCTGATGCAGCACTTTCTATTGTTGTTGTAGATACAGGAATCTTCTCTTGTGTGATATTTGATGTAATTTTTACTGCTTCAAATGTTTGGTTAAGATCAACTTTTGGCTCTTCTTTTGACAGAGTTTTGCTAAAGTTAGCTTCTCCAGATGTATCTTCTGATGCAGCACTTTCTATTGTTGTTGTAGATACAGGAATCTTCTCTTGTGTGATATTTGAAGTAATTTTTACTGCTTCAAATGTTTGATTAAGGTCAACTTTTTCTGAAGTGTTATTTACCAATTTCGGCTCTTCCTTTGACAGAGTTTGGATGAGGTTAGCTTCTCCAGATTTATCTTCTGATGCAGCACTTCCTATTGTTGTTGTAGATAGAGGAATCTTCTCTTTTACTGCTTCAAATGTTTGGTTAAGGTCAACTTTTGACAGATTTTGGCTAAAGTTTGCTTCTCCAGATGTATCTTCTAATGCAGCACTTTCTATTGTTGTTGTAGATACAGATATCTTCTCTTGTTTGGTATTTGATGCATTTTTTTCGAAAATAGGCTCTTCATTTACTTCACTTTGAAGTAAAGTGGAAGTTTTATTAAGGTTAGCTTCTTCTGTTTGGTCGGTTTTATGAGATTCAGATGTATCTTCTGATGCAGAAATCTTTTCTTGTGTGATATTTAATACACTGTTTATTGCTAATGTACATTCAATCTTCTCTGGTGTGGTATGTAAATCCTTCTTTACTGCTTCAAATGTTTGGTTAAGGTTCTCTAATTTAGGCTCTTCTTTTGGCAGAGTTTGGCTGAAGTTGGATTCTTCAGATTTATCTTCTGATGCAGTACTCAATGTTATTGGAGATGTAGAAATCTTTTCTTGTGAGGTATTTAATACACTTTTTTCTGATTTAGGCTCTTCCTTAACTTCTAGATGTTCTAGTATATTGTGTTTAGCTTCTTCCTTATTATCTGTAGCACTTTCTAATGTTATTGGAGGGATATATTCTTGTGTGACATTTAATAATGATTTAGCCTCTTCTATGAAAAGCTTCTCATGTGTAATATTTAAAACACTTTTTTCTGGTTTTTCATTAACATAAAAACTTTCTAGTTTATTGGCAGTTTTATTAAGGTTAGGTTCCTCACTGTGGCTTAATTCTAAACCAGAATCAGCTTGGTTATTAGTTGGTGTTGTAGAAAAATTTTCGATATTTTCTGTTGATTCTTGAACCTCAAATGTTTTGTCAAGGATTTCTGTCGCTTTAACTGCTACAGGAGTAAAAAATACATCGCTTGATACATTTTCTGGTTTACCTGTTTCTTTAACCACAGTGCTGTTTAAATCATAACCTTCACTACTTTTTGCTGAAGGAGTGTAATATATATCATCCGATGCACTTCCTAATTTACCCAATGGTGTTTTTGGAATAATTATTAATTTATTATCTATCTCTTGAACACTATCTCTGTCTAGTTTTTTTTCTATGTGTTCCAACTCCAAGCCTAAATTAGTTGGATTGTTCTTATGGTTGAATGAATTTACCCTAATAATAGCTGCCGGACTTAAGTAAACACCCTCTGTAACAGCACTTGGTAGTTTTCTCAGCGGCGTATTTAAAAGTAGTTCATCTTCTTTATTTATTGGAGAAATTGATTGGAAATCATCACTATCACTTAAAAGGCCATCTTCAACAAGGGACAAGTTTGTCTCGTTACCAATATCAATCTTAAGGGGATTTGTTAAACTGTCAAGCTGCTGGTTCTTGTTTGCGTTTGCCCCACTAGCACCTAATTAAATGTACATAATTATTAAATAATAATGGAATAATACCTTAGTTTGTATATTTGTATCTTTTATGGAATGTTAAAATGCATAAAGCCAATTCAGACTTTTTCAAAATTTACATTATATTAAACATGTGTACTTGGGCGTTTAATCTGCACCAAAAGCCATAAAACGTCATTGCACAACATATGTCAATTCTGCCAAGGTCCTAACCATAACAAGGTAATCCGGTAAACGAAAACTCAACAAAACTCAATGAAAATTAAAAACAACCCTTAGCAACAATCAAATATCACTAAAATGTACGATATACAATATTTATTGCTGATAAAAATTGTTTTATTCTTTCGGTAGCCTTGTTGCTGCACCCAAGTTCAACGACCTTGGCCGAGTGACTAATGCCGGATGCATAAGGCACACAATCCCATAAAAGACGCCAATATATCGAACTAGTTTGGCACTAAAGTAAATAAACTCACCATTTTCCTGATCGGTTTTTATCAAATTCACGTTTATCGTTCTGTCATCTTTGACAGATTCCATCGGTTTCATGGTATTTGTTGTTTCATTCTATAAAAGTGATTTCATGCATGTTTATAACGTTTAAATATTATAGTGGAGCGTTTATTTTGATTTTAAACAGCAGTATTTATGCATGGTCTATTAAATACATACTCGTACATACAATAACAATTTCCCCCTACTAATGCAATTTAGTAAATTTAAATAATTAGTTTTAGATAAATTTTAGATAAATCAATATGATATAATAATATTTGCAGACTAATGTATTTAATTTAGACAAAATAATTGCGTCTTTATTTATTTGACAAACATACATTTGTTTTAGAATAATGCTCAAAAATATATCAACCACAGAACAAACTAGTTATTATAATAAATAAATACCTGTATAATTTTCTTAAAAACGTTAGTAACAAAATTCATGATCGCTAAATATTAACAAACCGACAAGCGAATTTCTTGGCTTACACATCATAATAAAACCAACTAAAAATATCCTAAAAACTGATTGTCACAATGCAAAACATAGAATTTTTTCCAAGCACCAGAATTGAATTTGGTTAACGAATTGACTATTTTAAAATGACACTGGGATCTATTTTTAACAACCTAAAAACTTGAAAGGCGTAAATATAATGTTAGGGGCAAGACACCATAGTATATCTTGCCCTCTATTTTTTCCCAGATCATAATGTTAAAAATAACTTCACAGCGTCGAACATTTCGTTTGATTGAACTTTACTTTTACGCACTTTTATTTTAAAATTAAATTAATATTAATGAACCAAAAATAAATTAAATTTAAAAATTAATAAAAGCATGCTGCATACCAGGTTGTGTCGATTAATTTCCTTCAAAGGGCTTCGAGCTTCCATCTTATTGAAACTATCACCTGGAAATGATTACTTTACAATCACATTACATAACAACTATTTTTAAACAAATAATTGGCCCAATCAAATTATTTTTAAACAAAGTCTTTTATTTATATGACAATAAACTATTTGTATTAAATTTTCTATTATATCATTAGTAGGTAATAATAATACGAACTAAATCACGTCAAATGGACCCTCATTTTCCAATTGGTCATAAAATTTAATACATCAAAAAATTACAAAAAATGTTAAAATTAAAAAAGTTATAATATTCCCTTAAATATTTATATTTTTTCATAACTACCCTAAACCTAAATATAAACAATTAATAAGCATTTAAACTTTCTGATTGTTATTAAAATAAATAAATAACTTGGTTATTTCAACAACAATCAGAATGTTCAAGTGCTTAATAATTGTTTATTTTTAAGATTTGGTTGTTAGGCAATAATAATTTTTTGATAGATATTAAATTGTCCTTTAAAATATGTAAAAATAGGTATACAGGGTGTCCCTTATAAAAAAAAGGATATTTTAGTGAATATTTCGGAAACAACATGTTTAATTGGTTTTCTGTTTTAAATAATTTGCTGATTGAACTGACTTTGTAGCTCTAATAATAAAGGAGTTAAAATGGTGAGCATATAACTTTGGAAAAGGTGTACATTTTTTATTTTTATTTACCTATAAAAAATAACTTGCGCTAGCTTTTAAAACCTTCATTTAAAAATGTAAAATTTCAAAAAAATATTGTTAGTAATGACTACTTACAATTATTGATGAATAATAAATTTAAATTATATGATCAAGTGGAAAACGGGGGGTCTACTTGAGATGATTCGTCTCTTTGCTTTATCTTCAAAAATCTGTATTCTACAGAAAAAACTTGGGGACATAAAACATGAAGATTTAAATTCCCTACAAAAAATATTTGTTTAACTTTTGTCAAAAATTGACGGAAAACAAGATATTTAACTTTTTTTGTTGACATATTCGATGACATCTTTTGAATATACTTAAAAATGTACTTTTACTTAAGTAATTGCATTAAAATACATTGTACAAAAATGAAATCTATAAAACAATTTTCAAATAGGACTTTCATATTTCTTTTAGGTAGGTACTACCTACTCCTAAATAGCTAAACAATCAAAATCAAAACATTACCACTTAAAACTGATATATTCCACTAAAACAACCATCAACAGTAAATAACACGTGCAATTTGTATCAAATCAAGAGGTAAAACTAAAGTTTTCAACAAAAAAACACAATAGCAAACGACCAAAAAATAGGGTTAATGCAACTGAAATTAAAACTGGAACTGGAACTCACCAAACTCTCCAACAAAATAGTAAAACTGCACCTGCTGGGCACAAATGCAAACGCTACTGCAATTTTGCGTCACAGAAAGATGGTAGCAATATAAAAAATCAAGAAAAAAACGAATATTCTTAACCGACTCGATTCAAATATCAAACATGGACGTCTGTGCGCAAGTCAACGCAGATATGTCAAATTAATTTTGGCGGGATATTTGAATTTAAAAAGCATCCACCGAGTTTATTTTTAGTTTTTTTTAAATGTATATTATTAAACATGAGCTTTTTATTTATTTTAAATGCTTTGTTAGTATTACATGGTGTTTATTGGATTATAAAGTTCTAGGGGTTTTGTGTGCATGTTTTATGACAGGCTGTTAATTAATTTTAGGCCTATTATTATTATTGTGTGTATTTGGTATTTGTATTTTTCCATTTTTTTAATGCGCTGAATGTTGGCCGATAATATCCTTCGGCGAGTAAGACAGTAACTGTTACTTGTTTAATTCTTGTGCTTAAGTGCGTCAGAAGTGCTGTGTGCTTTTTTGTGAAATATAATAATGCAAAAATAATAACAAGAATTGAATTTGATTTTTTCGGGTAAGCATTTTGGTAAACGTTATATTTGTATCTTTATGTATTAAAAAATAGTTGTTTTTAATGTAACATTAAAAAAATGACCAACATATCATGGTGATTATTTTTTTGGTAACGTTTTGGGTTAAATAATTAATTAGGTAATAATTTTTATCACGTGTTATTTAACAAATGTTGTCATTCTAGTAATTTCGCTCTAGTGACCAAGTTAAAACAAGTTTTATCAGAAATTAAAGAAAAATTGGGGATTCTCGCTGATAAAAAAATTAAAAGGTTTTATTATAACCCTTGGTACATTTATTTATTTATCTCGAGTTTACATCTCAAACGATGCTAGTTGTGTTCAGAAAGTCCTCGTGAGTTTCTTTAATAAACTGGTTTTTAGCGTGAATTTAGTCCACATACAGTAAGTCGTTATTTCGTTTTTCTTTAAAAAGTGTTTTTAATTGCCAAAAAGGTATGACAACTTAAATGTTATTAATTAATATTTTTAAATTGTATGGTTCTTACCTACATATTTAATGTGATAACAATTTCCGTTAGCACAAATTCGGTGTTTTCTTTCTTAAATTTTAATTTGTATAGGTAGGTATAACTAGGTATTACCTATACACTGAAGATCGTTTTATAGTTTCATGTGTGCAAAAAATTGACCCAGAATGTTTGAGCGCAAAAAAATTTACACTAATTTTTATGCCGCTTCAAAATCCGGTCCCATTATTTAAATACAATTTTAAATATTTGTTCGATTCAAATTGTTGGCTATAATCATACATATTGACATGCATGTGATTTGTAAAAAGAAAATAAAAAATAGGTACTATGGAGGATGTAACAAATATTAAATAGGCTAAATGGGTGACATAATGTTAAATGCAAATGTGTAAAAATCATATAATTTGGGTAAAATGTATGGCATTTTAAAAAATGCGGAAAATATTCATGGTTTAATAACCAACAAAATATATATCATTTGTTTTCGTTTGTAACGGTAGAAACGAAAAGACAATTTGTTTGAAAACTCTTTAAGCAGTTGCCGACAAACTATTGTGCGTTAAAGAACTTTATTCGATTTATTGCTAGTGAGATTTTTTTGAAACATTTGTTTATGGAATTAAGACCTATATGACCAGGCTTTACAATGTAAGAATAAATATTTTGTAGTATTTTTTTACGAGGATTTATTTTTGTTTGAAACGTTTTGAGATTGTCAATGTAAGATTTTGTCGGGTTTTCTGTGTTAATTTGTATGTACAAAGTAGTTAATTTTTCTGTATTATGTTTATGTAAAATAAATTTTTATAGCCTGACATAGTAACCGAATAATTTCATTTTCGTTTAAGTAAATTACAAGCATTTCAAGCGTACAAACGAACCAAATTTAGTGGAGCATACATCAATTATATGCTATGATGACAAGTTGACAACTTTATGGTTTTAGCAACAATAGTTTTCGGATTATATTCAAATGCATCGCCCATCAATGTCCGAGCTAAAATTAATAATTAACCTCGTCTTTTAATAGCATTCTGTTGGACAAAAAGACATAAGTGCGCGCATTTAATACATTCGCTTTAGAAACGTTGCACAGTTCTGTGATAAACTCTTTTAGGGTGAGTGAGATTACATCAGTTTCTAGGAATATAATTTTCTTCAAGCGTAATTAAACCGTTTCAGGAAGTGGAAAGTCTTCTTTTCGTATAATGTGTTACAATTAAAATGTTTTTAAATTGTAAGAATTTTTATGGAACAATTTGAAACATTTGTGTCATTTTTTTAGAATGCGTCGACTTGTAGTATTCCTGTTTTTCACCAGCAAATATATTTGCGATTGCCAGGAGGGCTCGCAATACCTCCAAAATGCCGTCCGCGATCTACGCAAAATGAATTTCCGCCAAACTTTAAGGAGAGCCGATACGAAATTTTTGGAGGAGTCCACCAAACTCCCGATAACAGATGAAGAAAACACTCCAGCCGCAATTGAAAGAAGGGTGGTCTACCAAAACGGCAACGTACCACCCCTAACTCTAACGAAAGGAGAATTGGCGGCTTTGTACGAGAACGCAGTTCATAAAGGCGAGACGATTAAATTAAATGCGGGAGATAATTCTTACGTTCATGCCGCTGTAGCTGAATTGGATGGTTCGGAAAGTAAAATCCATTCCCACGAAGATCACTCAGACGATACGGATGGTTACTATTACTACTATTACCCCATCAAGAGCTTTCTTGATGAGATGTCTTCGCAGCCAGCTCACGTAACCCAATATCATTTAATTAGTTGAAACGTTTTTAAGACTGTACTTTTTAGGGCCACAATGATAAAATTCACTTTCCCTCGAATCCCCCATCAGATTATCACATAGACCCACATGATCATTACGATCACATTCAACCCTACAAGGAGCATCATGATGACCATACGAAATCCAAGTACCAATATCATTCACACCATCACGAGGTAAGAAACCCGAAACGCGAAATTTATTTGTTAAACAACTACTTTCAGCATCTCATCAATATATCACCAACTAACAAGCAAGCAGTTGAGGAGAAGAAACCTAAAGCGATGGAACCACTCTTCATGGCGATATCGGGCTTTATAGGAGTTGCAGTTGCTATAGCTCTATCGGTTTTGATGATACCACGGATGGCCAACCCTCTGGTCGGCAATAAAAAAACCGCCAAACACGAACGGATATCGGATATAGCGAGGATCGCTATATCCGCCATAGAAGGCAATGACTGCACTGAAAGGTTCGCTTGCGAGTTAGGCAACACTGCAAGATCCTTTAATTTGCAAGAAAATAGGTTTGTTAAGTAAGTTTGTTAAACAAACAATTTAATTTTAATAATGTAACCATTAGACTAGGCCAAAAAAATCAACAATTTTTTTTTTGAAAAGTATATCGAAAATATGGTTTGGGGTGACAAAAAAAATTATTGTAAAAGTTTGAGTCCATAATATTAATATTAAGAGGTCTATCATCGCAATTTTAATTTTTTTCCCCAGCAAGTTTTAGGCTCAGAACTCCCAAACCATTGAGTTTAACAAAATTGACTTAAAAATATTTTTTTAATTGCTCTACAAAAAAGGTTAAAGTGAAATTTTCCGTCAGATGAACCGTTTCCTTAAAATCATGCCTTAAAAATTGGTATGGTTTTACATTTTGATCTTTTAAATTGGAATTTTGTAATTCATGTAAAAATCAGTACCCATAAAAAACCGATAAATATTCTTATGGGAAATCGAATGCTTTACAAAAAAAGCCTCTTAACATTTTTTGCTAAATTCACTCAATCAAAAGTTATTCAAGGTTAAAATTTCGTTTTGACTTGAATACCTTTTGATGGAGTGAATTTAGCCAAAAATGATAAAAGATTTTTTTTGTAGAGCATTTGATTTCCCATAAGAATATTTATCGGGTTTTTACTTGAATTACAAAATTCCAAAATTAAAAGAAATTGTAAAACTATACCAATTTTTAAGGCATGATTGTAAGAAAAGGGTTCATCTGACGGGAATTTCCAATCAAATCTTATTTGTAGAGCATTCAATTTTCTTCAAAAAATATTTCCAAGTCAATTTTTTTAAACTCAATGAGACAAAAACTCGCTCAGGAAAAAAAATCTAAAATTGCGATGATATTAATATTATGGAATCAAACTTTCACCATAATTTTTTTTGTCACCCCAAACAATATTTTCGATATACTTTCAAAAAAAAAAATAGTCGATTTTTTTGGCCCATTCTAGTAACCATAATGATTTGTTTTTTTTTAGATTGTTGAGGAGGATGGCCCCTTCAACCTTTGGAAAGCACATTGATAAAGTTGGACGATACTCAAACAAAAGATTGAAATGTACGGCTATTCCATGCAAGAAAAAACCGCCGAAGAATAAGAACAGTCAAAAGAAAAACGCTCAAAAGAAATCTTAGTTGCCACCAAAGTAAAATTAGCATTAAGTATTTATTCCTTCTATTTATTTATTTATTTATTGTATTTAATAGTTTTGTAAATAAACCTTTTTATTATTATTTATTAATTTTCATTTAATACAGACAAAAACGTTAAATTTGTATGTTTTTATTACTTAAAAAAATGTTATTAGCAATATAAAATAAAACGATGAACATAAATGTATATAAATAAATACTTTTGATGCAGAAAATGCATTATACAGTCTTAATTTTGTATCCTAAATACAAAGAGAGCAATGTTACAAATTATATACACAGAACTTTGTTTAAATTACAAAGTGACACAAAAAAATAAAAATTATTATACACAGTACAATAGCGAAATTAAAGCACTACATATTAAGCAATGGGCTACATTTTTTGTTGTAGTATTTTCCTATATGAAACCTCAAAATGAGTACTTTACGCAATTTATAAATATTAAATTAATGTATAAAATTCATTATTAAATATGACCTAATTTTGTTTATTATGAATGCTACTTTTAACTCCATATATGAAAATATCTTTGAAGTGCTAATTGTGTGTATCTGCAAAAAATCTAAACATGTCTTGTTTTTAAAAGAAAAAAGGGCCATTTTGGTACCCTGTACTTTTAATTTAGTCGTATTATTTAAAGCTACAAACAAAATTAAAAGTTCAGACTTGAATTGTGGTAAATTTAAAACTATTTCAGACTTATTTTATTTTTTGGTATATAACGACAGTTATTGCCCTATTGGCTTCAAACTTAGATCTAAAAGTAAAATTAAACTAGTAAGTACTTTAATTTTGTTTTTAGCTTTTAATTTTACTAGGGTGCTTGGAATTTGTGCACCATACATGGCATGTATAAAAATTCACATTGAGCAAAGCTACTTTTTTTATTAAAATTACCGAAAAAAAGTATTATTATTGCTTAAAAAAAGAAAAACCACCACATGTACTTTGGTTTTGAACTAGAAAAAATATTTTCAAAAAGATATGAATAAAAATCACGTTATAAATATCAATAAATACATATAAAAATACCCAAATATTCATGAGACCAAGTTATGGTATTTTCTGGAATGGAATATAAATGTTAATATATGGCACCAATTATAAAACATTACTTTTCACATAAACCATGCAGGTCTGCATAGTTCACTATGGCTCTATGAAGAAACTCGTACTGAGCCTGAAACAAACAACAAACAATTGTACACGGTAAAAAAACACAAAACATATGTTAAACAAATACACTTACAGGCAAAATAATCGATCCACACAAATTTTCGATGAATTTCAATCGCAAATAACTTGTTTATTTGATGTCGGATTTAAACGAATATGAAAGAATATTGTAGATAAATTAATGGACAATCGCTCACATTTTAAAAAATTACTAAAAAATAAAAGTACGTTTATAATATACAGGTTTAAACAAAAAGATGTTTTTTACCATAAGTTTAAGACACTCTGTAGAGTGGCAAAACCGTATATTGTTCTAAATTAAGTTTTATTTATCAAGTCACATCTATTCTTAACAGTTTTGTTTTTGGTTCACCTCGATATATTTATTTTTGTGGAAAATATGGTTTTGTTTAAACCTGTATATTATAAACGTACGTGTATTTTTTAGTAATTTTTAAAATGTAAGCGATTCTCCATTAATGTATCTCTACAATATTCTTTAATATTTGTTTAAATCCGAAATCAAATAAAAAAGTTATTTGCGATTGAAATTCATCGAAAATTTGTGTGGATCGATTATTTTGCCTGTGAGTGTATTAGAAATATTCCCCAACACCAAAACTGTTTTAAACATTTCTAATGCCGGTTTTACACCAAACCGACAAAACAGCAATTCGAGTTGAAAAAAACAAAACCGCAACTTTTTGCAGATTTTTTGAAGATTTTTAGGCAACTCAACAGTTGCTGTTGTGTTTTTCGTTTCCCGATCGATGTCGGTAACTTCAAAGAGTTGCTGCGTTTTTTGCAACTCAGTCGGCTTGGTGTAAACGTCTGTTATCAACTTGAGTTGCGGCGAGCTGTGTTTTTGTCATGTTGACGGTGGCGGCAAGGTTATTTATCGAAAAAGAATAAGTATATAACATCTTTGCACCACCATCATATTTCCTTCTATTTAATAAGGATCTCACCCAATACCTGCGTGTACGACGTTTTTTCTAAATCACGTACCAACAGCCAACCGCACACGAGAAAAAAAAAAAGTTCCTCGTCACTATCCATGTTAATTTTTTTAAATAAATAATATAAAATAATGAACAACCATCTACTTTCTGAATAGAACTAAACAAAACTGCAACTGTTTCTCTGACGTAAAACGACAAAAAACAAAAACTCGACAGCAACTAATTTTTGTCTGTTTTATCGTTAAAAACAGCAACTCAACTAGTCGGTTTTGTGTAAAACCGGCATTATATTTGTTTGTCCTTTTCCAATCAACTTACATATGAATTGATTAACGCGTGCCTTTGAGAGCGCAACTTTCTGACGACCGTGAAAATGTCGACGCGCTTTTCGGTACGCAGTTGCTGCACCAAAATCGTGAGACCGACAAACATGGAGCTCCTGTCGGAACCCAAGTTGCAATGCACCACCATCGAGGCCGAGTATTCGTTTTTCACCACCGCCGACTGACCGTGATCCACCAGCTCTATCATGCCCCTCGTCACTTCCGGCACCTCTCCGTCGACCGTGGGCCAGCCGTGGTACTGCAAGTGGATGACCTTTTGCTCCTCGCCGTCCCTGCTTTTAACAAACATCTCCCTTCTGGTGTAGTAAGGGCACGTCTCGGCTTGCGCGTAGCGCACCGTGATGTGATCGTACGTCCTCTCTTCTTCCTCTGGCCAGTAACGCGTGCACTTGTTATCGCCCACCTCCGACATCATAACGATGACGCTGATGCCCTGCTCGGCGATCATGCGCCAAAAATCGCTCACCGTGTTTTCCAACGGGTCCTGAGTTATGATGAAGGATTCGCAATTGTCGTAACCTTCTATAAGCGACGCGTTTATGTAAGTTGAATGTTCTTTGCCCGAGAGAGGGGTGAGGATAAATCGGTTTCTGTCGTACGGTAGAACGCTGTCGGAGCGATTTTTCTCGCGGTTTTCCTCGCCGCCGGCCACAGAGCACGATTTTCTGTCTTCAAAAGCGTTCACGATATTCTAAAAAATAATAAATATAGAGATTCGACTTGAAAAAAAACGGTCCGTTTTTTTGTTTTCTTTCCAAATCGTTTTTTTTCACATTTTAAGTTTTTTTTCAATATTAGTCCCATTTGCCTAATTTTTTGTTTCCAGTCCATTTCATGGACTAAAATTAGTCACTAAATGACAATTAGTAAATGTAAATACAGTCTCGCGCTACCACCACCGAATTGACCAATAATTGATTTTTCAAAAAGCTACCTTTTTCATGATTTTCCAAATTCATGTAGAGTATGGATTTTTTTTTAACAATAGCAAAGTCAGAACATTCCGTGGACCAGAAAGCCAAAAAAAATTCGATTTTTTATTACGGTATTCGTTAGGATTGAGCGTTGCACGTTTTTCATCAAAAAATCTCAAAACTAGAAACTTCAAGCTTCATATTGCTTTTTTTACGACCATTTTTAACAAAGATCTCAAGAATCGCAAAACATTTTTTTATCCTTTAATTTTTTGTATTAGTATAGAAGTTTTACATTGCTATTGGTTTCTAATGTGGAAACTACCAAATAATCAATTCAGATTTTTTAGTCACGGTCAAAATTTTCAATAATGAAAAATGTAATATATTCTACATTTCACTTTATTATTAATATACATTTTACTTAAAATTTCATTTTGAAAAAAAACAAAAAAAACCGTTTTTTTTTAGGTTTTTTTTCACATCTGAAAAAAAACCGTTTTTTACATCTCTAAATTAATACCTTATAAGCTTACAAGGCTGGAAAGTAGAATTTTTACCTCAAATTGCTCCTCCAATGGACACTTCACTTTATCTTTATCACATTGCCTCAACTTATCGACGGTTGCCTTCAACTCATGGGCGCCGATTTCGGTATCGCCATACTGAGCAACCTCCATCAAAGCTCTATATATGAAAATGTATTGTTTCTAAAAACATCCATAAATTAATAATCGCGATCATTAACAACACACCAATACTTACCAAACTTTGAACCAGGAAGTTTCTTTGATGTCTCAAATCACAAATAGTATTGAAGATAGAGACGCTTCCTTCCTCTTTGAACTGTTGCAGGAGACAATCCATAGCCACCAAGGTGCCAGTTCTGCCGACTCCGGCGGAACAATGCACCAAAATGCAACCCTTCTCAATCGAATAAGCCTCATTGACTCTCTTTATAAATTTAATTATTCCGTTGGGATGCTCGGGGGCCATGAAGTCCTTCCAGACCAAGTAGTGGTACTGCGTTATTCTCCTCTCTTCCAAATCTTTGCTGCCGCCTGTCGTGGCCCGCGAGATTTTCAAATCGCGCACGATGTAGTCGGAAAATCGTGTTTCCTGCACGTGCGTAACGGTTATATCGCCGAAACTTTTATCGCCATCGCATTTATCGGGCCAATATTTGGCGCACTTGGTTTTGCTGTACTCTTCGAGATTCGTGAGCATCAAAATCAACTCCAAATGCTGCTCCCAAATCATTCGCCAGAAATCGTTGACTGTGGTATCCATAGGGCCTTGTGCGCAAATAAACTTCTTTCGTTCTTTGTAACCCATTACGAAATTGGCGTTGACATAATCGGAACCAGCGATGCTGTCCACTTGCGATAGTTTGACTCTAGTTTGATCGTATGCTTTAATATCGGGGTAACGGTTCTTGTAGACATTCTCTCTTGTGTCCGATGATCTGGTGGTTCTGTCTGAAAATCGATCGGGCAGCAATTCGAATTCCTGTTGAAAGCCGTAGTCCGAATCCCGGTGTCGTTCCACGTAGGCAGACACCAAATCCCCTTTGCTAATTGGGCACATATCGGGTGGATTTAGCGACACTAATCTCTGACGGCCCCGCAGACTCCTGTACAAATGCCTAAGTCCAATTATTACGCCAAAAAAGACTATTTTATCGTTGAAGAGGGATTTCAACTACCCCTACATGCTAAAGTCGTCGCGGCGAATGTTTGAAATTGCGTCATCGAATTCTGAACCAAGCACAGACATCACAATTGTTGTTGTTTTCTTTTACGTATGTATTCGGATCTAAGACGAACGCAAGTCCGATGTCACGCTTAAGCAACGTACGTTAAACAAGGACAGAGCGCATTAGTTTGTTGTTGGAGGGGTTAGGTTTTTGTGACGTGTTCTTGACATTGACATTTATATATTTTTATCATTTTTATGGTCCTATGATTCTGATCAGAATGCCCGGAAATCGGTTCGATGGGAAACAGATTCGATTTGTGTTTAATTTATTATTTTCAAAGGGAACTGGGGCATGGGGGTCCCCTGTTTCCATTAAATTGTATCCAAGAGGTAAGAGCTATACACAGCTAGCAACATTCACAGCACATTTCAAGTTGGTCACGTAGAGTTAAATAATTCCTTTAGGCCATATAGTATCTGTGATACAATTTGCCGTGCATTCTTGGTTGCATAGTATGTACCGATTGCGGGAAAGACCACGTCTTACATCTCGCCTCGGTTGGCTTACGTGGGCAGTATATAAGCTTAGGAAGTCCTTTGTTTTGAGTGTGTTCCACTACACCGAGTTGCCCGACACTGATGAGACCCAATATAGGTCGAAACAGCTGTCTGTCGGTATTTAAAATTGGTGGAACGCTCTCAAAACAAAAAACTTTGGCGAGGTGTAGGTTCAATTTTTTCTTATGAATATTACCAGTAATGGGTCAAAGAAACGTTTTTTAAACGTATGTCGAGAAATCGGTTTTTAACATTCAACATTGATGACGCAATTTCAAACATTCGCCGCGACGACTATACTTACGGTAGGTTACATTTACTGAGTACTTAAGCATTTGTTCTAATTGTGTAAACATAACATCTGACAGTGAATCTAACATAAGCTGCAGATTTGTCTGATATTGTTGAAAGTTATATTTACATAATTATTATTTAAAGATACAAAGAAATTACCTGAGTGAAGTCCTGAAGGTGATCATCTCGACGGCCTGTGCGTGCGCTTGCTTGGTGTAGCGGTGCAATATACAAAGCGTACCGAATATCAGCAGTATTACAATGAATAGCGCACAGAGCACTTGCACGGTAAGTCCTATGGTATCGACAGCAGGAGCAGCAACTACTTCAGGACCTGGGCTTAGCATCTCCAAGTAGTTACTGTACGCTGCCAGAAACGTCGTATCCGAACTGCGAACAATAATTTCCACGAAAGCGGTATAATTGCTGCTGATGTCGAGATTGCCATCGTACGGCGGCAAAGGATCGTCCAACTTTTCGTTTTGCCTTCTGACCCGATTGGCGGTATTGTTGGTGACCTTGTTGATTTTTTCCTCTCTCGGCGTGTTGTAGGGTCTTAAGCCTATGCATTCGTCGCATTCGGTGTTGCTGGAATTGAAAACTTGATCGTCCCCGAGAAAAACCTCCTGGTGGAACGTTGTGCTGGAGAACATTTCGGCGACGTAGGCGCCACCTCGGGGCGTTCTGTGCGCTTGCATGTAGGAGACTATGGTTAAATCCTCGGGCGTCGGCAGCTCGGCCAATTTTTGTTGATCCTCCATGCGCACCAAGTAGATTCGGTAGCAACAGATCGGGCCGTTTCGTTCGGACACTCTCGGCATGGACAATTTGAAAATCCACTTTTCCTGCTCCTGCTCCATTTTGCGCCACGATATGCGCGACAACTTTTGCTTGTCGGGCAGGGTGGGCGGCATGGTGCAGGAAGTTTCGACGGACTCGCCGTTTTTGCGCAGGCGCGTCACGCCGGCCAACTTGACCGTGTAATTCGTGTTCGCGGACACGTTGTAAAAACGCGTCACCGGGTTTTTCTCGTTGACGTTCGTCACTTTCGGGCCCCACGTGATCTGTTCCAGCAAACCCTGCTCGTTTACGTAGGAAGCCGAGCCCTCCAAGTGAACGTTATAGGAGGTGATGGTGCCGTGCGGCGTGATTGGCGGCCTCCAGGTGACGTAGACGAAACTGGTGTGGCTGATGTTGTCGAATCGGCATTCTACTGTTACGTTTGTCGGGGGACCGGACATGCCGTCCATGGTTGTGCCGTTTACGGGCTCCGAGCTGGCTCCGCATTCTTTCGTGTACTCGCTGCATGCGGACACTTGGAACACGTATGTGGTCGCAGACTCCAGCTCCGAGAACATGTACAGATTGTCTTTCGAGGCCGGATGATAGGCTTCCAATCTCTCGCTGGAATTATTCATGATCAAGTTGAAATAGTGGATGTGTTCCTTGATTTTGTCGTGCGGGGTAGTCCATTTGATGGTGATCGAGCTGGTCGTAACGCCTGTCACGGTTACAACAGGTATAAAAACGGGATCCTCGTCCAACATTTCGATTGCGTCGGCGGTGTAATATTGGCTGTCACCTTGCTTATTGGTCGCCATCATCCTTATGGTGTACTCCGTGCCGTTTTTAAAGTTGTCCTTAAGAATGCACGACGTGTTTTTTCCCTTGATTTCGTTCTTATAATATATCCAGTTGGAATCTCCCTTCTTCATGTACTGTATCGTATACTTAAGATCCGGACTGTTGCCGTCATTGACAGTCCAATTGAGGTAAATTTTATTGGTTGCAATAGCTTTAATAAAGTCAATCGTTATTTGAGGTTTATCCAAAACCATTATGGCACTTGACGCGTTCACTCGCAAAACGCCGTTCGTACTTTTACAGATGTAACTTCCATTGTCGCTCTTCTTCACTTCCTCGATGCTCAACGTGGAATTTTTTAGTGTACTGTTGATGGATTCCATTTTGGAACCTTCAACAATCAACTTGTCCTCCTTGAACCACATCACCTCCTCAATGGGGTAACCTTGCACCAAACAGACCAATGTGACGCTCTCGTGGATTTTCGCGAAAATTGGCGAAGAGATTTGTACTATTTGAGCAGGTGAGGTCACGTTTAAAATTATGCTGTGACGATCTAAATCAGTTACATTTTCATTGGCTGCATGACAAACATAGTCCCCAACATGGCCAAAGTCAATCTTTAATATATGCAAAATTGAAACTTCATATTTATTGCCCGATTCTTTGTTTATATTCTCACTCTCCATTTCCAGTTTAAATCTGTAATAATTTAATAATAATAATAATTAATATATTCCCCCAAAACCCAACTTGTTTTATTTTTACAAGTTCTTGTAATTTGATTTAAAAACATATCAATAATAATAAACAATTTAAATTTAAAATTGAATTAAAAAATTTGACATAACCATGGCATTCTAATTTGCTTTTATACTTAAGTTGTTTTAATTTTTACCTAAAATTAAATATATTATTGTATAAATATTTCTTGAATTTTCTTAGTTCTAAAGTTTTTATTTTGTTATATTTGAACCAAAAACTTGTTGGTGTATTATCAACTTGTAAATTTAAAAACCAACTGTTAATGACAAGGCTTAACATGACACATAATATAAATAAAAGAGGTGTAGCTAAATCTAGAAATTACATAGGTATGGATAAACACATTGCAAAAATAACTTCATTTAGTATTCATTCCACATAATTATTATTAGTTAAATAAACAAAATTACATACCCTTCCTGTTCTGAAATGTTTTTTTCATTGAAGGTCCACCACATTTTACTGGTCATCCATTTGGTTTTGCAAATAATTGTTACATTATCCCCAAGGGGTAACTTATTGTGATCCTCATGTCTTAGCACTTTAATCGTCATATTTAATTCCTTATCATCTTCAGTGTAGGATAGGGGATCTAAAATTTCGAAAAAATTAGCTTTTAAAAATTAACAATAATACACCAAAGTATTCATTAAAAGTAAAATAAAATAATAATGTTTCATTGATAAGCTTACCTATTAAATTGCAGTTTATTTTATAAGAAGTAGAAAATAAACATAAAATAAATAGTAGTATAGAATAATGGGCTTGGCTGAACATGGCGCCTAAATTTTAAAGCTTCTCCAGAGTTTTACAGTAAGCAAATATTATAAAACACTACTTCTTATGTTAAACCAAGAACACATAACATCATTTTTCACAAACTAACATTAAATCACAACACATTTTTGATAAACAAATCGCCGACTATTTGTTTGTTGTAGGAACCATATTGAATTATATTGCCAAATTTCCGCATGGGGGCGTATCAATGATTTGACATTTAAACACTGCGTTCAGAAATTCTTAAAAATGCAAATCCATCTATCGGTTAACAACTCAACTAATTAGGTTAAGTATAGAAATCTGTAATTTTGTTTATACAAGTTCATATAAGAAAAAATAGATGCCGCATGGTTTAAAATAGTTTTTGAAATTTGAATTTAATATAATTTTAATTGATTGAAATAATTGTAGGTAAATTATGCATCAAGTTTAATAAACGCCATTTTAGTCACGAATTTAATTTACGCTCGAGCGAGCTTAATAATAATAATAATAATAGTTATTTATTGATTATCATAAGTTACAAAAATTACAACAATCAAAAGGCCATTGACCTAGGTCCTTCAGCCAAAATTCTTTATATTACCCACAATCCACATTGTGATATTACCTAAGAATAATTTAAAATTAAAAATTTGTATAGAGCGACCTCTATAAATTTTCGCACAGTTTAAAATTTGGCTGATTTTGTATACACTCATCAACAAAAACTTTTGAATTAGATGTTCAAATTATTGTCTTAACTGTTTTTACTACTAAATATTAAACTCCAATAAAAACTAAATAAAAATAGATTTTATTTACTCCTACATTGACGAGCTGTGACTTTATGGCGTTTTAGTCAAGGGCTGAAGTTAGCAATAGTGGCTTAGGGAAAAGTGAGGTTAAATCCGTTAAAAGTTGACAGATGTTTAACAAATAAAATTTTTCTTAATGTTCGTCGTAGATAAAGTATAGTATGCAACTCGTTTTATAAACTTCTCTAGACACTTGATTCGCTCGTGCCTAATAAAACTCGTAACTAAAATGGTGTTTATAAAACTTGATACATAATTTACCATTTCATTTTTCTTGCATTTTTAATAAAACTTTATTTGTTAATGACTGAATTATACTTATTATAAATAGTGAAAATTAAATAGTTTAGTATATATTATGTTTTGCAATTATAACTATACAATTTAAGATGGAAAAATAGTTTGGAATTTCCCAAAAAAATCAAAACCGTGAGGTTTATTTAAAAAAATTCCTAAGGTTAGCTAATTATGTCTATAGACAATGATGATACCTCAGAAAATAAATTATTTATAGGATTTTACCATTGAGTAAATGATTTTACTAATAAATTAACTAACGAAAAAATAAAATGGGCAAAGTATTACAACAAATGGATGAATAAGCATTTTTCTGGGAAACTTGTTAATAAAAGGGACGCTATAAGAAATTTTTTTTATCATTATGACTCACATTGGCGTGTACAATTCTCAGATAGGTTCATTTTCTAATGTAAAAAACAAAACAAACTTCTTTTAAACTTATTTACAAGAGGCATTAATGGCATTCGAGTTTGCTTTCACTTTATAAAAACACTTGTGAACCCGTTAAAATTATATCACTCGGTAGAGAATATATTTATAGTTCCACAATCTAAATAGAAATTCCTGGCTTTTTATTATTTAAATAATGTTAAACTGCTTAAGGTTATGTGCATGCTACAACAAAAGGATTTCCGTTATAAAGTTTTTGTGTCAGGTTTTGCAATAATTGGGTTTTTCCCAAAATTCATGTTTCTGTGCTCCGGATCTAAAGGGTTACTTATCCCGGAATTGTATGACGCCGTTACAAATATTCGAAATTTTTTATACCAAGGTGACAACCGCACAAGGTCTCGCTATATAAGTATTCAGATCAAATTTTAGATTTAGTGGTTATACCGGGTGTCCCATTGGAATTACCCTTTATCATAGAGAATGCATTTGTTAGAATATTGGTAAACACAAATATTTTAAATATCTGGCAAGTTATTTTAAATATTGATTATAGTTTTGGTTCTTGAAATGCTACCTATAAATAAATATATTAGTCAGATATAGTTAGATTTTTTCTATATTTTCTTATGGAGCCAATTAATTTTCTTCGTTTTATTTATTAAACATTTTAAATAAAGGTGTGTCGACCAGATGTTCAAATTTTTACCATTGATTTCATCTAAAACATCATTTATCTATTTATTAAATAATCTTATAGATTTTTTAGTTTATACAAGGAAAGTCAAAAATTAATTTTTACATCCTTTAGAAATTTACAAGTGGTGATCAATCTGCAGCATACTACTTAATTACGTGAGGTGTTTAGGGGGGGAGGGTATTTTGAATATTGATTAATTTAAATAATTTATTCAGTGCAAGAATTTAAGACGGGAAATTTAAAAAAATTAAATAAGTTTAAATGGATAAGAAGGAAAAGGAAAATCCAAATATTTATTCACGTGATGTTAGTAGCAAATTAAAAAAAAATATATATATATATATATATATATATATATATATATATGTACATACATACATATATGTATATACATACATATTTGTATGTATATACAGGGCTTCTCAAAAGTCCCGGTAGGGAGTTATATATAACTTTTGAAGGGGTAAAGAAAATTAAAATTTGGGGATCACTATAGAATCATAAAAACTACATTCTTAGATTTATATTTTAATTAATAAGACAAAGAGAAAACATTTTTGATTAATAATTTCTGCACGAGTGAAAGGTTTTATATAACATTATTAAATTAATTCATTAATTCATTTTTTAATATAACAAACATATACAGGGTGTTAGCGAAACAAGTATGTAGGTACATTAAACAGGTGCATTAAATATTAATTACATCAAAACTTCTTTCGGTTCCAAAATACCTACAATGTGTTTGTTTGGTTTATCATCATGATTTAAACATGAAAAATGAATTGCGATTTTTGATGGAACCATTTACATAGATACCTGCAATAGGTGTAAACTTAATTGCGACGGTCTATTAAAAGATATAAAATTTAAAATATTTGAAATTTTTCGTTAGCTGTGGGCTCGTCACCAATGACGTTTTAACAACCATACGTACGAAAAAACAATAAACATTTTTTGTGTACCTACTACATAGAATGATCTTTTTCGGATTTTTTTTAGTTTTACGACAAAATGATTCACCGCTAGCTAGGAAACCAGGACCATTCATAAATATACAGTTTTATATTTTTAGTGTTAACCGCATATATTTTTAGTTCGTAATACACTTTTCCGGAGTATTTTTAAACCACGCTCGCATACTACATTGTTTTTTATTTGCGATTCGTGTCAAAATGACGTACAGCCTCAATATTAAACGTTTTTTTTTCAGTTAAATTGCTTTTATAATTTTATAACGCCCTTTATCGTACATGACATGTACTACATGTTTCCATGACACTAAGTGACCTTTTAAATACACATTGACAAGTTGTGGCTTTATGGCGTTTTAGTCACCGGCTGAAGTTAGCAACAGGTTTTTAGTCACTGGCTGAAGTTAGTTTTATGTTAGTTGACAGTTGTAAATGTCATACAATCATTAAAATAAATGAACATTGTACCAACATTTTAATTTCGCCTGAAGTAAACTAGATTTAAATTAATTTCGGGTGAAGACTCCAACTGAAGTGCCCATGTTTCCATGACACTAAGTGACCTTTTAAATACACATTGACAATTTGAGCCTTTATGGCGCTTTAGTCACGGGATGAAGTTAGCAACAGATTTTTAGTCACGAGCTAAAGTTAGTTGAGAAATGTCAAATGTCATACAATCGTTAAAATAAAGTGCCTTTTTCGTAAAAAATACTAAATGTAAAAACTATTAAAATTTCCACCGTGGAGTGACCATAAAACATTTTATTCGCTTTCACTGTGAAAAACTACTTCTATTTCGGATTTAAACGGTGGTTAGTCCATTTTAAAGGGATATATTTCGATTTACACATAAAAATTTGACATTTTCACCGGCGCCAATACAGATTTCCAAAAATGGTTACTCTATTGTTTTATAGATGTCGCACTACACAAATATTTCATTTAAATCATTTTTTATATAATATTAAGTATTTTTTTGTAGAAAAAGTATAGTATGCAACACGTTTATAAACTTTTCTAGGCACTCATTTAATTAAGCACTCGCTCGTGACTTAATTAAATTCGTGACTAAAATGGCGTTTATCAAACTTAATATATAATTTACTAATTAGTAATTAGGTATAAAAAGTAACCCTATTAATTATAGTAAGTAATGTTCTCCAAGAAGAATCCATGTCCATTCCAGATAAAAATCGAATTTCTTACTTGGAAACGTTGGCAAAACGATTTCTTGGTAAAAACCATTCCAGACCATAGCGTCTAATATCTGGAAAAGTTTCATAATCAAATAGATTGAGAAACCTATTTCCGCAAAATCTGCCTAATTAATTAGACGGCCTGTGGCAAAAACCAACAATATTCCGTGAATGAAAACTAAATGCAAAATAATAAGTGAAATTAACGCATAAGGGATGTATGTGTGACCTTGTCCGAATTACATTCTGACCTATATGCATACCTACGTTACGTTAACAAGTAATTTTCCACCTTTTATATAATGTGCATTCTAGGAAAATCGCAATTTATCAATTTATTAACACACCATTAAATTTTCAAGCAAATTAAAATCCTAGTACTTTTTTGCACCACCCTGTATATGCAATAGGACCGTTCTATTAAAAAAAAGAAAACGTATTTTTTATCAATGAATCATTAACCGCCTTGAAGTAAAATAATTTTAAGATCGTTAACACTACCAAAAAAATGATTACTCATTAACAGGAATTCTTAAAATTAGGATACAAATATTGATTTGGCTATGACCTTTAAGGATTTCCAAGAAATTCAATATGCTTTTGACAGATTTGACATTTTTTATTCAGATGACATTTTTAACAATTTAGATATACCTAAATGAATTTGTTACATACTATAAAGATATGGTTAACCATAATATTATTGATCTTAATGTTAGTAGACAAACTTATAACTATAACTATAGGATGTCCGGAACTAGTTGGGGATTACCTTTTAAAAAATTATACTGATACTTTTAAAAGTATCAGTATAATTATGATTGATGCTAATATTACAAAAAAATATTAATCATTAATTAATCAGCAGTTTTCACTTCATTAAGAAATATAATTCAAACAAAACTTTGCTTTCTTTTTTTTTAATAATTTTTGGTTTGGTTCATTTCTAAATATAGTTATTACGTCTTTACCCAAAAGAGATTGACGTTTGTTATATTTTTTAATCTTTAATGAGTTAATGTTAAGTAACGGTAAATAATTCGCTTTAGGGGGGGTCCTATTTAAATCATAATAAATTGCAGCTTCCGGTTTATTCATAAAGAATTTTAACACATTTAATTTTAAGAAGAAAAACTAATATTCTTTTAGGAACAGGTAGTATATCATTACTTTTGAAGGGTCTGTATTAAAGGAATATGCATTTTCTGTGAATACAATATAAAATTCTATACTAAGAACCAAAATTATAGACCCTATGAGTTGATGAGTCATTTTATTAATACATAAATTGAGGCAAAATAAACTTGGTTCAAAATTTGACGAATTTTAATGAATCATAAGTAAAATTAAATTAAGGGCTTTGCTGAAATGTGGGAAATTTTTCATAATGGTTTAATTTGTAATAAACATGTACCCAATTACATTGTGTTTTATAAATATTTATATACTTTTTTCCTCTAAATTGAATTTCCAAATAAAATACGTAAACCACCACAAGTTTCGTGTGATATTTTTTGGAGGTTTCTATAACGTAACCAGTTCCTACAATAACAATTTCTAACGTACATATTTTCTTTTGATGTTTTTTTTACCTCACAAGAAAATTTCAACGGGTTTTCCCGATGTTGAAAAAATTTACTTTTTTTCATTGCCCTTGAATTACCTGATAATATGGCAAAGTTTGTTTTTAATGAGAACACTTTTAAATAAATTCAAATTAAAATTTCTGTTTCCACATTCCAACTGGATGAAAATGTATTTTTGAATATTATTTTAAGGAAATTTCACCTACACCAAGCAAAATATGTATATACAGATCTATAAAATAATTCCTACAGTTTTTAATACTTACATAATGCTTAAAAATATCGAAATCTATTTGGCAGCTTTTTTGTTGATTTTGGGGATTTTTTTTTGAATTTTCTTTGCTATATTTGGTACACGAATCATTAAATTTCGAGTTAAACCCTATACAATTTATGCGAACGATACTACCAATTAAATGATTTATCACTTTGATGAAATTAATATTTCACCTGTTGTTGAGATGTAGTTATAATTTCCGTAATTTGTATTAATTGTGGTATTTTTTTGCAATAAAAAAAACATTTTTACAGTGATTTTGCGGTGAGTTTTATAATCAAGTTCAGGTGAAACTATTACACCATTTTACACGCAGATAAATGAATTTTAAAACCTATGCCTATTAAGCCAATTAGTGCACTTGTCAAGTGGATTTGTAAAATCCCAAATACTAATTTATAATAACCTATATTTAAACCAAAAATGCCATCACTAATTAATTTAAGCTTCCAAAACCAATATTTTGCAAATAAGTCATTGACTTATCGATTAACGTTATAAATAAATTAGACCATCATTAATTTGTTCTCATTTTTAGAAAAATCAATGATAGACAGATGTACCACTCATAAGACCCCAAGAAAGGGGTTAGGTTTAACACCTTGGGGCGAAACATTAATGAGGTTTTAAATATTTACGGGACCACGATTTTTTGGTCCATTGCTTGTCATTTTAGCTTATAAGTAAGGCTGGGAATCGATTACGAATAATTAGAATATTCGAGTATTTGAATAGAGGTGGAAATTATTCAAATACTCGATTTTTTTAAAATTTCATTTCACTCGAATATTAAAACACTTTAAAACAAAAAAAATTGTTTCGAGTAATATTAACCTATTTGTTAAATTTATTTATTCATTAAATATTTAATTATATAATCAAACCAAAACTTAAATATGAGATAGAAATTTTTCTAATGGTTTCGATTATTTGAAATATTCTAATAATTCGAATACTCAAATAATTCGAAATAATTTTTAAACGAGTATTCGAATTTCTAAAACTAAAAAATGTCCAGCCTTATAAGTAACAGCATACTTTAACCCTAAAGTTAGTTAATTATAAACACAACATAGATTTTCATTTACTCTGAACTCTAAAGTATTTTAATAATGTTTGTTTTTACTAAAGAAAAATACTTAAAGGTAATTTTAATGGTAAATTTAACGTAAATATTTTTACTCTAAACTCAAAAGTCATATTTTTACTATATTAAAACCACTTTATAATAGTAAATAATTCTTATTTGTCTGGGAACTTTTTAAGGTAAGTAGTATAAAAAACTATTAGTAAATACGTAAATATGTGGTATTTAATTTGTTTTTATTACGTTATTTTTTCGGTCGCTTGGTAGTACCTACATGTAAACGAAAACAGTAAAATAACGATACAAAACGAAAAATTACCAAATACGTTATTTTTACTACATAATTATATACTATAGTATATATAACGTAATACTAGGTAGTTATTTTAACTTAAAATGCTTCTTGATATTTGCTGGTCAATTGATTTAATTTAGTTTCTATATTTGTAATGTTTTTTTGTAAATATTATCAAAATAAAAAATGTAAAAAATTACACCTACTTAATAGATTCAGATTCTGCATTATTATTGGAAAGAAGATTTTTTTTTAAATTTTGTAATGATATTAAAATTTAAGTTTGGTCCAATTATATAGTTGTACTTTTTAACATAACTCTGATATTAATTGAAGAAAAAGTGTCTTTTGAATAATTTTAACTGGTGAATATGTTAAAAGTCGAGTAATAAATTAGGGAGGGGTGTGGATTCTAAAAACCCATAAGTGTTTGAGTCCGATTTCTGTGGTCGTTTGTGAAAAAGAATGTAGGGGGTGTTCTCCCTCCCAAGTGCTGCACTATAAAAGTGAGTGTGTTTTATAAACAGGAGTTTGATCGTAAAGCGCGAGCGAGCGGACACAGTTGTGATCAGCGTGCGCGGTTTTAAACACTGTGCGTCTGTGTCAAAATAAAACTATAAGCGGAATGGTTGTTGGCACTAAATACGAATTGAGGCTTTAGCCCAAGGATATGGGCAGTCGTAATTTGTTGGAAACTATTACGGGGTGGACGTTATTCCTGTGCTTTTCTGTGATATTATTAAGTTATTGTCGTGCTGAAAAGGATCTCATTCAAGATCTTGGTCTCAATCATTTTCCAGACGCAACTAAGGTAAATATTATTCTTAGGTTGCACGTCTTTTATCTAGTCAAGATTTATTTTACTTTTACCTTACAAAACGCATTCCTCTACTGCTTTTTATTTATAAACATTTTATAATTGAATGATTTATAACATGATAATACTTATCGCAATAAAATGTTTATTGCAAAGGGAAAAGTTTCGTTTTATTTAATATGTTATTTGGCTTATTCTCAAAAAAACAAAATATATCTTAAAATTTTTAATATGCGTTTGGATTGCCTAATACAAATGTCCCCGTTTCTATTTTAATAATATTTGGAAGCCAAAAGCCAACTATATTAAATTCACCTAACAATAGAAAAAACTACACTTCACTGTGTTCCGTATTATAATAATGACACTGGTATTCCCTATAATTAGGGAATCCCTCATAAACGGAACAAAATTTAATACATAATATGTCGGTTAAAATAATTAGCGTATTAGTCATCGTATTTGTATATTTGGGCAGTGCACCCTACTTTTGTGTTCGCGTTAATTATTCCCAGAAATTTAATTCACCTCTAGGAACTGAATGAGTCCCAACCACTTGTTGATCCCCATTATTTTTTCCACATTACAGATTAATATCAGCTTGGAAGAGTACACCAGCATGATGAACGTGTACCTTGAAAGCAGAAGAAATTCTTTCGATCATCAGCACATTCCCAAACTTATCACATTCAATCTTGGTAAGTCGAACATGATTTGTTATCATATATCACGAAATTTTAACGCACCGCAACCCAAACCAACATTTAAAAGGAACACTGTAAAATGTTAGCTTAAACATCACATACATACATGTAAAACATATGTAAACTGTTTCCTCATTCCACATACTAAATATTCTATCCCACCGTGCGGTGGGAAAGCTCGTCCAATTAACTCGTCAAAAAAATGCAAATTTCTTAAACTTATTTTTTTTTAAATTTTATTTAGGCCGTTAATCATAACCATGCATCGTAAATGCATTTTTTTATAATCGCCGCTTTAAGAAATTATTTAATTATTTTTATGGCTGCTTCCAATGACATGAAAACTAATTAATTAATATAGTAGGGATAACCTTAGCTTTAAAATATTTAATACCCGTTTTAATAGATCCATTATAGTGTTTGTTCTTAATAAAATAACGGTTTTTAAATACCTACCTAAGATTAAAAATTGCAATGTCTTATCAATTACAACTAAAAATTATGAAACAATATTTCAGGCGCCACCAAATAAATATGTGAGGGTTTTTTTAATTGGACTTTGGACAGGTAATACTAAATTTATGACCACCGACTTTTTTTATTGCCTAATTTAAAAGACCGAAGAAAATAATAATTAAAAAAAAATGGGATCTACTGACATTGTTTACCATAGGACGTTGCACAATATTATGGATTATTATTTATTAATTGGTTTATTTGTGTGAAGTAGCGGGAATTTGGCAGCGTAAAAAGCATAATTTAGATTTGTTTTAAATGTAATTTGTCGTAATAAATATCGAATTAGTGCATCAAAAAGTATTCTCTATGGACGACCTACATATATATTAGCATCTGTTTATATTTGATGTAAACAAAAATTTAAATGCCGGATTACATAATTATTTTAAAAGTATTGTACGCGTCTTAAAATAAAAATATCTCTTATGAAAAGTGTTGGTAACATAGGAATTTATTGCCCAGTTATATTTACTGTAATCCCACAGAGAAAAATATCTCGATGCGTATTTTTAAAATCATTTCCTTATGTGTTTGTAATTTGTACGTTAGTATTAATTTTTTATAGAATTGGCGTACAATATTCAAACATGGCATGGAATCAAATTGTTAATTACATTTTTTAAACTACATATTAGTAATAGAGAATTATAAATATATCCAGTTGTTCCGACATATTAAATATTATACGTATACGTTGGCGTACTAATATCTAAAAATACGTTTTCACATCGAAAATAAACCTCATACCTTCATTTCTTATAATCAACAGTTTTCATGATTGTCCTCAAAAATAAAAATTGTTTTATGATTTTCTTTAAAAAAATGTGGCGCCATTAACTAAAAATTCCTGGGCAAAATAAACACTATAAAGAACACACCTACCTACCCATCTTCAAAGACACAAATATTTTATTTAGGCATTCTGTTATTGAAATATACGCATTTTACAAAAATATAAATCTATACTATTTTTGTTCCTTTTAGTATTTTCAGTATTTATTTGTATGTAAAATACTATTTTTTTTGTTATTAAAAATACGCATTTTACGAAAATATAACTAGATTAATTCTGCTTTTTTAAACAAAAATGCTACAAGCTATAGCTAGTGGATTTTTTTATTTGTGTCTATTAAATTATGTATATAATAAAATAAATTTATCTTTTAAATGAATGAATTAAATAAAATCAAAGTATAGGTACTTTGATTTGGTATGAAAGAAAATTTAATACAGAATTAAACACAATTAAAAAAATCTTTTTAGTGAATTTTTTCAATATTTCAACATTTAAAAATCCATAAAAAAGTGGTTAAAAGTTAAACCCTATAGAGCACGGTTTTAACGTTTTCTCTAGAAGTCCACTTAATCACTAATTAGTTCAAAGAAATGAATGTAAAAAAGCTGAATTATTGAGCAAGCATAAAAAGTGGCACAAATGTTTGTATTTACGCTTGCAATGCAATGCTAAAGGGTGTTTAGTTTGGAATTGGGTTAGTAAGTATAAGATGCAAATAGAAATGAATCGAAAGAAAAACTGGAGGGGTGATTGATAGGTCGAAAAAATCTTCCTGACATTCCTATTAATCGGTATATAGTTAGCTAGTGAATCAGAGAGGATGTGGGCAAACATTTATTTATTTTTCATGCTACTTTTGGATACTAAGCCTCTTTGTATACCGTCTAAATGCAAACGGAAAGATTTTTTAACGCACCTGCATTTCTATAGCACAAACAGCATTTTAACTTTACGACGGACCTATAAAATAACGCAATAAAAAAAACGTTTAAAATACTATGCTTCGAATGAGGATTTAGCATGGAAAACCGACCGACACGAGACAAATTTCAGTTAACTGTAGGTAGACAAACTCGCACAGTACGATACATTTAAAAATGGTAGGACAAATTCGCAAGGAAGTTTAATTTTTTTAAATTTATTGGAGCGGTAGGTAGTTTTAATTCAAAAAATGACTTATTTTTAAATTCATATTTTCAAAAAGACTGTCAAATTTTTTTAAAATCTTAAAATAGTTGGAATTTATAAAATGTTAAAAACTAATACACTTAATTTTTTATTTACATTTATATGCATATTATGGTAATATTAATAAGGGCGTATATACGTTTCGTAATAAAGCATCATGGCTGATTTTTATAGAACATTATAGGGCAATATTAAATTTTTGGTTTAAAAATAACCTAAGGACATTGGCTGCCGTTCTCGACTCGTTGACAAGATCTAGCGGAATGGCGAGTCGTTTAAATTAAGTTTAGAAAATGTAAAAGTTTTGGTTGTTCACCTTTGACACAGGAAAAAACACAAAAATAATAATTTAGGAATTTAAGGATGTCGAGTATTGGATAATCTTTGTATCATATATTAAAAATAATTATGTTCTAACTATAATTGCATGCTAATTTCAAATGTCATGTTACATTCTGCGAAACTTATTAAAGAGTTTTTAAGCGTGATTCATAAGGGACACAATATTATTTAATTCAAGGTAAAATTAAAATAAAATAAGGATTTGGATTGGAAAACTTACATTAATTAATTATGTTGCTTCAACGAATAGAAACTATAATGAATATTAATTGTTTCAGAACGTCAAGATTGGTATAAGAATAAAGACTCAACAGTAAGACTTAAATTTCCGATATCCGGTACTGAAAGTGAGGTCGAAGTTGAAACGGCTCAACTGAGACTTCTTCTGCCAGCCCAATCGGATGGAAGGCAAGCGATCAGCGTACACTTGTATCAAATACTAGGCAAAAGACGGCGAAGATTTGTGGACGAGCAGATGCTCTATCTGTCTTCAAATCAAAGCAAGTGGAGTGAAATTGACTTGAGTGCAACTGTGAAAAACTGGTTGGACGGTGAAAGGAACCTAGGTGTTGAGTTAGTTTGTACAGAGTGCGAATCGACGATTTATCCCGTTGAAGCGGCAATAACGGCGTTGGTCTATGCAGAGGGAACAAGATCGAAGCGATCTTACCAATCGGAGAGAACAACCGATTGCAGGAAGAGCAACGGCAGGGAACGATGTTGCAGGCACGAAATGCAAGTGGAACTGAAGCAGTTATCGAAAAGTTTTCCGGCTATCAAAACCATCCACATGCCTGAAGTGTACGACGCCGGCTTTTGCCAAGGCCTATGTCCAAGGAACTACAATCACGCCACGAACCACTCCAGGATACAGAGCTTGATGCATCAGATCGATAGGAAAAAACGCTCGAAAGATTCCAATAGAAAAATTATACCGAAAGCCTGTTGCGCCCCCTCCAAGCTCAAGTCTCTAGAGATTCTCCGCGTCCATCCGCAAAAACCTGACAAGTTGATTGTCGAAAAGTGGGACAATATGGTTGTACTTGAGTGTTCATGTTCCTAAATATTGCCAAAGATATTTTTACATAATATTACGGGTTGGACTGAGCATTTTGCCGTTTATTCTTCACTCTTTATGTTGCTGTGATATTATACATATGTGTCGTTGACTAACTAGTCTTACAACTTTTTTGACATAAACATGCATATTTACCAGAAAAAGCACTAAATTTCAGTATCAAATTTTGAAATTTATATATATGTATTTTTTCTAGTAAACATGGGCTTATTGTCAGGGATATATTATGACAAGACTAGGTACCTATTTATGTTTTTTTGTTTGGTCGTTTTTAGTTAATCAACTTGCATTTAATTTAACGCCTATAAAAGGTAGGTAGGTAATAAAAATTCCACCCTGTAGGTAAACCTATTTGGTAGTTATTCAAATTTGACACGCTGCAAACGATTTTTCGAAACACGAAACCTTTTATGGCCCATTGTTGTTTTATGCTTTTGAGCTTTAAATACTTAACATAGTAGCTAACATGTGATTCATAAATATAGGTAGTACCTACAATGCTTTTTTCAATCACTGTATGTATCTAATTTTAAACTGATTTTATGCAAGTTGATAAAGGGGCAACAAATTACCGTTTTTGAACGTTTAAAACCAGTGATTTGTTGCCCTCTAGAAAATAAATAGTATTTAAAATTTTCAATGTAATTAAAAAGTATTATTTTTAACTTGTTTTTATATTTATTATTGTATTATTAGTATTATCTGCAATTTTTATAATACTCTTCTTATTTTTCGACGTTAAATAAAGTATGAGTTTTGTATTAAAACGGCGTTTTATTACCCCAAATAAATCAACAGTGTTGTAACAGTTACAATTTTTTGTATCTAGTTACAGTTACTCACCAAAATTTGCAATTAGATACAGATACACAGTTTATTGTAGTAACAAGTTACAGATACATTTAGGTACCTTTAAAAAGTTCTATACTTTTTAAAGGTACCTAAATGTATAAATTACTTTTTGCTTCCAACCAAAATTTCAAAATAGAAATAAAAGGGCGTTCAAATGACAACAAAAATAGATAGGGACATACATTTATTAAAATTTTGGATGAAAGGGAAACAAAAAGTAATTTGTATCTATACTTTTTAAAGGATACAGTTATCTGTAATATACATGTATATATATTACAGATAACTGTATCTACCACAGTTTAAAACATTTTCCAACCAGTTAAGTTAAAAACTGTATTATTGTAACTTAATAGTTACTCAAAAATTTTAACTAGTAACAGTTGTTGTTACAACACTGTAAATCAAACACAGGTTGGTACTTATGTTAAAAAACTAACTTTAATTTAAGAAAATTTACATTAGTGAAAAAATAAATTAAGACTAGATACAGAAATAACAAACAATTTTATACAACTCTGTTCTTGTAGAAGTACATTAAAGCTAGGGTTATATTAAACCCACTAACTAAAGTGATAATATAGAAGGTTATAACCAAAGGTAATGGCGTGATTATTAGATGAGTTTTGGTTAAAATATTTAAAGAACTGTACCCTAAAAATGTAATATACATGTAATATAATACAGCAACCAGCCAAAATGTGTTGCCCAGTAGCCTAGAAATGAACCACTCATGGTTTATTAAACCTAAAATTAAAGTCATTTTATCCTTTTCAATTATTATTTAAGTAAAATATTTACCGTTATAAAAAAATAGTTGGAAAAAATGGAGCAATATCAAAGGAGGAAAAAACGCATTTAAATGAACATCAAAACAATACCCCCATTCAACATCTTGCACCTCAGTTTTTTGTCTAAAATACCTATTTAAAACAAACCTAAAATAATACCTATCATTGAAAAATGAATATAATTTTAGATAAAATGGCTTACCAAAATATTGTGGCGATTATAATACCAACTATAATACAGTCAACAAATACAGTATACAACAAAAAGTTCATAAACTGCAGGAATCCTAACTTAAGAACTATCGCAAAACCCACTGAAGTTACTAAAATTTGGAAATTATAGTAAACTACGTAATATAAAAACTAAGTACTTACTGCACAGCCAAGCTGCAAATAGGACTAAAAACGCTGGGTCGTCTCTTGCAAATTGTGATTTAGTCTCTAAAAATGAAATATATCAATAAAAAATCAACAACGTTTTGTTATTCCTACGTTTTCTGTAATGGAAGTTTCGGTACACTTTCTGAGGTGCTATAAATAAATACAGCATTTGCCAAAAGGCAAACTCAAAGTCCATTTGGTCAAATTTTAATATCCTTCTCAGATATTTATATCTTTTTGTCGCGGCAGACATACAGTCTCTTTGGGTGGCTGGTAAAGGCATAGAATTCATCTTGATGATTTTTTAACCTCAATTTATACTAAAAAACAAAAACTTGGCATTTGTAGATAAATATAATATAGTACTTACCTATATTTATTTTGGAGGTTTAAAAAAACGTGGCACACATTTTAAATAGTCGAAACGACATGAAAAACCGTAAACGTCAAAATATAACAGCCATCATTGTTTTTGTATTACTGATAAAGTAGATTCCTGTAGTAATGTATTAATACTAGGCAACACAGGTTACACTTACTGTTTACCAGTTTTTATAATATAGGTCAACTTTTATACACCATTCAAAGCAATAATTAACAAATAGTGCATTTAATAAAAAAGTTTTAATAAATAATCAAATTAAATTAAATAACTCCGCTCAAAACACTAAAATTAATATAATTTTTACTCTATTAACCTACTCCCATTATTGATTCTGTCGTAAAGTGATAAAATAATAATATAATACAATAACCTTAGTGATTATTATAATAATCTGTGATAATTAAAGTCTTGTTAGATTATTTAGTGACTCGATTAAAATGGGAAACACAATAAATATGGAGGAAAACTTCAAAAAGAACCAGGATTTCATTACTGAAATTAATAACGTTAAAGTAGGTTTATTATTAGGTACCTAAATGATATTAAAATTTTTTTTTTTGCAATTTTTAGATAGAAAGACAATTGCAAATGAGAAATCAAATGCGGGAAAGGGAAGTTGCACTGCGTATCGCAAAAAATAGAGAATTATTTTACTGGTTTGGAGCTTTTTATTTAACCAGCATTGCATGGGCAGCCACCAAGTAATTTTTAAAATAAAACCTTTAAATATATCAAAAATATTGTTTTTAGCTTTAGACATTTCAAAAAGAAATCATTTGCTATTGCCCCTTTAATACCTCTTAGCTTCATAATGGCTTACCAATCAGATTTGGCATATGGAAATAAAGTACACAGAATTTCAGGTTTGTACCTAATATAAGTAATAAATCACTAAACAAAAATTATTATTTTTTAGTTGAAGCAGAACATATTATGCAATTTGAGCAGGACCTACTCTCCCTTCCACTAGGCGTACCAACTGCAGCCTCAATAGATTTAAAAAGACACCAAAACGACGAACAGAAAAAAATGCACCCATATCTTCCACAAATATAATGTTTTAAAAGTTATGCGCAGATTAACACGCTATTGATACACGTACTGCGCAGTTAATACTCAAATAGGTTAAATTTACCCAATGCTCAGACTTACTGTTAAAAGAGTTTCTAATTGTTTTTAAACATTATATGTACATACATACATATCTTTGGTTTAATTTAGTTTGAGGTACAGGTATACTTCTCACAAATATTCTAAATAGAAGCAATGCAATAGGTACTATTATTTGTCATTGATAAATATATTTTTCATTGATAAATAGGTTTCTATGATTACATATACTTAAAATATAAAAATGTTATCCTTTATGTAATTCACAATAAAATTTAATAAAGGTTTATTAGTAAGAAATTGTGTTAATATTAGCTATATAAAATATTTTTTAGCAATTGAATGAAATAGATAGATTAAGTTAACCAAATAGCGAATAATTTGACGGTTGATATATCATTATGAGATGTAAATATTAATTTTAATGTTAAAAATGAATATATAAGTAGAAATTCGAAAACCCAAATTGTCATTATTTGTCTTAACTTTACATGGATAATATGTCAGTTAAAAAATAAAGCTCATTGGCCATTATTAACACAATTTTTGTTTTAGGGATCCTTTAATTTTTTTCGTTCACAATGAAAAACATACAGGTCTGGTAATATGTTATTTATTCAGTTGTTTTAATAATTTTTTATAGTGGCGCCCAAGCAAATTAACCCGAACACAACTTTAAATACGTATTTAAGGAGCCATCTACATCAAACTGGTACCAAAAAAATGTGCCTTGAAGGTGGATGTGGAGCTTGCGTTGTTGCTGTACAAAGAAGAGATCCTCATACAGGAAGAAACGAAGTTTTTGCTGTTAATTCCGTAAACCATAAATAATTAATCCTCAAATTAAATTTAGCACTTTAATTTCAGTGTTTGGTATCGATATTCTCTTGTTATGGTTGGAACATTTTTTCCGTTGAAGGAATAGGCACTCAGGATAAACCTCACGCAATTCAGAAAACTTTAGCCAATTTCAATGGGACTCAGTGTGGTTTTTGCTCCCCGGGTATGGTAATGAACATGTTCGCTTTAAACGAGTCGCAAGATTTAACGATGAAAACTGTTGAAAACTCCTTTGGTGGCAATATATGCAGATGTACTGGTTATAGGTCCATTTTGTCGGCTTTTAAGTCTTTATGTAAGGATTCGTCGGAAGAATTATTAGGTACTCTTCCTGACATAGAGGATTTAAAACCGTGTAAGAAAATTTGCACTAAAAATCTTGACCAAGAAAGTTTTAACGTGTTAAATGGATCAACTTGGGTGAAGGTCTATAAATTCGATAATTTGCTACAAGTAGTAAAAAATTTTTTGTCGGAACAACGCAAACCATCAATTAAAATGATAGCAGGAAACACTGCAAGAGGTAACTACCTAATAAAAAAAAACAAAAAAAACAATCTTAAAAAAATTTTAGGGGTCTATAAAAATCCTCCGGAAGTTGATATATTCATCGATATTTTTAATGTTGATGAGCTTGTTAACCACGAAGTAGGTCCAGATCAGTTGATATTAGGGGCCAATATGCCCCTAACAAAAACAATGGACCTTTTTTACGAGTTATCAGAAAAAAATGCGAAATTCAAACACCTTAAAAAGATGGCCGATCATATAAATTTGATAGCGAATGTACCAGTTAGAAATGTTTGTAGATATTTTGCCTTTAAATATGTGATAATAATACTTTTTCGTAGATTGGAACTCTGGCTGGTAATCTTATGATAAAGCATGAAAATAAACATTTCCCATCCGATGTGTTTCTCATTTTTGAAGCTATTGGAGCAGTTTTTCAGATAATCGACATTAAAAACCGAGAGTACATGGAGTCGCCTTCAACATTTCTTAATTTAAATATGGCAGATAAAATCTTCAAAAAAATTATTGTGCCTGCTTACGACGACACTTTTAAATACGAGAGCTACAAGATAATGCCCCGAGCCCAAAATTCACACGCTCTAGTAAATGCTGCTTTCCTTTTGCAACTAGAAGATGATTACAAAGTAAAATCGGCAAGAATTGTGTATGGCAATATTAACGCAAACTTTGCAAGAGCGTCTGAAACAGAACAGTATATAATCGGTAAAGTATTATTTGATAATGATGTTCTACAAAACGCTTTTAAATTGTTGGACAGAGAAATTATTCCGGAATTTATAAAAGGAGAACCTCAACCGGATTTTAGAAAGAAGTTGGCCATTTCACTACTCTACAAGTACGTACTAAGTATTGCACCATCAAACATGGTGACCAGCAGATATTTATCTGGAGGCACTAAGTTTGATAGACCGGTTTCAACAGGCACACAAGATTTCGAAACGAATAAATCTTTGTACCCTGTATCACAATCCATACCAAAAATTGAGGCTTTGGCTCAAACAACAGGTGAAGCTAAGTATATACCTGACATGCCAGACGCACCCGATCAACATTTTGCTTGTTTTGTATTGGCTAAAACCACTCCTAATAGCACCATCGATAAAATTAATCCGCAAAAAGCTTTAAAAATGAAGGGCGTTGTGGCTTATTTTGACCACAACGATATCCCAGGGCGTAATACCTTTACACCAAAAGAAGCTGGATGTCCGGGGGATGAAGAGGAATTATTTTGCTCCAGTAAAGTTTTACATTGCAACCAACCCATTGGTATTATAGTAGCAAAAACGCAAGAATTGGCGAATGAGGCCGCAGATAAAGTAGAAGTGACTTACAATATCTCCACTGTAAAACCTTTAACAACAATTAAGGACATTATTGAGGCGGATGCCAAGGGCAAGATTTTTCCGGATCAAACTATAGAAAGAAAGAATAAAGGAAGTAATATTAAGCACGTGGCTAAAGGCAACGTGTGTTTAAACTGGCAATATCATTTCCAAATGGAGTTGCAATGTTGCGCGGTTATACCCATTGAAGATGGTTTGGATATGTATCCAGATTCACAATGGTTGGATTTAAGCCAGGCCGCAGCTTCGGTAGCTTTAAATATACCAATGAATAAAATAAATGTGTACATACGCCGTTTGGGTGGAGCCTTTGGAAGCAAAATATTTAGGGCGGCAATGGTTTCGACAGCGTGCGCTCTAGCAGCTTACAAGATAAAAAAGCCGGTTAAAATGTGGTTGACTTTGGAACAAAATGTTGCTATTATAGGCAAACGCAACCCCCTTTGGGCCGACTATGAAATTGGTGTAGATGAAAACGGGGTTATTCAGTATTTGGACAATACAGTGTACTATGATTATGGTTGTGGTAACAACGAGCCCTCTATGTATATGTTAATCAACATTTTGGAGGCCTACTATAACTCCGACACATTTCAAGTTAATTCCTTTACAACAAGATCTGATATGCATGCAGCTGCTTACTGTAGATCACCTGGATCAGCTGAATGTATTGCGATGATAGAGAGTATAATGGAACATGCTGCGTATGTAGCCAACATTGATCCATTGGAATTACGTAAGAAAAATATAAAGGATCAAGCTTTGCTCGTGTTTATTGAAGAGTTAAGAGAGTGGGCCGATGTTGATACGCGAAAAGAGACAATTGAACAATACAACAAGGAAAATCTTTGGAAGAAAAAGGGTTTGAGTGTGATGCCAATGGTTTTCCCATTTCATTTCTTTTTTAACTACAACGTTATGATATCAATTTACCATGTAGATGGGACTGTTTCTTTAGCTCATGGTGGAGTTGAAATGGGTCAAGGTATTAACACAAAAGTCGTACAGGTTTGCGCCTATAAATTTGGAATACCCATTTCCAAAGTACAAGTAAAACCAACAAACTCAATGACGAATCCGAATAACCCTATTGCTGGCGGTAGCATGACAAGTGAAACAGTTTGCTGGGCTACTATAAAAGCCTGTGAAGCTATGTTGGAAAAACTTAAGCCCATTAGAGAGAAAAATCCACATGATTTGTGGGAAGACCTAATTAAAAAAGCGCATTTGGGTGGAGTAGAGCTAACCGCAACTTCTTTGTAAGTGCTTTGTCTTCTTTAAAAATTAATAACTAATTTTTTTAGAACCAACATTCATTCTGAACCAAGTTTAGCACCCTATTTGATATATGGAGTCTGCGCGGCGGAAATAGAGATAGATATTCTTACGGGAAGTTATCAAATTCTAAGAGTAGATCTTTTGGAAGACGCTGGAGATTTAATAAGCCCTCAAGTGGATATAGGGCAAATAGAAGGTGCTTATGTAATGGGTTTAGGTTATTACCTTACAGAACAACTCGTGGTGGACGAAAATGGGAAGATTTTGAGTGACAGAACTTGGAATTATAAACCTCCTGGTCCCAAGGATTTGCCTATCAATTTTAGAGTAAAATTTCCGAAGAATAACCCTAATAAGGTTGGAGTACTTAAATCTAAAGGTGCAAATTAAACAAATATTTACAAATTTGACTAAATGAATATTTTAGCTACTGGAGAGCCGCCTTTATGTTTGGCATTTGCGGTACCTCTTGCTATACGACAAGCAATTGCTTCCGTTAAATCTGAGATAGATAAAACAATACCTGCATGGTCGAGCGTTGGTATGTGAAATAATACATTTCGTGAGATCATTTATCGAATCTGTTCTTTTTAGACGGACCTTCAACTGTAGAACAAGTATTTACCAACTGCTTACATGACTTTAATAACTACAAATTATAAGCAATTATGTCTAATATTAAAATACCTACCAGTTTAAAATAATTTCATTTTATTTCAAACACGCAAACCCGATTCTTTAAAAATGTTGCATTTAAGTTTATAAAAATTTATTAGTAGTTCGTCTTTAATTCGCTAACATGGACCTGTGAGTACTATGAATATATTTCGAAAAATTTTTTATTCTTAATATTTCAGAGTTGAACATATACACTTTTATATAAACGATAAAAAACATACAGCCCCTTTGGATGGGCTGGACATAAATATGTCTTTAAACACATACCTGCGCAATAATTTAAACTTGACCGGTACAAAAAAAATGTGCGCTGAGGGCGGGTGTGGAGTTTGTGTTGTAGCCGTTAAGAAAAAAAATCAGCATACAGGAAAATTGGAAACGGTGGCTCTAAATTCTGTAAGAACAAATTGTTACAGATATGTTCCTCACCAGGCACCGACTGTTTCGGTCTTTTACCTCATCAGTGTCGGGTAGCCTTGTGATGTGGAACACATCTGTACAAGTTTTAGCAGACCCTACATGTTAACATCACATCATGTTTTTTTAGTGTTTGGTGTCAATTTTTTCATCCTTTGGCTGGAGTATTTACACAGTGGAAGGCATAGGGGACAAAAATAATCCAAATGCGATTCAAAAGGCCTTATGTAAGTTTAATGGGACGCAATGTGGTTTTTGCACCCCCGGTATGGTTATGAATTTATTCGCCCTAAACGAAAAACAAGATTTAACAATGAAAACAGTGGAAAATTCATTCGGAGGCAACATTTGCAGATGCACCGGCTATAGACCTATTCTCTCCGCATTTAAATCCTTATGTACCGATTTAACCAAGGATTGTTTGGGTACTGTTAGTGATATAGAGGATTTAACGATAACCAAAAAAGGCTATAACAAAAATTGTGACAATTCTTGCCATAAAAACCCTCTGCTATTCAAACTATTATACAGCTCTTGGATCAAAGTGTTCAATTTATCGGATTTACTCAAAGTTATTGAAACATTGCAAAGTGGCGAAAAAAAATCGTCTTACATGTTAATTGCTGGTAATACAGGTCAAGGAGTCTACAAGGTACATAAAAAATTTGACGTTTACATCGACATAAATAACGTGAAGGAATTACATGTATCGGAGATAAAAAACAATGAGTTAATTATAGGAGGTAACATATCCCTGACACAAGCAATTGATAATTTTAACGACTACGCTAAGAATGATAAATGTTTTAAATATTTGGAAAAGGTGGCCGAACATATAGATCTTGTAGCTAACGTGGCTGTGAGGAACGTAAGTATATTTTAACGCGTACAAATACAAGAAATACGTTAAAAACATCCTAGGGCGGAACAATAGCCGGAAATTTAATGTTAAAACACCAACATAAAGATTTCCCATCAGATATATTCTTAATTCTTGAAACATTGGGAGCCCAACTAACAATTGTCGACCCTTCCAATAAGGAATATTATGGAAGTCCAGAAGAGTTTTTATCATTGGATATGACCAACAAAGTAATTAGGTGTATTACTTTACCAGGTTTAAGCCATAACCATGAATTCGCAAGTTATAAAGTAAATAATTGTGATACATGTTGATGCAACTTTAACTTAATAATTTTTGTAGATCATGCCAAGGTCTCAAAACGCGCATGCACTGCTAAACGCGGGTTTTTTATTCAAATTCGATGACCAGAAAAAAATTGAATCTTTCCGGATTGTTTATGGAAACATAAGCAAAAGTTTTATACATGCTAAGAAGGTCGAGGATTATTTGGTGGGAAATAATATTTTTAATAACGATGTTCTTCAGAGAACCTTCGAGCTTCTCGATGAGGAAATTGTCCCGGAATTTAAAGAAATGGGGCCTTCCATAGAATTTCGCAAAAAATTATCAATTTCTCTTTTTTATAAAGTAAGATTATACAGCCCGTTCAGAGTAAAACCGAATATAGGGAAACGTTTTGGGCGTGGCCTCGCCTCCCTACAACGCGCGTCACAGTAGCTTGTGTGATTAACGACATGACGAAAGGTCAAGCAGGTAAGACGACCTTAAAAATTAAATGATAATAATGCAAAAGATCTCATTAGCGATGCAGGCTATTTGCTTAGCTACTGTGTCGCGCGTTGGAGGGAGGCGAGGCCACGCCCCATACGTTTCCCTATATTCGGTTTTACTCTGAACGAGCTGTATAACTGATGGACCATATAAAATTCCTCTTAGTTTATTTTAAGCATATCGGAAACAGTTAGGGCAGACATGAAATCGGGAGCCGTTAAAATGGAACGAACTGTATCCAAAGGAACGCAAGACTTTCAAACTAATGCTTCTTTATATCCTTTATCGGAAAATATTTCAAAATTGGAGGCGATGATTCAAAGCACTGGTAATGTAATCGTATTTAATAATTTTGCATTTTTGTAGAGAGAGTTTTTAGGGGAAGCTCAGTATATAGCAGATATGCCAGATCAACCAAATCAACTATTCGCCTGCTTTGTTTTGGCGAAGGCTCCAGCAAATTCAATAATAAAAAAAATAAACGCAGAAAAAGTCCTGAAATTAAACGGAGTAGTGGCTTTTTACGGCAAAAACGATATACCTGGTAAAAATACGTTTACTCCAAAAGTATTTTCGGAGTTATTTATTGAAATGGAGGAGGAATTATTTTGCAGTGGGGTGGTGCAATATTACCATCAACCAATTGGTGTTGTAGTTGCAAGAACACAGGAGTTGGCTGAAAAAGCGGCAGACCTAGTGGACGTGCAATACGGAGAATCAAAAGTGAAACCTTTGGTTAGCATTAGAGATGTATTGAAAGCTAACCGAAAGGAAAAGATTGTGCAAGACAGAGTAGTGCTGCCAGTGTTCAGAGGCGAAGAAGACAAGCATATTATTAAAGGAATGATGGATTTAAAGTGGCAGTCTCATTTTCACATGGAAAACCATTGTTGCAACGTCTATCCCAATCAAGATGGCGGACTGGATATGTACCCAGCTTCGCAATGGATGGATTTGTCGCAGAATGCGGCAGCTGCAGCCCTAAATTTACCAGCTAATAAAATCAATGTGGTTGTGAAGCGATTGGGGGGCGGTTTTGGTGGAAAAATCATAAGAAATTCGCAAATATCCACCGCAGCAGCGCTGTGCGCTTTTAAGCTTCAAAAACCGGTCAAAATGTGGCTACCACTTAAAACGAACTTTAGGATTATTGGCAAAAGACATCCCTTGTCTTGTGATTACGAGGCCGCTGTCGACGATGATGGAATAATACAGTACATAAATAACTTAATATATTTTGATCACGGTGTTGGAAAAAATTGCAAAGATGTGTTTCTGTTTTTGGACAGCTATTTGGGTTGCTATAACACTACAAGTTGGTTTACAAATACGTTTTTAACGCATACCGACATGCATCCGAGCTGTTATATACGAGCTCCTGGATCCTTGGAAGGAATAACCACTGTGGAATCGATAATGGAGCATATAGCCATCAACATAGGCATGGATTCTTTAGATTTTAGGTTAGCAAACTTGAATCCAGAAAATACTGAACTGTTAAGTTATATCGTCGATTTTATCGACTGGGCTGACATTGCATCGAGAAAACTTGAAATAAATCGGTTTAATAAAGTTAATAAATGGCGTAAAAAGGGGCTATCAGTGATCCCAATGGTATTTCCGTTTGAAATATTTTTCAGTTTTAATGTTATTGTAAGTATTCACCACTTGGATGGGACTGTTTCTATAGCGCATGGTGGAGTGGAAATTGGACAAGGAATTAACACCAAAGTATTATAAATATAAATATTATACCGTACCTTCATTTGCAAGCTATACATAGGGAAAATACATTGTAGGTGGACCAGACAAGTTGAAGTTAGCGCAAAGCGAAAAAGTTCTTAGAAATTATATGGACGTAATAAAATTTTAATCGTCAGTAAACAAGGTCACCTGTTACGTCGCATGTTAGTCTACTCATCCACTCGTCAAAATAATTTCTGAGAAGATTTTTGTTTCGCGCTGACTTCGACTTGTCTGTTCCACCTACAATGTATTTTCCCTATGTATAACTTGCAAATGAAGGTACGGTATAATTGTAAAACATACACACTTAAAACTTATTTTAGGCCGCCCAAGTTTGCGCTTATAAATTAGGTATACCAGTTAATAAAATTTCGGTTAAACCTACAAATAATTTAGTCAGTCCTAATGTTTCTATGACAGGAGCTAGTATGACAAGTGAAGGAGTTTGTTATGTAATACATCCTGAGTAAATAATAGCAAATAATATTTTTCGAATTTTAGTCCGTTATCAAAGCTTGCAGTACTTTATTGAAACGCATGGAACCAATTAAAGACAAGCTGGATAATCCAACCTGGGAGGAAATTGTAAAACAATGCTACTTCGATTTTATTGACTTGACTGCAATGGGGATGTAAATATTACTCTTTAAACTAGGGATAGCCATAAACGTATGTTTAAGGTATTCGAAGAACGATGAAGAACTGGGTGGCTACAACGTGTACGGGGTATGCGCAGCAGAAGTGGAGTTGGACGTCCTAACTGCGCAGTACACCATATCTCGAGTGGACTTGTTGGAGGACGTTGGTGACAGTATTAACCCGAAAATAGACATAGGACAAATAGAGGGTGCTTTTGTCATGGGTTTGGGATATTTTTTGACGGAGGATATTAAAGTAAGCGAGCAAGGCGAGATTTTATCTGACAGGACTTGGAATTATTATCCTCCTGGGCCAAAGGATATACCGATTGATTTTAGGGTCAAATTTCCGAAGGATAATCCCAATGAAGTTGGTGTACTTAAATCAAAAGGTAGTACTTATTAAGTAGAGTATTTTTATTTCATTTATGTTTTTAGCTACTGGTGAGCCTGCTATATGTTTAGCTGTCGCCATACCTTTAGCCATAAGACAGGCAGTGGCCGAAGTGAGAGGATATTTTGATCCGACTTCATCGAAATGGTTTAAGTTTGGTAATATACGTAAAAAAAAGTGCACTTACCTGTTTTACACTTACATTATTTTTTGTAGATGGGCCGACGACTCTGGAACAAATTTTCACGAACTGTTTGCACGATTATAAGAGTTATTCATTGTAGGAAAGTCTTCTGAGGAAAATTAAACAAATGGATTAGTTTAAACCCATCATATAATTAATTAACAGTAAAATATTGATTACAAAATATAATATTAAAATAAAAACAAAAATATTCTTAACAATAATAAAAAAATCAATAATTTGAACACTGCATTTGTTTTATGTGTTATAAATAAAAATATCTACTAAAACATATATTATAAAGCGTTGGCATTTAGCAATGTAGTCTAATTTTTAAATCAATTATAAAATTACAAAAATTCTATCTGAATTTAACTATGAAACTGCATTTATTTAATGGTCATATACAATTGCTTAATTAGATATATACATTTTGTTCAAAATGCATAGGGCGCATCCACTCTTAAAAAAACACTGATTTAACATATTCAAAAAGTGTTTTGATAAAATTTGGCGCGCCCTATAGAGCAATATCATTGCGAAAGGTTAAATCCCAACTATAGGAAATTATATTAGAAAAATAAATGTAATAGAGTCGATGTATAGCTTAGAATTGTTTACAAGTACTATAAAAAAATAATTAAAATGGAATGTAGGAATGGCATACAGGGCGAATGAAATAAAAACGTGGTAATTGTCAAAGAATTGTTAAATTCGCCCTGTATATAAATACAAACAATGGTATTCACAGAACAAGTTTACATATTGTTAGTAATGCAACGATTATTTATATACGATTGCGATTATACATCCAATAATAGTACGATTAGGATTACGATTAGTCAAAATTTTTTTGTGAATTTAGTTGAATGTGTAATTGTTTATAAAACCGTTTAAAAATGAAACAATTCTCTTGAAATCAAACTAAATATTATTTTATTTTATGTTTTTTCATTTTTAGTTTGCTATTTTAGCGTGAAACTACGGTATGTAAAAAACTGCATTTTCTTTAAAAAAGTATTAATATTATACTATACATATATTAAATTAAATGATAATAAATAACCGCGAAAAACTATATATTTCTAAAAAATACAAAACTAATATCAATATTTAAAACTAACATACTTAAATTAAATTTGTACCTAAAAAGCAAAGTATTTTAAATTATGTTCTTTCTTTTCTATGATTTTTTTGCATTATTTGCCCTAAAATTTAATGAAAAATTCGTAAAATAATTGTATTCGAAAATTAATATTTGCAAGGTAATTGTAATCATTGCATCACACAATATGATATTGTTATCACATTTAAACGATAAAAACTTAATATTATTTATACCTTAACATTTATACAGGGGGATTTTTAAAAGTACTCTTGAATTACCCTACATAATAGAGCAAAAAAAGCAAAAAGAATTGCGTAAAGCATAAAAACAAGCTCTTATAGCATTGGGGGCGAAAATATTTTTTACTAACTGTAACATCACAGTATTGTCGAAAAACAAAAAAATTACTTTATTATTCGGTTGCTGTATTTCGTCGATTACAAAACAATTAACAAAAATATTGCGTGTATTTTTTATCTATGCAGTGCTAAAGAACGAATATTTACATCAATAGGACTCAATTTATACAATTTACATCTACTATTAAAAACAAACAAATACGAAATATAGTACATATCACATTGTCGTGAGTTTAAAGAATTTAACATGGCGTCAATTGTGTTCGGCGTAAAAATATTATGCCAACGTTTCTGTCAAAAGCACACACGAAATCGAAATCCAGGACGGATGAAAATAGGCGAAAATAGGCCACTCAATTTTGAGTAAAAAATATTGGAAGTATAGAACAATATACCTTGATTGTTTTAATCAATAAATTACAAAAATAGCATGCCCACTGCTCATGTCTGTACTGCTCACTGGCATTTTGATTTTCTGATTTTTTTCACCAACACAATTGGCGAATGTTGTTTTTTGTCAAGTTTTAACTAAAATTATTGTTTATTTTAATTTCAAGCAAGCATTGTGTTTTTTCTTTTCTTAACTCTTTTTATACAACTACCATTATAACATTTAGTATTGCTTGAACAAGGAAAAATTTAAACGTAAATAGACCACCATTTGTGAAATAGGCCCAAATGTTAGGATATTTTTGTTTCAATTTTATTCTTACCAAAAGCGGAGTCATTTTTAATATTTTAAGATAAATCAATATAGAATGTGTAATGGTTATAGTTAATTTTTCTATATAATTTTTCCTATTACTGAGTTTCCACATATTTTTTTATATTTATATACTAATTAAAATACTTATAATCGAAATGAATTAGTAACTGTTTGATATAGTTCTGATATATTTTTAAATAATTTAAATATAAAAAATAAGTAAAACAATTTTGTGCTTTTTAAATAAAATATTCTTAATACTAATTAAAAAATATACATGTAATTATAAAAAAATAAGTATATTAAGATTTACTTAAAGAATGCAAACAATATTTTGAGTATATTGTTGTTTGGACTTTGAGAGGCAAAACAAGTTAATTTCAATTAAAAATTTAATACACACTGTTACGTTTTTGAGTATATACAAGGTAAATAGTTTGTAGGGGAATGAAAAATTAAAATTGTCATGGATCAAGTTTTCTGGCAGTCGTGTAAAATTTTATCACAATTTAAAAAAATGTTTAGTTTGACACTTGAACCCGAAATTGATTTTCAATAGGCCAAAATAGGGTAACAAATGCCAATTTGCCAATTTACTAAACAACGAAAATGTTCAAAGATATTTATTTGTCAGCCTTATAACTTTTTTGTCAAACATCTGCAAACTAAATGCAAAAAATAAACTATAACCTTGTATATTTGGTACATCACAATGTTTTATTTATTATTTAAAGTTTTTTGGAAGTCTTAAGTGAGTTACGGCATAGTCGGCCAAAAAATTAGCTTAACAAAAAAAAACGTCGACACTTTATAGAACGCGTTTTTTCTCTTTTAAATAAGCGAGCTTGCTTACATGTTTTATTCATTTTTCTTTAACAACTATTTAATAATGGTTTAAAATTAACTTTGTTTGAATTTTTTTGTTTTCATTTTCCCTACTTGTCCTGCGCCCCGTTCAAACTAGTGCAGGCCTCTCCCGTCGACATACTGCGCTGCGGGGTGGGACTTTTCCCGCTTCCACTACCACTACCACTACTTAGGGCCATTCGTTGCATCTGTCTTATCACAGTGGTAGCATGGTATGCTTGCTAAAAATATATATAAACAAATCGTCCATTGCAAGTTCAGCGAAAATTACTTTTTTAAGAGATTTCGTTGTTATACGTATTCGTATACGAATACGTATTCGTATACGAATACGTATACGAATACGAATACGTATTTATATACGAATACGTATACGAATACTGTATTTTTGTGAAACTTCTTTTCGGACGGCGTAAACAAAAACTTTGCTTTACCACAGTATAGAAAGGATCAGTACAGAGTCTGTACTACAATCCAAGCGGCTCGACTCTGCGCGGTTGTAAAACGTGTAACGCGAGTAACTTTCTATCACAGAAGAAACCTTTCTATAGTGTGGATTTCCTATTAGAATCACACACTTCAACACATATACCACTTATTCTCTATATTTTGTTAGTTGAGCTTGTTTCCTTTTTTGAGGGAAAATTTTTCGATTTGCCGTATCATGCGCATAGTCAGTTCATAAGTGGGGGATTTAAAATATATTATACCATAGACATATTAATACGTCCATGTATAATACGAATTGTAAATTAAATATCAAATTTTTCTAAATCATTTGCTTACATCAAGTGGCATAATGTGCATATTATGTAAAAAGCCACTAAAAATCTCGTAAACACAATGAAAAAAAACAATGCCAAAACACTTGGTATACAACAAAAAACAAAAAAATGTTTAACTATAAAAACCATCTACATATTAATATGTCTATGATGAAAACCTTTTGGCTATCGTGGTCAAAATAAGACGTTGCCAAAATCTTGCTGTTATACACGTGCCATTATAAAATCTTAAAACATGAACATTTTGTGAATTTAATATTTTTAAATGCTTTTTATAAAATTAATATACAATTAATTAAAAAGTATTCATTATATTATATAAGGAAAAAAATACCCGTGTGATTCTTACTTCCCCTACTTTAACCCCACGAAAAGGAAACCATCTCAGTTAGAAATGATTTGTATGTGTGGAAGTATGTGACTAGAATATCCCAACATAATTCGCACAGTAGTATACATTTAAAAAATGGAGATACGCCACTAAGGGCCGGTTTATCAATGTCCAGCTAAAGTTGCAGTTAGTTATCTGGTAGATAATTTCCATGGATACCATTGTTTTCACAACGATCGATATGGAATTTAACTGTCAGATAGACTAACTGGAACTTAACCAGAGATTGATAAACCGGCCCTAAGTACAGTGACGGAGGATATATTTGTCATGCCATAAATCAAATAAATAAAATTGTTAGCACTCATAATGTTGAATTCTAAACAATATAACATACATAATAATTATTGATTTAATAAGAATATATGGCAAATTTAATCAAATTGCCTAAAGAAGTTTCACTTTGGCTGTGTCTACATTCCCGCGGCGGGACTAAAGCTCGATCCCGACTAATGTCATAATTTGACGTCACACATTGCGAATCGTATTATTTAGAGTGTTATGAAATTGATATCGAAATAATACAATGTGACATTAAAAAGAATAAATATTTGATTGTATAGTTATATTTTGGATTATTTTCTCATACAGTAATATAACATATAATTAAATAAATATTCCTTTGTTGAAAAGTTTTATCAAACTTAAGCCCCGCCTCGGGACTGTAGACGCAGCGATTTTTATAAAGTATGTAGCTTAGGGTGATTCGTTTTGAAGGAACATTTATTTTTTGTCGCTTCCCAAGCAAAATATTGATGCACAAATCGCACCTATGTAAATTGTAGTAGCATAAATTGTCGCCAGCTATTGGACATAGAAAAACAAATCTTTAATTTCCTATGTTATTTTAATGGAAAAAAATTAAAATCAAAATAAAAGTACTTAGGAGTAAGATTCAAGGCTGAAACTTTAATTTTTTCTCTCGATATGTATATAAATACTTTCCTTAAGGAGTGACAAAAAAAAATGTTCCCCTAATAATACTTTATGACAAAAATACATTTATGACAAAAGTAGATAAATATTGAATAAAAAATAATTATTAATAAAATGTTGCTCCATAAATCGTTGTTCTTAAAATAAACATTGAGAGACGTAGCCTTGAATAATAGTACAATGCAAATTCAATCCCATTAACGATTATTTTGGTAATACAAAATACCAGATGTGATCTATTGAATATGCATTGAATGCGTCTTTTCTTTGAACATTTCTCCATTTGCATTTTTTAAATTCCCGTACTTTTTATGGGTTTTCTAGTGTTAAAATGAAAATATTTATTTTTTCAAAGCCTTCAAGTTTCGTATAATTGGTTCAGTCTAATTAATTAACCTCAAAATCCGAATAAAATGACAAATTTAAAACTCAATTCAATACAGGGTGATAGATTAATGAAATAATTTATTTTGAAAAATGTAGCGTTTCAGTTTTGGGCGAATAAAAAAAAGTAGCTTACCTTCCAGCGAGATTTAGCGAAATTCTTTTTCAGTTGTTCCGACACGGTTCCATGGATGTTCTTATTGCTTGCCGCATTACCAGATATCCTTTTCGGCGAAGAAGAGATTAAGAGGAGAGAAAGAGAGAGAAAAAATTAAAAGATGCATGTCATTAAACTACATTCCCGTTCCGATAGATGAAAACGATTATGTCATAAACATTTGAAACGAGCTAAGAATGCTGTTTAATTAATTTTGCTTACCAAGGATGTCCTAAAGCTTGTCGACAAGTAAATCTTTTGTCCACATTAACACACATCAAGTTTCTTATAAAGTCTTTGGCTGAGTCACTGATTTCGTCCCAGTAGGGTGAATCGAACTCAAACTCGCCTAAAAAGCATTTATTTAAAAAAAACATTAAGAAACATTATATTTTAATTCAGTGATTCATAATTAGAGTTCGTTGAATTTTTATACGTGTACATATTAAAACAAAATAGTCATTTTCTTGTAATTAAATTACGAGTGTTAAAATCAACAAGTTTTGGCTTGTGCAAAAACGTTTGTTATTTAATAAAATCGAAAACGAACTTTTAACTTTGCGCCCTGTATCTAATACGTTAAACAAATATTAGAAATATTCCCCAACACCAAAACAAAACACAAAGTGCTCAAAGTACTTTTCGCCAACATCGTTAATCACTTTGTGTTTTGTTTTGGTGTTGGGGAATATTTCTAATATTTGTTTAGCCAGTATCACTTTTGAGATTTAAGAGGGAAAAAAAATGCAATTTTAACTGTTACCTTTTAAAATCTGGGCGAATAGATTGGCGTCACTTTCATCGTAAAAGGGCGGATAGCCGCAAAGTAAAATGTAGGAAATAACGCCTATACTCCACACGTCGACCGCCTTGCCGTACGGTTTTTGCGCCAAAACTTCGGGCGCTAAAATATTTTTCGGTGAAATAAGCGAAGAAAATTTTTTTTTTTTAGGTTACTCACCGACGTAACCCGGTGTTCCGCAAGCCGTCGCCATAATACCGGAATCCTCCATTTTCGATAGTCCAAAGTCGCTTATCATTATTTTGCTATCCTCGTCCGGATTGTAGTAGAGCAAGTTTTCCGGCTGGAAGAGAGTACATTTTTCTTGTTTTGATTTCCCTCGAGAATTTTAAGTTCAATTTGCTTTTGCATGCATCTTTGCCCCAATGAGAATAATTGAAACGTGTCCAGGGCTGAGCCACGATACAAATATTCAGCCCTGATAAACTACGAATACTACAAACGTAAAAAATAATTAAACGTTTAATTAACTGGAACAATTGATGAAAAATCGCGGAGGTAAATCCAATAACGTGCCGACAGCCTTCTAGCATTGTTCCTATAAATTCGATTAGTGTGGGAAATTACCTTTAAATCACGATGGACCACACCTTGCACATGCATATAGTCTACCGCTTCTAATACTTGACGGATCAGATCGGCAGCATCTTTTTCCGTGTACGAGCCTTTTTCCACGATTCTGTCAAAAAGCTCCCCACCTGTCACTCTGAAAGAAAAATTTTGATGCTGATTTACCCGTTCAAGCAGATAATATGTGAAAACCTGAATCTACATTTTCCAGGTATGACATCATCCATCTAATAAATAATATTTTAAAGGTTTAAAACGCGTTAAATCCAAATTTTAAAAAGTAAAAAATGTAAGCGACCAATTCTGCCCCTAAGCAAGAAGGTCGTATCTGACATTTTTTCAGAAATGGCTAAATCAGAGATTGGGCATTTCTGCATGTTTTGCACTAACCCAGAATGCTTTATCTGCATTAGTAAAATGATAAATCTTCTATTAATTTTGTCCTAACTACAAAAAAATAGCGTGTTACTAAGAATTATTTAATTATTCCAAATCAACAAATTTTCATATATGACTTTCTTGCTTAGCAGGGCAGAATTGTCGCATAGGAAACCCAATTCACGAGTTAAATATCTTTTTCTACTCCCACCTTTAAAACGCCCTTTATCGTACATGTTTCCATGACACTAAGTGACCTTTTAAATACACATTGACGAGTTGTGGCTTTATGGCGCTTTAGTCACGGGCTGAAGTTAGCAACAGGTTTTTAGTCACGGGCTGAAGTTAGTTTTAAGTTACTTGACAGTTGTCAAATGTCATACAATCGTTAATAGAAATTGACTTTCTTGTAAAATAATACTAAATGTGAAAATTATTTTATTATCTCAATACAAAAATACAAAAGTTTTAAATATTTGAAAAGTTTATATGAACATTGTACTGACCTTTTTATTTCGCCGGCAGTAAACTATAACTTAAATTCGGGCACGGACTCTACTGTAAAGTCCTCATAAAACATTTTCTTTACTTTCACTGTGAAAAACTGTCAATTTTCAAGAAATACATTTCGATTTATAACCTTTATAATTGTGTTTATAAAATGTAAAAATTTGACATTTGACGGTGACACACAGATTCCCCTATTGTTTCATAGATGGCGCTCTATACAAATTTTTGATTTAAGCATTTTAAGATAATAATAAGTATTTGTCGTAGAAAAAGTATAGTATGCACCTTGTTTATAAACTTTTCTATACACTCATTAATTTAAGCACTCGTATAAAATGGCGTTTATCAAACTTGATACATAATATACCATATTAAATGAAAAATTATAATGTGAATACTTACAACTCCATTATTAAATAGACTTTTGATTTGTCTTCGAATGTCTCCAGAAGCTGAACTATGTTGGGATGTTTGAGTCTAAAACAAATTTTAAAAAATTGTGACCTCCAAAAAATTGGTTAAATATATAAACATGTGAACTTTTATACATTTTTGTGCATTATTTGATAGATAATCGGCTTTATTTGATGATATATGAAATATGATGAAATAATGTTATGGTTAGACAAAGGCAGATGTGAGCGCAAAGCGCATTCGATAAAAATAAGGTAAAACATAAAAGTAAACCGGTCACAGGGGTGCTAGTCCATTTAACGTTAAAAGGAAACGTTTCGTTATATAATAAAGGTAAATATTAATTGCAAAATGAATCGATTGCATAGTAAGTTTCCATCAATAAACAAACAGTAGTTAATAGTGTCTTTGCTTTATTTAATTTTATATTTATTATAAAATCGATAGATTTGTTCGAATTAAGAAGATACCTACTAGATTTTAATTATCATTGTAAACTGACTGAAAATGTCTTCGAGTTATTTATTATTATAAGACGCAATATGATACGGCTATACATGGCTTCTATAAATTTATATCTTCAGCGATGTTTCGCTCAGTTTTTTTGTCTTTGTTAATTCAACTATAACAGTCTTTGTAGATGGCAAAGTATCTTTATAATATAAGAATATCTTTGAATACAAATGCGCAAACATGTTGCTTCTACATCACCGAATAGTGAGTGAGTGCATTTGATTTATCTTGTACAATCATATCTTGTTTGTATATTCTTAAAAAATCGACCTGAATATAAATTAGAAAGCAGCATTAAAAAATGATATTGGCCAGGGTGTATTCATGTATAGGATATGTAGAAAGTATGCACTAATAAATTTCATACGACTAATAAAAAATATCGATGCAAACTCGTTCAATCATTATTTATTACTTTTTAAGATAGCTGTGAAATTACATGGCATTTTTTATCTTATTTTATTTTACAGCATCAATTTCATTTACTAATTTAATTATAGAATATTATAATATAAAAACTGGTTTTATTAAATTTTTATTAAAATCAAATTAAATGTTAAATTAAACAAAACGTATTTAAAATGTTAAACACTTGCTTTATAAAATTAACCAATTAAGTATATTGAGGACAAATTAAATGCTCAGTATTTTATTTAAATTTGAAGTTTGTGTTCATTAAAAATATAATTCTATTCTAAAATATAATTTTATTAAAGGTAGTAATTAGCTTTGAATATGAGGTGAGACATGCTATAATAGTATCTTAGATACTTTTGGATAGTATCTTAATCTTAATCTAAAGTATCTTGTAACTAAAGATACTTTCAACTCAAAGTATTTAGTTATTTTGTTTAAAGTATCTTAGAAAAGTAACTAGATACTTTTCAGAAGGGTTTGAACCTCCATGTTAAAATCAGGAAGATATTAAAGTTATATATGTATGTAATGAACCATTAAGATTATGTGACACATGACAACTAACAATTTTGTTATAGTTGTTTGGAAAAATTCTGTATTTGAATTAAATAATATATTATGTTGTAATGGTTTAAGTAAATTTTGCTTGTTCCTTACATTTCATTTTGTTATCTTGAATTTTGCATTTTTTAGCATACATATTTACTTAAAATTACGGTATGTTATTTTTAAAATCGTAATAGGTACTCATATTTGCATATTTAGAAACCTAGACTGGTATTCTTTTTTAATAATATAGTTGTTCATAGCAAATATCGATCAGGATTTAACAAAAATAAAAAGAAGTAAATCTTTCCACAAAGATAAAATAAAAATCAATCAAAAATGTATAGTATGTGTTATTGAGTCTGACACGTTTTTGTGTGGTTTTTAATGTAAATACCTTGGGAATATATGTGTTTCAAGAAGAAGATAAATAAAAGGCGAACAAAATAAAGAAAAAGAAAATGGATATCCTAATTAAAAATACTTAGGAGTGTTTGAGAAAAAAATATTTGGTAAAACATCATACCAAGTTATGAATAAAAAATAGTGGATTAACTGTGAGATCACTCTGTATTATAAAATTGGCACTGAGTCTGATAAACATGCAATTTCTCCCTTGGGATACGTAATTTAAAAATGAGACGAGAAAATTGTTTTAATTTTAAATAAAATTTGCGTCGGCTGTATTAAAATAATTTGATTTGCTATTTTTTGATTTGGAATTGACCTACTTTAATTAATAACTAAAAAAATCATAAACAAAAAAGTCAGACTTCTGCAAGTTTTGTGCCCGTGTATTGATTTTCATTTATAATAGAAATAAATAATCCTACTTATTATAAAATATGATTTGGCAAATAAAATTTATTATTTTAGGATAACGTCATGTATTGTTTAGCAATATATATATATATATATATATATATAAAGTGTCATTTTTAATATTGTTATTACATGTCAAAAGGCATTAAAATTTGCGTTTCTCTTATTTGGTCGATGTTTGCTCATTGATTGCTTTTTAAAATACTACCCACTTCTAAATAAATTATTGTGCATTTAAGTGCTCTCTAATTTTTTGTAATCCATAGATGCATTAATTTAACAATTAACAATAACAAATAATCTGTTCAAAGTCCACAAATTTAGTTTATTTTATATTTTCTGAGATGTCCGCGGTAGGTCAAACGTAATCAACATAACCCCGGTGATTACGAACGAAAATTTAAAATTTATTGTTCAAAATTTCAAGTTTGATTCGTTAAAAAACATTTTAGTACAAAAGGCATTCTATTATTGGGAAACTTTGTTTTAAAATATTGTGATATTATTTCTTTTGTTCAGAACTGTACATAAGACAATATTTCCATTTCCTGCCCCAAGCCAATAAAGGATTATGTAGTCGGTCATTCGAAGAATATTTTATTAACTTCGTTAAGACCATTAATTAGCAAACATTTTATGACTGATTTAAGAATTTACAAAAGTTAATTTTTAAATAGCATGAAGATTACAGGAACTGTTACTTTATTTTTGAATGGAAAAATGTAAATGCTAAGGTTATTTGATTTTTCATTAAAACTGCTTCCTGGAAACAAATATTTAATGAAAGCTTCAATTTGATGGGGATATTACATTTTTAAATAAATAAAGCGACATTTCTGGCCAATATTAATTGGCCTTTTTTCAGGATAAATTAAACAAAAATGAAAAAAACACGTCTCAGTTTTTGCTTGATTTTTTTCAAAACAAATAATAATTAGAACTCAAAGAAACTTGCCATCTTCGTATTACATAATTTAGTACAATTAAGTCAATATTTATTTAATGCCCTCTATAAATGTTACATTTATTATTGACAAAATTAAAAAAATGTTTTTCACAAAACTGTTTATCTCGCAAAAAGAAATAAACACTTTAAAAATAGATTCACACACTTTCCTAATATAATGTGTTGGTATTAAAATAATATTAAATTAATTAATGATATGTTCTATAAATAAAATAAAAAAAATGTAGTTTAAATATTTGTACACAAAATATTTTTGATCCATACTGACTTAAAACATTAACCAGGGAAAAATAAAAAAAATTGAATATTGGCGTTTTAATGGAATTAAAAAGATGTTGGTTGCGCATATTTAGTTCAATGAATTTGTAACACCACAAAGGAGTTTGTGTCGAGCATTATACAATAAAAAAGGTTAATTGGTGAATTGACTCCTAGACATGGTATCAACTGTGTAAAATGAATCACGAACATGAAATTAATTGATTTTTTTAATAATTTGTATTTTTTGTTAGAAAATAACTTGGATTTTACGAATTGTCTTAATATATATATATATCATAATCGTTTTTTAATAAAATCCTAGCCCTAAATAAAAACAATAGATTGATCACTTTTATTGTAAAATAAAAACTATTACCATAAAACCATTTTTGAACTTTTATATTTATTTCTGAAACCATAAACATGGTCATTTTTATTTGTTGTTATTGCCAAATCCTAAATAAAAACAATTAATAGATCGCCTTTATTGTAAAATAAGAACTATTATCACAAAATCATTTTTGAACTTCTATATTTATTTTTGAAACCATAAACTATCAATTTTATTAATGCCAAATTCTTGCTACGCCACTGGACTTTTAAAGCATGCGGCGCGAAAGCCCTGGGTCCTTCTACTTTGCCGTTTACTCTACCGGAGTCATACCAAGTAAAACCTACAGTAAATCGTAATGCGTATTTAAATAAAAACAAACGTGTTTGTTTTTTTCTATGCTTAATATTTTATTTAATTGAAAATAATTTCAACGATAACATTTTTATCAACATACTCACGAAACTTTTTGATATATAAATATTTTAAGAGATTAGGCCGTTTACGTGCCCTAATAATAAAATTGCCCTATTACCTGAGCTTTTTATCACATGAAAATCATTCGTGTGAAAAAAACAACATTCATATAAAAGTTCATTGCGAACTTCGTGTGGGCAAATTAAAGCAAAATAAACTTTGCAGTTTAACTAATTTCGGTTGACTATAAATGTGATTATTACTTACTTAAAGTAAGTTAGCTTACAATTATATTTCGGCCATGGTAACTAGTAATTCAATGTGCTTGTCTAATGGAATAGCTAATGACAATATCACCATAGTGCACTACCTCCCCTAGGCAACAATTATGTCAAAACAAGAATAGATAAAAAAATTATCACGCTGTTATCAAAAACATCCTGTATATTTTAAAGATCGTAGAATACAACATTTTTGTAGTAAATTTCACAAGCTTTTAATTGATTTTATAGGCCTAATAATTTCTTCCAAATATTGTAATCTGTACATTTTAAAATCCGATACTTAACTTAATAAATCATGGTTCTGAAGAAAAGGTTTTTTTTTTTAAAAGATAGATATAAATTATAGGTTTAGTTCCATCATTTTTCCATTTATATATTTGATAGTTAATTTATGTTTGAAATAGAGATTGATCATTTTTGGTTGTGTGGAATTCTAGGCTGCATTATATTCATATACCTATCTAATATATTATACTCCAATATTGCTAGCGCACGTAAATGAATGTGTCACGGAGCTTCTGTCTCTACTTCGAGAATGTTTTTTTAAAAAGTACGTGTTAAAACAAGATTTAAAAAAAGTGGATGTTCGACAACTATTAACGTACTAATTAATTAATATAAGGTATGTTTTATTAATAATAAAATTTGTTTAACAAAAAGCGACTGAAAATGCTTAAATTCCAAAATAAAACCTTAGTTTTCATATACAGCTTAATAATAGGATTTTGATATGCTTTATGTGTTTATTTTATTAGAAAATTAATGTGGTTTATGGCTTTGTTCGAAAAATAATTATGCACGTATCAATTAGGTTTGAAAAATGTACAGCGAAATTCATTTGGGGTAGGTAGCAAATTCGATTTTATCTAACTTAAATGATATTAATTAATAAATTACTTTTAGTTGTATATTATGTCAAACTAATCTTTACATTTGAAACACGAATTTTTTGTGTGTCAATGGCTTTCCGCATAAATAAAGCCCATCAATTTATTTAACGTGCAATTAAAAAAAAAGAAAAAACCGACTTGAATGTTTGAAAATTTTAATACCTCTCTGGCTGCAAATATTTTCCAAGCCCCGACTATTCAACAGTAGCCGCAACAAGCACAAAAAAGCGAATACTGAAAATTCCTTTTCCGATTTTAATCACAATAGCAAAAAAATCTTTAGTTGCATTAGCAAGATAACAAGTTTTTTCGTTGGCCTTATCGGGAGAAACAGGATTTTTAGAATAGTACAAGGAAAAAAATAATTTGTTTTGATAGGTAGGTAGGTACCTAGTTATCTACCAACAATTTTTAAACAACGATTTATTTATGCATACTTAAAGGAAGTAAAAGTTTGTGGATTGTAGGCCAACTACACCTTTTTAAAACAATGAATCATAATTATAAGTAAAACAAAATCAAACGGTTTTATCAGTAGTTATACAGACATGCCAAATTTATGTAAACATTTTTTTCGCTAATCTGACGCTGCAGAATCTTAATTTTGTTATTTTTGAAAATTGCAGTTAATTTAAAGTCAATTTAAGTGAAGTTATAACTTAAGATCATTCAGCAGAAGTTTTTTTGCTCGTTATATCCGCAGTTGTCTGTATTTAAAACGATATTTTTTTAAATTAATTTTTTCTGTTTCTGCGCTTTAAGAACATAATATGTAGGTATATATTATACTTCCCTGGAGTATTATTGGCTGGGTAAATCTCGAATTGCTAACAAGTTGCTTGATTTATTAAATTTAAAATATAGACTTTTTAAATAAAGTAGGTAATACTAAACTTAGTTTGCGTCGAGTGTAGGTATACTTTTATATATTTTAATGAAATAATTGTTCTTAATTGTTTGTTGTTAAACATTGAACTAAACAGCATGATTACTAATATATTGTTTTTATAACTTTAACTACTAAGTAGTGGCTAATATAGAAACAAAATTGAAACTACTCAAAACAAATTAATATTTAGCATTTCAACTTGAGATAATTTTAAATGCATGCACTTTTAATTACATTTAGTTGATAAAGTTGAATAACATGCAGACTATGGGGACTTACCTTCGAAGAACTTTAATTTCATTTTCAAGAGAGTCTTCCTTTCCTTTTAAGGCTTTCTTGTCTATAATTTTAACAGCATGCATTAATCCAGGCCTGTCTTTGCTTTCAGCCAGCCTGACAACTGAGAAAGCCCCTCTGAAAAACCAACAGATAGGTTAGATTGTTGTAAACAGATGTAAAGACAATTTCTTACGTTCCCAGTAATTCTTTTAAGTAATATTTGTCTTCCAAAGACGGCTGTTTATCGGAATCCTTTCCATCTTTCTTGGACTTTTTTTCCTTTCCAAACAGAGGCATTTTCTTTATTTTTTTTTAATTCTTTCTTCGCGTAACATATATATAACTTTTATTCACACAACAATGAACAAAACATTTGAAATCGGCTTCTACACAGCAATCATTCCTTTAAATAGTTCTACTTTAAGTTAAAACGCAACTACTGAACAAGTTGTCACTGAATTCTTACAAGGAATCGGGGCCTTTACTTTTCACTTCGACAGCTAAATCAAAACTGTCCAATCTTCCTATCCCTAGCCTGAAAACAACACTCGACACTGTTGGTTGGTTGGTTCCAAAGTTCTCCGTTTTTTCACTTTATTCTGCAATTTTATGTTCAACCAATCACTAAAAATTACTTACATTTGCTAATAACATATTTAATATACTTTCCTTTTTCGATATTTTTAATTAAATTCATTTTTCACGATTATTTTATCGGGATTCTACCACATCCGGCAACACTGTTGATAATTAACCACAGGGCCGGACTCTTCAATTTTCAATGTTCGATTTTTTACTTTCGATATTAAATTTAAATAGTTTACAGTTTACAGTCTTTGTTTATAGTTGTTTTTGAAAATTTGCGCCTTTAAATAATCTCTATAAAATTATTAAATAAAATTATATTCTGTAGAGATCATTTTTTATAGAAAGTTAATTTAAAGAAATACTACACACATAAAAGTGCTGAATGGCAAATGCTTGAGTCAGGTCCTGTTTATTTAAAAGTTTGATTTCTCTTTTTTCTTACGATAATTAGGTGCTACATAACCTAGACTAATAAAATAACATTTCCATTGCTAAACCCATTATACCCAAATAGGCCTTTTTAATTGTTTTTCAGTATTTAGATTTGAGCTAGTTAATTAATTAAACGATTGTGTGTTTATTAAAACATAAAATGTTGAAGAAGATTGCTTGGCGTTCAATAGGGGTAATTAAAATAGTTTTTGTTGGATAGGTCACAGAAAATTTAAATAATTAACTATTATTATAATTTAGTGAGACATGGGCATTTTAATTGCTAAATAATTAGCATTATGTGTTGTTTTAAATAGATAATTATCACATTTAGCAAAATTAAACGTATATTAGGTTTGTTCCTACCAAGCATTTGACATGTCCCTGACGTCCATTTGACAGTCCAAATGCTCGGTAGGAACACCCTATTATAATCAGTGTTGCCAGTCTAGTAAAATTGTTCTAGATCTAGTACGTTTTGAATACATTATGTATTTTAGTACTCTTGAATCAAAATCAAGTAATTTTTTGAAATATTGGTCTATTGGCTCATTTTTAACTGCCGCAGAATCCGGAATTTGGATTCCGAATTAATCTAAAAATAAAATATTGACCCTTGTTATTTAAAATTATATGTATAAATTACAAACAGGTACACGCAACTCAAAATACACATTTAGCAACATTGGGCATAACGATAATAGATGGCGATACCTACCAAAGACAGTTGTTGCCATAGGAGGCTGTTTTTTGGATGTTGCGCATGACTGTCGTTAAATACAATTTCTGTATTTTAATGGCTGATGATCAAATTTTACATTTTCTTTAGTTTGCTTTGTTGTTCGGTTGTAGTTTGTATTTAAATTTGAATTTTCAAAAAGTGTACTTCAATATACTTAAAAAAATTAAAGTTTAAACAAAATATACATTAAACTCGCTATTTTTGAGTAAAAACTGGTACTATTTGAAAATAAATTCTGGCAGCACTGATTCTAGGGCTAGCCCTGTCAGTGTACAGTGTGGGACTAAAGAGAAGCGTATTTTAATAAAACAGAATTATAGGAAACAATTATATTTTACAATATATAACAAAATTAAAAACAAAAGCTTATAAATTCCAAAATATTACACAATTAGAAATAAATTCAATGAAATCAATATAAAATTCACGCAATACATACAATAAATGGCCTTATTAACCATATATTTAATAGATTATTATTATTATTCAAAATATATTTAATCAATTCAATTCAATATTATTAAAGAAAACTTTTATCACAAAATTAATCAGGGGCACCACATGTAAAAAAATATAAGTAAATTCCATTACTTAAATATTAGCAATGTAAAAGTAAACATAAGGAATTACCAAGTCAAAAAAAAAAATTAATACAGTCCCTATTAATACAACTGATATGAAGTATAATAAGTACAAGACTTTGTGCTGGAAAAGATTGAAGAAATTGAGAGTATAATTTATATTAAGTAATGATTACAATAGATTTAAAGCTAAACAATTCTAAAATAAATATTATATTTACGTATTTATATAAAAACTAAATAATTTCCTAACTTATGATGAGGTTGATGGTCCCGGGGAGCCAAAGCGCTTTTTAGATTTATGTTTTAGCTCATCTAAGTAGGTTTTTTGAGATTCAGCCAAAACCTGAGCCATTATTTCTTGATCGAAGTCTTCAAGACCTGAAAAAGAAATCCACTTCAAATTTCTTCAATTGAACATGGCTCCCACTTAAATTTCAATATTCCCTGTCTTTTTAAGAAATTTAAAATTAAGACATTTCCTCGATTTTTATATTTTTTATGATAAAAGAAATTTTTTAGTGGCAAGCTTTCAAAACAATAAAAAATATCAGATTAAACATAAAAATACGTAAAAAACAAAACATGCTTATATTTATATTTTATCATTGTGTACAGTGTTTAAACATAAAGTTATTTGCAAACAAACTTGTCAATAACAGCCTCATTACTTGGTACAGTACAAATTTTCGTAGATTAACGAAAAATAAGTAAATAAATAAATGATTTTTAAAAATAAATAAATAAAATCTGACATCTGACAAATGGTTAACTTAACTTTTTACCAATTTTAAATGTTATTAAAATGGCATTCTCCCAAAATCCGATTGGTTCAAATCACAGTGAATATTGAAATCTGCCAATCACTGATGCCCAAAAACGTGAATAATAAGTTCATTATCCTCTTTGTTAGGAAGGGAATTTATAATGTTTATCATTATTCACAGAAAAAACACTATTATGCAATAGGAGTAGATAAAAGTGTATTTTATGACAGTTTGAATAAAAAAAACAAATTATATAATCATATTACATATTTATTCTTTTTTTTAACCATTTTAATCTGTTAGCTTGGTATAAAGATTTACGTTTTCTGTTTAAAGAATAATATAATAGTTATTTGTCATTAGGTTAAGGAGTAAGGCTTTTTGTGCTAAGCTCAAGGTACAATTGAGCGAAGCACAAAAAGGCACTTCTTGGCTGACATACAACATTTTATCTTCAAAGCACTTTATATAGGTCAATTTAATTCAACATCAAAGCGGCCTAACCTCACTTTTTTAGAATCTCATTTATTTATTAGCTAAAGATTACATTAAATGTACAATTATTATTGCTTTTAGAAGCAGTAATAGTTTGACAATACCTAGCAACATTATTTAAGTAGAAATGGATTTTTGCTATTACATTGAATTCAATTAATTGTTTAATAAATAGGTAGGTATCTAACTTCAATTTGTTTGGATTTTTATTTAAAAAATAGGTAGTTTGGAATGTTTATAAGCTGAAAATGTTTCACTGAAAACTTAAAACAAATTTAAACTTATAGATAATTTAAATCGTAGAAAAAAAATCGTGCGTTTTCTTGGTTGCCTAACCTCACTTTTTGTTTTATTGTTCATATTTAATTTTACAATAATTTAATGAAAAATATTAAACATTAACAGTAAAACAAACAAATTAGTGCTTATTATAAATAAATTAAACCAGTTTAGTGCGTTAATTTCTTAGAAAAGGATTAATTTGTAAAAACAATACCCCTAGCGAGAAAAAATCGAACTAATTACTTGCCTCATAAAAATTTTTATCGGCCTAGGCCATAACAAGGTATTTCTTTATCGAATGTTGACAACAATAAAGTTTAAATTATAGACCGCGTGGAGATAAAATGTAATTATTTATTAACAGTATTTTTGTAGCATAATATATAAAAATCAGTAGAAGTTTGACATTATAGGTTATGCGCCTGAATTTCTTCTACAGTGACCTGTAATTTTTCGGTTACCACTGATTTTGAGCTAATTGCGATAGATGGAAGCACTCATTTTATTTTATTTCAATGTATTTTCATTATTGTACGCCGGTGTATAATAATCTGACTTATGAGTGTTATAATATGAAAATTGTTATATGCATGAAAAAAATTAAAAAATTTGGTAAAATAGTCGATTTTCCAGATAAAAATTAAAAAATTTCCCCAAAAGCCAATTTTTCCAAGGCCTGGGAAACAAAAAAAACAGGTTTCTTTTTTCAATTCTTTCGTTTTTTCCCCGACATAAAATTCTTAGAAATGAATATTTTTAATTGATATTACAGTAAAATAAAAAAATCTATACCTATAGAAGTGTCCAGCCTAGAAGGTCCAGCTTGTTCTGTGACAATTTCAGATTCGTTTTGTTCAATGCGACGGGGGGAATTGTAGACCCTTTTGGCGAACGCGCTTTCTTCTTCAGTTGGGACATAAACCGGAGGAGTTTCCAAAATAGGATCTGGGTTTGCTGCGTGAAGAAAAAAATATAAAAATAATTTCGAAAAAATGGTAAACCTTTTACTCACCGAGCGGCGAAAAGGAGCATTTCGGCGAGGAAGAGCCGCCTTTGGGCGACGGGCAGCTTTTAGGCGACACAGAACCCCGTCGGGAAGTTCGCGGACTCGCCACCATCGACGAGGTTATGGTGCTGCTGCTTCCGCTAGCCAGAGAATGACCCTCCGCCTTAAGGCGGTTCTCCTTATCCCTGAAATACTGGATGTACGATTCGCGCGCGACCTGCTCCTCTATCGCCTCATTGGTCGCCTCCCAGTCGGTAGCCTTGATTTTGTCTTCGAGCATGGTCTAAAAATAAAAATTAAGATACATACACCTTAAGATAGGATGGTGCGCATGTTGGGCGGGGCTTAAATACGGCACTTGATGAGTGTTTTTAAATCTTTAACGTGCTTTTTAATTATATGGTCTATTTTTTGTTTAACTTGTTGTTTTTGCGTTCGGTAAGGTTCGAATTACTTTTCAGTGTTCAAATTATTGTTATTGCGTTGTGTTAACCTGTTCTGTTTGTTTATTATTGTTTTTGTGTTGCGTTAACTTGTTTTGTTTGTGTTTTAGTTTGTGTCGTGTCATTTGCATTTATTAAAATGCGGTGTGGCATATTTGGATGCAATTCGGACAACCAGTCCAAGAAAAACCCTTTAAATAAAAACATTAAATTTAATCGATTCCCGAAAAACTTTGATACGTGGAAACAGTGGTTAAATGCCACAAAAAGAATAGACAATATTAACGTTAGTACCGCTTTTGTTTCCACTAAACATTTTCTGGACAGTGACTATAAGTTTAATTTAAAACACCAACGCTTAAACTACAGCCCTTAATGTTATCAAGGACTGAAAGCATCTATTATCCCTATTATAACACTTTTTTTAATGTTAAGTTTAATAAAAACGCACTATGTCCAGATATTTCTCTATTTCCTTTGAAAATATTACTATTATTCGTGTATTCGCACGGCAACTACTCATCAAGTGACGTCATGCGCGGGACGAACCAAAACTCGTACACGGGAGCATCCAGCCCGATAAAAATGTTCAGTTGTTATGGTAACGCCGTTTTAACATTTATTAAATAATTTAAAATTTTATTAATTAATTGTTTCGACTTTTACTTAATGAAACTCCATGACAATTGTTTCGCTACACAGTAGCATCTTTAGATCGTATACAAACTAATATTAATTTTCTATTTATATAAATGATGGTTTTACAGGTAATATTTTTAGTACAATATTGGGGGTAGATTAAATTAGCGTTGTTTGTTCCTTTATTGTATAACTCTAATTTAATCTATCCACAATATTGTACTAAAGTATTACCTGTAAAACCATCATTTATATAAATAGAAACAATTGTCATATTGAAATAAAATAGTGAAACTTTTAAACAGTGTAGTTTATATTAACATTATATTAACTAAAAATTTTAGGTTTACATTTATAAATTTCAAATATTTTCAACTATCATGTATTGAAAGACAATTTATTATTTTTATTTAAATAAAAATACATTAGGAAAAATCCAAAGGAACAGCCGGAAAATCAAAAAAAAAATCGAAATTCGTACAACTTTGAATTAATTTGAATAGATGGCGTTCGTAGCTGCGCTTCAGATTAGATGAAAAAACATAACCACAAATTCATTAATTCAATTGTTTTAGCGAGAAATTAGTTTAAATAGTTGGAAAAAAGTTTACCGGGTCATCTAGTTTTTTAATAAAAATAATTTCTCAAGTATAATATATTTGGGCAGAATTTTGTAAATTTTTTTATAAAATTATTTAGATTGAATTAGTAAAGTTACATTTTTTAATATTTAAAAATAGACTTTAGAGACTTTTAAAATAAAAAAAATGTCTGCCAAAATAGTTTAAAAAGTTAATTTATTTAATCTCAAAACAATTGACAATCAACAAATTTTAAATATAAAATGCAAATGTAAAAGTTTAAGTTTAAATATTGGTTTTTGAAAATTGTAGATTAATTATTTTATTCAACAAAATTTTTGGTTTAAAATTGTGAAGAATCATTTACATAATAGTAGATACATTTTTAATACAAACATTCTTGCATTTCATTTAAATGTGAGTTTTAAATTTTAAAGTGGTAATTTTTGGATTAAAAATTTATCGACTATCATTTAAATGACTCTTGAAAAATTTAAACCAACAACTTTAAAGAAACAAACAAATTTAAATTGATACATTTTAAACACAAACATATTCGTATTACATTTAAATGTAAATCGATAATTTTTAATTCAAAAAGTGTAAACGCTGCTTTAGCTGACTGTGTGCTGCAGACTTCGCGCTCTAAAGTAACGTTCACACTTTGTAAATTAAAAATGATCGACTTACATTTAAATGTAGTTATAAATTTTGGGTGAAAAATGTTTCAATTTAAAATTGTTAAAAACTAAGAGTTTTGGTTTAAATTTGTAGTCATTTAAATGAAATTTTTAATTTTTAATCAAAAAATAACCACTTTAAAATTTAAAACTTACATTTTGTAGAATAAAAAAAGTTGATTTAAAAAAAAAATTGTTTTGAGTTTAAAAAAACATCATTAAAGTGCCAAACTAATATCTAATAAATGCCAAAACGGCGTGCCATAATAAAAAGCTTACTTGTTCAATGAGCAGTTCCTCACTGGCTCTGACTGCGTCGTTAAACCGTCTGCGATCAATTGGATCGGGTTTGTAGTTCGGCAAACCCAAGCCAACTCCTACCGACGGTTTATTCGGGTTGCTTATAGAGTTATAGTGACACATTCTGTGATATGACAGCCGAATGGGCTCGTATGTATTGATAATTCTTGAACAGTTGAATATGTTGATTGGCTCTAAAATGCTTCGTGTATAACCATGTTTTTTTTATACATACACTCATATTTCTTACCAAGTTGATAGCAATACACCTCTATGGTGCGGTTGTAGAGCTCGCTCATTGCCTGGATTTCTAAATGGTTGCCGTGCACATTCCACTGCTTCTTCCTTGCCACATATTTATCGAAGTCTTCAGTCACATACGGCTCGAAATAGTCGCGATTTTGAACCTAGAAAAGTCATTTTAGATCTGACGCTTTCTTGGAAAAAACCGAATTTTCAGGTTTGAACCGTGTGACTAAAGATTTAACGGTCATGAAATATTGGAAAAAAGAAAAATTTATAAACTATCCAATATACACTGCGTGTCAAAATTAACGCATAACAAGTAAAAAAAATCCAACTCTAAAACGCCTTTATCAATCTTTATAAAATTTTGGATAAAAATACTTTAACTTATATCTCAGTTTACGTGTTCAGGGGTTTTTCGAAAAAATATCCTTAAAGCCCTTTTATTTAAAAATAAAAAACTTTTATAGGAAAATTTTTAGGGTCTTTCAAATCAAATCAAATCAAATCATTTATTTGGCCACATTATGCTTACATTCAACATTTTTGGCAAGTCAAGATAAAATAAATATAACATAAATATATCATATATACACAAATATGTAAATAACATAAGGCATACAACATACAAGTTACAGCACACACATTACACATACATATTATCACAGAGTTTAATTGAGAGAGAAACGCTGATGAAAGTCTGAAAGACCCATTTTCATGGCAGCATATTTTTTATTTACTTAAACAAAATTCCCTAAAAGTTATTTTTCGAACATATTTTCTCGAAAAACCCTCGAATACGTAAACTGAGATATAATTTAAAGTATTTTTATACAAAATTTCATAAAGATTGGTAAAGAGTTAGAATTTTTTTACTTATTATGCAATAATTTTGACGCTCAGTGTATAAAAATAAATATTGGGTTAATTCGTTTATTTTTTGTCACTCCCCAAGCAAAATATTAATGTACATATCAAGAAAAAAATGTTTCAGTCCTTAATCTTATTCCTAAGTCCACTTATTTTGATTTTAAAGTTTTCCCACTGAAATAACATGGGAAATTAAGTATTTGTTTTTCAATGTCCAAGTACTTGCAACAATTTTACTACAATTTTTATATTTAGACCTGTATACGTGTCGGAAGTCATATTTATAATAAAAACAGTATATTTGCATTTTAAGGTAAAATGGTTAAAGTTACAGGTAAAAAATTAATAAGATTTATATTTATAAATTCAATTTCCTATAAAAAGCAAAAGTGCAATAATAGTATATCATTTTGATTTATTATCTATGTTTATAACATATACAAATTTGACATTTGACGGTAACACAGGTTCCCCTATTGTTTTATAGATGGCGCTCTATACAAATTTTTGATTTAAATCATTTTAAGATAATAATAAGTATTTGTCGTAGAAAAAGTTTAGTATGCAGGTCGTTTATAAACTTTTCTGGACACTCATTAATTTAAGCACTCGTGACTAAATTAAATTCGTGTTTAAAATGGCGTTTATCAAACTTGATACATAATATACTATTATAAAAAATTTAGAAAAGGTCTTATGGATTAATGCATAGTTTAAAAGATCTGAAGAATTTAATAAATTATTGGGTGAATTAATAATTACTTTTTTCGACATGATTCATTAACGCCCTCTAGGAGTAGCATAAAAAATTATGACAAATTTGTATTTCTCGTCCTTAAAAACTATTGTATGCAAATTTTGAGTTGGATAGATTGAATAGTTTTCCAAATATAACAAATTTTCAAAAATCAGATCTCACATGTATGTGTATCTCGTTTATTAATAACATTTTACTAAGACAAAATACCGCCACGCTATAGGAAATTGAAAAAAAATCCTTAATATTTTATGTTATTTGAATGGAAAAACTTCATGTAAAAGAAACTTTGAATTAAGATTAAGGGCTTAACCTTTAAGGGCATTTTTTTCTCGATATTTAAATCAATATTTTGCTTGGGGGAGCGACAAAAAATAATTGTTCCTTCAAAACGATTGTAATCCCTATTTTTGCTAAATTATATTAAATTATTTTTTTCGGGGATTTACCAAAGTGCGGAGGAAATCCGCTGGTGATAATATTTAAAATACTAAAATTGAATACCATAAAGGATAGTTTATATCAAAACATTAATTTCCGTTTTTACCAATTTTTCAGGAAATTTTAAATCTCTACCAAAGACAACTTTAGGAATTAAACTGAACCATTTTCAGTTTTACCCTAAAATGTATGCGCATTATTTAAATTTCCCGCTCTTTCCTCTGTTTACCAACAACTAAATTTTAAATCATTCATAGTAGAAAACGATTTGCATGTATTTATTTAAACCCTGTATAACTGTTGGATACATACAATGTAGTTCATGCAGTCCTGCCTGACTTGAAAATGAAAATCCTGATCTCCATAAACCTGATCGGCGATAGATCTGAACAAACACGCGCCATCCTCGTTAATATTCTTGATTTCGTAGCCCAAATTCGACATACACCTCGAGAAAAAATCGTCGCGTTTTTGCCACTCCTCGTCGGTGAGATGCCTGTCTTTAATGATTCTCTCATCATATTCATCTTCACTATTAAAGCCGGTACAGTCTTCCTTCTTGACTACTTCGTTGTTGTTCGAAGTTGCCTCTACAGCAGCTGGCACAGCCGTTGACGTGCTTGCAGTGTCATGCAGAGGATCATTTACATTTTCCCTTTTGGCGTTTCTGTCCCTCTTTTGCTCCCTTCGCACTTCGCGTTTTTGCTCCCTCTCTCGCTCTCTATCTCTTCTACGCTCAGTTTCCTTGTAGTGTTTTCTCAATCTGTCCTTCCTGTCTGAAGGCGATTTGCTACAACTTAAAATGTCATACAGAAGGTTAAGGAACAGCTTGTTAAAAGACTTACTAGGTGAAAGGGGACCTCCTTGAAGGAGAATTACTTTCTGTCAATGATCCTATTTGCAGTGAACTAATTTCGTCTCTTCTGCGAGTGGTTCGTTCCGCAGTTCCCTTAAAAAATCAATCAACAAAATAAAAAACTAAAAGCACTACGAACATCCTAATTTACTCATAGGGTAACAAAAAACAATAAGCTGGTACAATGACATATTCACTTACATTTTGCTGGTTTTGATCGGTTTTTTCTTCTACGTTCGCCGACGGCCTTTTTGTGGGTAAAATAGTCATCCTAAAAGCACTTTTAACTAATTTTAAAGCGAAAAGTGTATTTTAAAAGGGCAAAATACGCGAAAATTGACCCAACCATACACTAAAGAATGTTATGTCAACGAAAACAGCTGTCTACAGATACCAACCTAAGAAAAATTTCACCAAGTTTGGTGTATTGATTAAACTATTAAATTTGCTTAAAGAGTAGGCGAATTACAATTAAAACTTTATATATTTTATATTTTTATCGAATTTTCACCCTAAACAATCCGCTTTCTAGGTGGTATGATTTAAAATTTAGTTTTAAGTAAACAAAGGAAAGAGTGGGAAATTTAAATAATGCGCATACATTCTAGGGTGTTATATATTATTAATATATTTCCTTAAATATTAACATTAGGAACATAAATAAATTATTTTAACCATCTAAAAACCCTGGACCAATTGGGGTCCCTAAAAAATCCAATAACAACCAGCATGAAAAAGTATACAATTAAAATAATGTAAAATAAATGCTTGGTTATAAATGATTTTACAGATTTTTTGTTTTTACAACTGTATACCATTAAATATTTCACTCTCAACATATCACTATCAGTAACCACAAAATATTTTTCCGGGATTTCTCCATAACTTTGATCATTATGGGACCTATTTTTATTTTGGGCATCTAAAAAAAAACATTTTTTATGGGTGTTTTCATTTCAAATCATCCAGGCATTTTTTTATTTCCAACCTGGATGGTATGAAATTATTATAATGGACAATGCACCTTTACATTTAACTTTTCCTATGTCATTAATAATCTCACAAATGGTAATAATACTGTGTTTATATCCTAATGAGCTGTTTCTCCACGTTTTACCAAATGGAGCATATTGAGTGCATACTGATATTTCACTGGATAAATAAACTCCATTTCCAAATAATACCTCTCGTCCAACGCTAAAATGCTGTTGTAAACCTACTTTTAAAATTGAATAAAAATTATCCATTGCACTTCCATGATAAGCATGTAAAACTTGTTTTTTTCCAATACGATTTTTAAATGCTTCATCTGCTGATTTTGGATAACATACTTCAAATACATATTGTGGCTCAAGGTTTTTATTCTTGGTTTTTAAAGGTATTTCAGTCTAAAGTACAAAATATATGAGCAATTATATATCAAATATTTTATCATACACTTACTAGATTGCATGGTTTTAACAAAGGAAAATTTTTTTCAACTAATAACCAATATAATAAGTCTACAACTTCTTCAGATATATTTGCATTCTTACTAAGGATTTCTTTGATGGTTGGTATTATATCACAGACGTTTTTCTGCAAATAAACTATTTAAATAAACAATCAGAATTAAAATATTATAGATTTTCACCAATTGTTGAAAGTTTTTTTCATTATTCTTAATAAACATAGGAGGAAATGGCCTAAGACATTTGTCAGTTCTATATGATTTTAATGCAGCAATTAATATGCATATTGTTAAATCAGCTCCACTTCGATTTCTGTAAATGTATTGCTGGATTTTTTTTAATTTATCTGTTACTGGAGGGACGATTTCTGTTTCCTTGGATTCTTTGGTTAAAACTGTTAGATTCTCCAGTGTATCTTCATATTTAAGTATATCTTCTTCACCAAGTTCCATATTTACAAGATTAGTTGTTTGATAACATCGTTATGACATATTTTGATATAATTTTGACACATAACCTAAAACTTTTTACTAAAACAGGTATCTGTAATATCGATTTCTTGACAGTTACTTTAATATCTTAATGTTGGCAGCCATGGCTTCACCTGTGTTGGCTACACTTGCTTAAATGTCAGGCATAAAAGTTGGGTTATGTTTTAATTAAATTGGAATATCTTTTGTTTGAAGCATAATTAGGGCTTTAATTCAGTAAAGAATATAGAAAAAGTAAGTAATAGAGCGTAAATTGCTTAGTTTTTGTCCTATACGTTGTGATTTTGTCTAGCAAAGTTGCAATTTGCTTGGGGAGAAGTTAGCTTCGTGACGCTGTAGCTGTGTTGATGACTGGACATTCGTACTTTTTATCTTAAATTTCTGTACTAAAACAATAGTTACTTTAATATTGAATAGTATCTTATTATATGTTCCTATGCTTTTTGTACTTAATATATTAAAGTCTAGGTATATACTCCAGAATTAGTAACAAAAAAGGGTTTAATAGTAGTTAACCCAAAAAACACCTTGAACACTGAGTTAAACTGTACATTTTTAGTCAAATATTTGGAAGAAGAGTAAAAATAGCAAAAACAGCAGTTATATATCGAGGTTATCAAAAACCAAGTAGAGTCATGGCCTTTAAATATCCAGATGTTAACCGAGATGAATCAATAGTTGACAATTATTTTGGTGTTGATGTAAGTAGGTTACTTATTTCATTTCTCGAGCACAAAAATGTTATACTTCTAGGTAAAAGATCCATACAGATGGCTTGAAGATCCAGACTACGAAAAAACTCAGGCTTTTGTAGATGTGCAAAATGCCATAACAAGACCTTACATTGATAATTGCCCTTATAAAGAAAAAATTCGTGAGAGAATTACCAAACTGTGGAATTACCCAAAAGTTTCCGTCCCATCACGACATGGAGATAAATTTTATCAACACAGAAATACTGGGTTGCAAAATCAAAGTGTCATCTATGTTCTGGCCGATTTAAGTAGTGAAGGAAAAGTTTTTCTTGACCCCAATACATTTTCCGATGATGGCACAGTGGCTTTATCCAGTTCTGCATTTTCTGAGGATGGTAAAACCTTTGCTTATGGACTCAGTTCAAGTGGATCTGACTGGATTGAAATTAAATTTAAAGATGTTGAAACTGGTGTTAATTATGATGAGGTTTTAAAGAAAGTTAAATATTCTTCACTTACCTGGATGCATGATAATAAAGGATTCTTTTATGGGGTGAGTAATGTGTACAGGGTTGGAATAAGTCATTAAAAAAATTAAATAATAAAAAATTTAATTTTCTTGACATAATCTGGAAATGCTGATTGTTACCAACCATAACATGATAAATAAATTAGGCAACCAGATAAATTATTTTTAGTGTTTAGATTTTAGAAATATATATATTACAATTTGTTCCCATTGTAAAACAATTGAATTAATTCGCGAATTAAATCACTGACTTAATTCATATGAATTAATTTGTGCCAACCCTGAATGTGTACTGCAGTTTATCAAGATTGTCCAGATTAAGTATATTATTTTAGGCATACTTGGATCAAATTGGTAAAGCTGATGGTTCAGAAACAAAATCAAGTGAAAATCAAAAACTGTATTACCATTATTTGGGCACTGATCAATCTAAAGACGTTGTCGTTGTCGAGTTTGAAGATCCGCAGCTTAGAATGTAGGTGATTTCTACGTTTAAAGTTTAAATTATAATCGTTTGTTATAGGGGCGCTCATGTATCAGATTGCGGGAAATATTTAATGGTAACTCCCATCAAGGGCTGCAAAAATAACTTATTGTACTATGCCAAACTAGAAAATAACGAAAAAATCACCAAAAAGCTGGATTTAATACCAATTGTTACTGAATTCCAAGCTGATTATGAAGTAAGTAAATACACAGTCCAAGGTGCAAAATCGTATTATTCTATTTTTTAGTACATTACAAATAATGACAGTAAATTTATTTTCCGTACAAATAAAAACGCACCAAACTACAGAATAGTAACAATAGATTTAAATAAACCTGAAGAAGCATCATGGACGGATTTAATTCCTGAGCATACTAAAGATGTTCTTGATTGGGCTCATGTTATCAATAATAACATGTTGGTTGTATGTTACTTGCAGGATGTTAAGGTATCAACTTTTTTTCCCATATGTTGCCTAGGTGTATATTAGGATTGCAATACCTTCAAATTTTGTTATTGCACTGCCCTAGTGTTGTCTTTCATATTTCCTTGCTAAATAAACCGAAATTTGGATTTGCATTGCTTGAGCGCTAGGCGAGTCAGTATCGCACTGTGTTTGGTAAAAAAACGAAAGAAATATAATCTTATTTTTTAAGATAAAAATATTTGAAACAACCATCCAATCATGTAATTTTTTCTACTAATGTATGTCCCATGGTTAAGTAAAATTTTAATATCGATCTATTTAGAATGTAGTAGTATCAAGGCGGCAGCTAGAAAAAAAATTCGGAGGGGGATGGGTTGATAAAAATGATTTTTCTATTACTTTTCTGGCAATAAATTTTGTTTAACACCAAAGAAAATCCTTTTTTTCTTCTTTAACATTAACGGCCGCTTATTGTAAATAAGTAAATTAAGGACAGCTGAAGTTAGCAACAGGTTTTTAGACACGGGTGAAGTTAGTTTTAAGTTAGTTGACAGTTGTCAAATGTCATACAATCGTTAAAGTGCATTTCTTGTAAAATAATACTAAATGTGAAAATTATTTTATTATCTCAATACAAAAATACAAAAGTATTAAATAGTTTCTCAACGCCAATATTTGAAAAGTTTATATGAACATTGTACTGACCTTTTAATTTCGCCGGCAGTAAACTATAACTTAAATTCGGGCACGGACTCCACTGTAAAGTCCTCATAAAACATTTTCTTTACTTTCACTGTGAAAAACTGTTAATTTTCAAGAAATACATTTCGATTTATAACCTTTATAATCTGTGTTTATAAAATATAAAAATGTGACATTTGACGGTGACACACAGATTCCCCTATTGTTTCATAGATGGCGCTCTTTCTATACATGTGAATCTGACTAGCGAGGAAATATGAAAGACCTGTATAGGAAGGCACGTAGGTACACTTGACAGCACGTTAATCTTTTAGAATGTATTGCAAATTTATGATTTGAACACAGGCAAAAAGCTGCACGATTTTAAAGTTGACGTTGGAACGATAGCAAGCATATCTGGAAAACGAAAGCACACAGAGATGTTTTACAGCTTTGTTTCGTTTTTAACGCCCAACATTATTCATAAAGTTACATTCGATAAGGAGATAACTGACACGGTAAGTCTGATGTCCGTTAGTTGTTGATGGTACTAACGTTACTATTATTCAAAGGTGTACCATGAGACCAAAGTCGGCGATTTAGATTCGTCCGCCTACGAAACCCGGCAGGTGTTTTACAAGAGCAAAGACGGAACGGAAATTCCCATGTTTATAATAAATAAAAAGGGGGCTTCGAAAGATGGCAACCAGCCGTGCTTGTTGTACGGCTACGGGGGTTTTAACGTGAACCTAACGCCATCTTTTAGCGTTTCCCGGCTAATTTTCATCAATCATTTTAACGGGATATACGCCCTAGCTAATATAAGAGGAGGAGGAGAGTATGGCGACAAATGGCACAACGGCGGCAGATTCGAAAACAAGCAAAACTGCTTTGACGATTTTCAATGCGCAGCAAAATATTTGGTGGAGCAAAAATACACTGGCGTCAATAAGTTGACCATTCAGGGCGGTTCAAATGGAGGTTTATTGGTGGCTGCCTGCATCAATCAGGCACCTGAATTGTTTGGAGCGGCTATATGCCAAGTGGGGGTTTTAGATATGCTGCGGTATCATAAATTCACCATTGGATATGCCTGGAAATCGGATTATGGGTGTTCAGAAACAGAGGAGCACTTTAATTACTTGTACAAGTATTCGCCGCTGCATAATATCAGAGTTCCCGATAATGACCAGCAATATCCTGCTACTCTGCTCTTAACAGCTGATCATGATGATCGTGTTGTGCCATTGCATTCCCTCAAGTTTATTGCTCAGCTGCAGCATCAACTCGGCAAGATTCAAACGCAAACGAATCCTTTAATGATAAGAATTGAAACTCGAGCTGGACATGGAGCTGGAAAACCCACATCAAAAATTGTAAGTCATAAAAATCATCATAATATGATATTATTCTACTTCTGACATTTCTAGATTGATGAAGTGACAGACATCTTCTGCTTCATATCCAAATCTTTACACTTGGACTTCAATGAAGAATAATACCATCAAATATACCAAATCACCTGATCAATAAGATTATCAACCATTATCATACATATATTGTTTTTTTTAACTTACTGCAGTAATGAATTGAATACCTAATACACATAATTGAATTGAATTGTAAAATTATATTAAAAAATATCAAGGATATATCTATCTGTTGTTAAAAAAAAATAATTGTTTTCAAAAGCATCTTGTGTATTATTTATATAATATATATATTATATTTTTTTATTATTGACGTTATTAGGGCTCAGGTTAAAAATTAATTTAATGATCTAAAACTTTGGAAGTACATTTAGAAGAGAAAAAAAGTAAGAAAAAACCTCGTTTGAAAAAAAATTATGACTTTTTTCACTTTTTTAAGATTTGATCTATTATTTTTTTTAAAAAGTAGTCAGGGCTAAGGTTAAAAATTAATTTACAAATCTGAATTTTTGCGAGTACCTTCAGGATAGTAAAAAAGTAAGAAAAACCTCCTTTGAATTTTTTTTATCATGAGTTTTCCCACTTTTTTAGGTTTTGTTCTAATTTTTTTATTACAAGTGGTCAGGTTAAAAATTAATTTAAAAATACATTTAGAAGAGAAGTTTTTCCCACTTTTTGAAGATTTATTTTAATTTTTTTTAAGTGGTTGTGGCTCAGGAGTACCTTCAGCATAGTAAAAAAGTAAGAAAAAACCTCGTTTATTTTTTTATGAGCTTTTTTCACTTATTTAGGATTTGTTCTATTTTTTTATTAAAAACGGTGGGGGCTCAGGTCAAAAAATAATTAATAATCTGAATTTTTGGGAGTACCTTCAGGATATTTTTTTTTAATATTGACGTTATTAGCACATCTTTTTTTCTAATAATAAATATTAAATAAAATAAATTTTGTTTATTTTTTGGTTTTTAGAAAGTTGATCACCTTTATTATTTATCAACCTTTCTCAACATGGCATAAAAATTAAAGTAGGTAAGTAATAAATAGATAATAATGTGTATAATTTATTTAATTTACATGTATTTACTTAAATCAATAAATTATTCCAATCTGGATTTAAAATATATCGATTTGAAATTTCCCCCAAAACTGTCATATTTGTTTTACCCTTTGATTTTTCAATAAGACTGACTATATCCTGAAATAATAATTAAATTATTGTAACTAGCATTGTTTTAAATAATACATACTTCTCTATTTGGAGTAGCATCAGACGAGTCCAAGTCATATTTCACCCTTCCAATTTGTACTTGTATTCTGCCTGACTTTCTAATTATAAATTTCCCAACTTGTCCTTCTAACATTGAATGCAGTGGATAGTCGAAAATTTTTGTTATTTTTGGGTCATCACTCAGACCTTTTCCAGCAAAAGAATCTGGAAGCTTAATTTATTTTTTTATTTAATGCCTTTCAAAAGTTTAGTTTACTTACATTCCAAATTGACATATTTGGTTTATCATCAGTATAAAAATCTTCTGTATATTCTGAAGCTGTGCTCTTTAAAGACACTAAAAACAAACTGTAACTTTAATACCTATGTTAGTGTTAATACAATACTACATGAAAAGAAAATAAGTGTGAATTAATTATTTTATGGTAATAAAATTTAGAAAAAACCTGTTCTAATTACATTTATTAATTTCTTTGGATGCCTCTTCCTCTGTTTTAATTTTCAGTTGTAAAGATGCTGTTAAAAAAAAAGTACATGCATGTTATAATATAGAAAAAGAAGGAAATAATAAAGTGGGTTGCAATATGGAACATATTAAATTTAAAAAGAAAAATTTTATATTGTTGAGGTTCCATATTACACCTAGAATTTAATAATAAAACTTACCAGGAGTTTCTTTAAAGTCAGACTCACTCCATGTTATGGGTTGTAGGAAATGTCTTTCATCATCACTATCATCATCACACCCCATAATATCTTCCATCACACCCTCTTCCATTTTTTTGTTAATTTCCAAATAATCTTTTTTAATTGTAGGAACTGTCATAGCAACTCTATCTTCAGCTTCCCTTTTTTCCCTAAAATGCGAATGAACCACATCCGTACCCACACCTTCTGAAAATACACCACTCGATTGCACAAACTGAGATTGTCTGTTGTTTTGTCTGCTCCTATCATGACCGAGTCTTTCCCTTCGCTTTTGGTCACCTTTTTTTACAACACTGTAAGTAAAATAATAAGATTGAATAATTTTAAATACTTCTATTATTAGTTTACTCTTTCGTTTTGTCCTTATTTCGGACAACATTTAGATTTGGTGTGTAAGATTTCTTTACTTTGGTTCCTCCTAAATTAAGGTCTCTTGGCATTCTTATAGACTGAAGACGACCACCTGATTTCTCCCCTTTCATCAAGTTTTTAAATAGTTTCTCGTCCATTATAGCAAATACCAAAATATGCTAGTTTATAGTATATTTTATGAAAATTAAAAAAAAAACACGAAAAACTAAGGTTAAGTATAAAATGACAACTACAAGATGACAACACATGAGGTAGGAACCTTCTTTATCTCTGGGTAGGAACCTTGTTTATCTCTGACTGCTAGTGCTTCACCTACTCGCTTATAGGTGGCGCTTACTCTTTAAGTATTTTTTATTAAAATATAAAATTAAATTATTATTTTATTGAATCATTTTATTAGCTATAGGAATAACGGTTTCTACCTATTCTATTTAATGCAAAAATCTAAAATGTATCGTCACAAAATTTAATAACAAAATATAAAAAAGTTATTAACAAATAGCACCACAGAGAATAAACATTGTACGTTTTAGTTGCGTTCCATGTTCAACGTCCTATAAAATTGCTGATTGCGTAACAGGCGAAAATTATGCAAGAGCATTAGATAATCCATGAAATGCAACTGGAGAGGGAAAAGCGCCGGCGTCGGTTTTCAGCGTCGTTTTGGTGTGTACAGGCTGTCGAAATCGACGTCGTCGTCTCTTGTGACGACGCAGTGTGTGCGTGCGTGCAAATAATACTGTAATATAACAAGAAAAACATGAAGAAAAAATCAACGATATGTGCAACACACGAAACTAGTTTATAAGTAGAAATAGGTGCGATATAATTCCTCAGCAATGATTGGAAACAAACTAAGAGCCTGGATGGAGGCTGTTAGGCCTAAGAAAAAACAAAATAAAAAAGATAAGCCTCCAAAAGGCGGCCCCTCGAATTCCAAATGGAAAAATGATCAAAGAAATGTACCCAGTGATATTATACGCGTAAGTAGATAAATACCTACTTTATATTTATTATGTTATTTAGTTTAATATATCTATCTAATCTATATATCCTTAGGTTCAAGAAGATGAACGAAGAGATGTTGTAGTTAAGTTTGCAATGAAAGGCCAGACGACTTTACAATCCGGATCAGCTGGTATTAGTAAAACAGGAAATTCACATTGCCGATATTCAGCCAATAATTTGTCATCGCCAGAATCGGCTTATTCAACAGGATATTCGACTGATGGGACCTCCCCTGGAGCTCCACCGGACTATTTATTGTCCAATAGAAGCACAGGTATGTGTAAATTATTTAAATGTGATTGCTACAGTTGGTTCAATTTTAGAGATGAGATATTATCCAATTGAATCAGAAAACAATTACGTCAAGCCTGTACCCATGCCGTTATCACCTTGTATTACAAGAACAATTAACCCGATTGGACCCAAGCCCACAACAGTCATCACTCTCTCACCCGCACATTTTAAAGATAGAAGGACTCCTTCCTTAAGCATGGTTAGTGTTCTTTTTATACATTAATATACCTACATTACAAAACTATCAATTGTGTTTGTTTATAAGATACAAGACGGTGAAGAAGCAAGGACAATAGAGGCGCAAGCACGTAACACAATTCGCCTGTGCGGGACTAAAACTTCAGTGGGTATGGGTGGAAATGTATCGGCAACAGTGTCTCCGAATTTTGGCCTGGACTCGTCCAGGCAGCGCGATAAGGACTGGGTCAAAACGATAGGCAGATGCGTAAATGGTTATCACATGCAGACCAACTCGAAACCAGATATTCCTAAGATGGTTGCTACCTCCCCAAAGCCAGGAACGCCTTTGTTGAGTCCGTATGTACCTATTTGCTAAACTATTTATACTGTAACGTTTTATTTTATAACTTATTTACAATTAAAACTAACTAAACACTTAAATACTAATTATTTATATATCACTACTGTACAAGAGTCTATTTATTTGCACGTATATTTATTTATTTCGTCGCGAGTACCAAAGCTTGACTGACTCCTTATATATTCAGTGCCTACGCGCCTTCCCGAATATTCCAGCGAGCTCCGGACTGCTCTCGATCGCTCGAGCGCCGACTCACCGGCGATGAGTCATCATTCTGAGATCCAATACTTTTATTAACACATGTTTTCTTATTGTAGGCGTACAATCTCAAGGTTTAGAAGTCCATCATTAAGGCGCAGATCTTTATCGTTGTCTTCGTCGTCGACACCGTCGTGCGAGTCTATAGACAAAGGGTGGGAGACACGTAGAATTCGCTCGATCGGCAGCGATGAAGATACAACCTTAAACGAAATGATGGGAAAATACGACGAAAGCTATGTGTATGAAAAAGAGACCGATATTTTAAGTGATAGCGATCCAACTGATTGCGATACCGATATCGATACAGGTCAAGACGGTGGCGATGAAGAGGACACACACGGGGAGGGGGAGTTGGACTTTATAGACAACGGTTCGTACATTGTTGAATTTGAGCCCAGACCCGATAGAAACACCGGGCATTGTTCGTATTACAGTAACGACTTGCCTGGACGAAAAGCATCTTCAAGAAGACGTAACACGAGAAGAAATAAGTCTGCCAGCGATAAACGTCGAAGATCTAGCTCGAATAAAAAGAGGCACAAACATCATGATAGAGGAGGACACATGCAATTGCAAGTTGATGGTGGCTCAAAGAGCGCCGGAGCAACACCCGTTTCCGTCCGCAGATCTGGCAATAAGCCAGTGTCAAAGCTGGTGCTCGAAGATGGCCTAAAAAAACGCTCGAATTCTGTCTGCTTTAGCAGAGATCCTCTTTCGACGATCGACAAACGAGACAAGGAGGCGGATTTAAAATACAGAGAACTGATCGGTGAAGCCGAACAAATTCTAAAAACGATGAAGTCGAATGGCCTTTCGCCGAGACGGCTTCCCGCGGGGCCAGCTAATAAAAGAGTCGAGCTTTTGCGAAGCAGTGAGTGCACTGAAATGCCTCGAGCAGCTGCAGCTGCAGCTGCTGACGAGGCTTCTCCAATTGTGTCAAACGCTAACGCCAACTACTCTTCTACTAAGAGTCCGTCCAATAATTTTAGTTGTCCCAGGTTTAGCCCGAAGAAAAATCATATCACTAATTTTATAATAAGTAATTCACCAATTATGATAAGGAGGGAGTGGGAGAATCAACATTCTCCGTTGCCTTTGGTTGTTAAAAAAAAGGTCGAACCAGTGTTGTTTGATCATAGTATTTCTCAAAAATCTGAAAATCGTCGAAGCCCGAAATATCGAAAGAAAAATCAAAAAAAATATAGAAACTCGAGCAGTTCCGAGGAAGACAATGGACGAATAAGTAGAAATAGTTTTTCCCGGATGGATAACTGGACATTGGGCTGTCCTCAAAGCGAACCTTTGAGAAGAAAGGTTTATTCTGGATACCCACTATACAATTGTGGACACGAACCGGCTATCCATGGAAAAACTGTCACATTCAACTTAAACCCAAATGAATACAATCAAAACTCCAAGATGTTTCTTCATCCAAACACCAATGACTACAGAGCACAAAGTTCAGAGAATTTAAGACAGCAAGTTCTACTCAATACCATCGCCAGCCTTAAAAGAAATTTAGAAAATCAATCTGCTTCACTAAAACAAGTTTATAAGAGCTCACAAAACGTACGTTTCTAAAAATGAACCACTCATTTTTAATGGTACAAATACCAATCAATCTCTACACTACTAACTAAAACTGAATATACATAAATGTACAGGGATATTTTTCTATTTTGGTATCAGTAAATAGTGATAAAGTTGTCGTCGGTTGATGATGTAGGTATAAGTACGTATACGTACTTTATGTATATGCAGGATTTTATTTACCATCTACAAAAAAATTTACCATACGTATTTCTTATACGTATTTAGCTACCCTATCCATATTTCTAAAACTATTTGAAAATCGCTCTCTAGAATTTTAGACGTATACCTATTTGTTGTAGAATTGTTACACTTACACATTGGTTAACTCTGTCAGTAGTAGACAAATTTAGTATAATTTTCTAGTAGACAATATAGTTAATCCTTATTAGTACCTTGTAGAATTTTTAAACATTTGGTTTTACCCCATTGATATTATACACGTTTGAAGTGCAATAATAGGTTTCTACCCATGATGTGTATTTTTGAATAATTTTTATTTAATCAAATGTGCAATAAACTAACTGGGGTACACATATTTAGCGAATAAGTAGTTATAACCCATTATCTACCTATGTATTAAGTAGATTCACTTTAGATAGTTATTTTTTTTAGTAACTCCAAAGGGTATCTAAATTTTTATAAACTTTTATAAACGCTCTACGCGACAATTTGTATAATTTGTGTAATTGTTTACTACTTTTTTTATAAATGTTTTATACAGGGTGGCGCATAACGTTCATTTTGTAGGAACTTTCTCAGCAACCCTTGTTTTAACAAATAATTAAGTAAAAACCAATAACCTCGCGTATTTGAAAACCTAGGGAACCTCTTGCACGTAGCCTCGCAAACCTCTTTTGTTCTTTAAATTAAAACTACTTTACTTTTAGGTAAGCTGAGAATTTTCCTATATAAAAATTTTATATTCAAACAACAATTTTGTTATCTGTTAATTCGATCGATAAATAAGGCTCTAAGCATTTAAATCCAAACAAAATCTACGTTTTTTAACAAGAAGATTAGCTATAAGCTTTAATAAATCTAAAGTGAGATTGTATTTTACATAATTGTTAATAATTTGACTGTTTACTCTGTAAGTACAATTAAAAGTGATATTCAAACGGTTTTGTTTTTTCTTCATACCTTCATATAGAGAAGGTAGGTTTAACGCAACCCTTTTTATCAAAAAAAGTATGAAAATTTCCACACTGAAAGAAAAAAATGATTTAATCAACAGTTTTTGCACATTCAATACAAATAATGTTTACTTGGAGTTAACAAATTAAAATTATTAAATTAAAATTTCAGAAATTTATTTTAACCTTTTTTTGGTCCAACCACTAAAAATATTAAAATAAAATACATGGATTATTTAAATAATAATATTATTATTAATTATAATTGAGTAGTAGTAGTGAAATAATAAACATGGAAGAAGATTTAATTTTTAAAATTACTTGGATTAATAAATTTAAAAGTTAAAAAAAAATGAATTGTTACTTAAATAAAATAACTGAAATATTGATTGAAAGGTTGAATAAAATATCAAATTTATTTAATATATTTAGGTACATGTTTAAATATAGTATTCATAATAATTAACTAAGTGTTTCATAATTAACTTTTATGTATACATGTAGCTAGGTAATAATCATGTCACAAGCAAGGTAGCGCGAGAAAATATTACTATAAATTTAGCTTCGTCTTCAATTTTTTTTTGTTTTATGGCTGTTTTAAGTTTCTATTGCATTTTTTATTGTTAAAACTAAGCATAAAAATATTTATGCCATGTTTAATTTAATTTCCATGTTTTTTCATGGATAACTTGACAAAATAAATTTTTGTATATAGGTAGTAATTATTGTGCATTTTAAATTTTAATTTTAAAAAAATTTCAATAAAATTTAGTATAAGGTCGTTTTGAGGGGTTAAATAGTTGGGTTAAAATCGCACAATAAATAAAGATTTGACAGGGTTTAGTTGCAAACCAAGGGGTCTAAAGAAAAGGCAAAAATTTTCAATTTGATGTTTATTTAAATGAAGTTGACAGGTGTATCGATTATATGTGGGGGTGGGTGGGTGTTTGTTTGTTTGGTAGAGTTTGTTGAGGTTGGGGTTGGGGTTCGGGAGCTAAGGGGTGGGGGGGCTAAGGGAACGGGCGAGATCCTCGCCGTGGTCGAATCGCACATTACGCAGTACGTATTATCACATCTTCATATTGTAAGTCTCGGCGTGGCTTGGCGTGGCTTGGTGTGGCGTGACGAGCGAGGGTTTAATGTTTTCAGCTTTACGAACACTTATTGTCAGTTGCCAGTGTGTGCACTGCAACTAAGTATGTTGTCGGTCGTCTATCGATGATACAATGTTAACCCTTTTCTCTTTTTGATAGTATTATATGGTAGTAGGTACGTAAGCGTGATGGGGGTTCTTTATAATACACAACACAAATTAAGAGGTGAGCGACGTTGGACTGCTAAGTCCACTCAAGTCTTGATTGCTGTAAAAATACCACTCTTCAGTGACCGTTCAAAATCGGCTGAAACGGCTTACGAACACATCTCACTGCGTCCTTTTTATTATTAATATTATTATTATATTCATTATTATTATTAATATTATTACTATTATTATTAGGTATAAGTTTTATTTGAACTGTTTGAACGCTCAGAAGTGAGCATTCCGCAAATGCGCTGCGCTATATTTAGCTAGTTATACGTCCGTTTGCGCAGCTCATGTTCCACTGTGCGAGGAATGATCCGAAGAAATCGGCTTTTCGATCGTCCTTTTGTCGATCGACGAGCTCCGAGTTATTGTCGACTGTCGAGTCTCAGTTAGGCCGCCTTGTTTGAGTCGCTTTGGCTGTTCAACGTTCATCCGTTTAACCGTCTTGATCCCGACTTCGTTCTCGATCCGGCGTCGAGATTATCGCCGTGGTCGTTACACCACCTGACGGCGCTTCCGTTTGTTGCGTTTGCGATTGCGATTGCGATAAAGCACGATACATGGGGGAATTCACAAAACGCGGATAACTGTCCCGATGCATTAAGGTATAGATTTGTAGCTGCGCTTCTTCGAACGTTTCCGGCGTTGGTTCAACCATATTCCGATTCACTATTTCTCGAACACGCGAATCCAAAGATACCTAAAACACAATGCACAATTCAATTAGGTAAACTCAACGCATTTCCAACGTACTTCTTTCGGCGATAGAATTGAAATATAATCCTCATATATTGTTCTAGCCTTCTCTTCAATTACTTCCGAGTTGGTTTCACGTTTAAGTTCCTCACAAGCAAGCCAAAATAATATATTTTCTTCCGAGTATTCGCCTCTAAGGAAGTCTCGAAAAATATCTCTACCAGCTAAAACAAACACAGATTAGAAGATTTTTGCTAATTTTTAATACTTAATATAGGCATTATTACCAGGATTTCTCATCAATTTATCAAATGATCTGCCCCAACTTTTAATCTCTTCTAAAGTGGGCCTACAAGCAATTTATTATTAATAATACCAATAATACTAATCTAATTATCACTTACGGTGGAGTAGATTCACATTTTTCCTTATCATTGGGTGGCTTAGAAGGTCCATTTCCTCCATTTGTTCGATTATTCGGGTTTGAACTGAAATTAGATAAATGATTACAACAATAAAAATTGTTAAAATGAAAAAATGTCATACCATGGGCATTTACAACAACAACACCACAAACAACAAGGTTTCGGTCGTAATGGCGTGCCCTGTGGTGCATTTTGTGGTCCGTTTTGAGGTGGACCTGGTCTTAAATTTGGAGACGTTGTTAAATTTGAATTGCTAGTACCGCGCAATCTACATACTGCCGCCGTAGTGCTACTCGTGCTTGTAGAACTTGTAGTAGTTTGTCCCCTGTTCTCTGTCACCCGCTCTGTGACGCTACAAGACATCTGAAATTTTTCATTTTTTTTTATTAATATTTTTAGCGTTGCATCATAATTAATCAATTGCTTCGTACAAATAAACAAAAGGAGAATTGATCTTAGGCGATTGTAGATAGAGGGTAGAAAGAAAGAAAGAAAGAGGGAATAGAGAATGGTTTACACTTGTTGCGGCATGCAGTGGAGGCAATATTCAGCCGGGCATCAAGCCAACTGAGCTCACGTATTGATCGTTTGGTTCTCCCTCATACGAGGGTGAATTAAAACGTCAAGAAAAAGCTGGCAAGCGTCTATTAAATAATGGTATATTATTATGAATATATTTTTCTATTAATAATAATAATAATAATAATATTAGTTAAATAATGATGTTGAATTAAAGAAATTATATTTTCAATATTGATTAAAATATTTGGTGGAAAAGAGTGCAGATGCAGTGTGGTAGAAGATATGCAATGTTATGATGACGTCAGATTTGTATACCTTTATCAATGGCCATGAATGTGGTTGTCGGCACATGTGCCCTCCGCCGCAACTGCTGTCAAACAAACCATGGCAGTTGATGTAGGTTGCAGGTTGTAAGTACGAACTAACTGGCGCAACTAGGCTATATTAACTAATGACAAAGTTGGACCCTTTGCCTGCTTTCCAGCAGGATAAAAAATCGCTGGACCGCTCAACGAACGAGCGCCATCAAAGCTTGAAACTTGGGCAGTTGATAGGTAATGAGTGAGCGGAGCTTTACGTGGGACGGGAGCACGGGAGCACGGGACAAGTATCACTCAAAGTGGCACTTTAGACACATACCGCCTGTTCGCACGTTCATTTGTTTGTTGTACTTTTTGGGGTTCGCCCATGACTGTCGCCCATACGGGCGGCGTCTGCACTACACGTCTTGAAAAAGTGTCACAAACCGATGCGTCGCGACGCACTGGACGCCAGACGTCAAACCGAAGCTGAGCTGATAGGCTCGGCCGAACCGCCCGTCACAGGACTGCAACCAGTGAACCAGATGCGCCGCGCCTGGTTCCCACGCAAAACGACGCGCGTCTCCCCGCCAAAGCGCCGGCGCCACGCGACGCCTCCCGGCGCCTTCGCCCCCTCATGCTTTCCTCCCTCCCTCGCTCCCTCCTTCCATCCTCCACTCATTTCCTTACAACAACACTTAACGCTTAACAAATCTTTTCATTTTACCTACAGATATTTGTTTTCTATCATGTTCCAATACGCTTACTTCGAGCTTTTCAATACATACCTACCTATTCATGACAATAGGCCGGCAAGAATGGCAAAATGCCGAGTGCTTCTTCTGATTTCTATTATTTTTTAATAAATTAGGATTTTTTTAAATATTTTAAGCTCAGTTCAATTTATGTTATGCTCATATTTTAGCAAAATTTAATCAACAGGACCCAATTGGGTATGTTACTAAAGAGATACTATAAAGATTTTATAATTAAATTATAATTACTTTTTTCCAAAAGAACGACACAAATAAATTGAAATATAAAAAATTAAATTAAAGAGTATTATATATGGTAAAAAAACAGTTTTGCGCATATATTTCAATAACTTTTTTATTTTTTTCTTTTTTACTGTGTTAAGTAGAATTTATTTTAGGATACAATTTAATCGAAAAAAATAATGGTTTGTATTTTTTAATGGGTTTTACATGTTAAATAAGTAATCTAAATCTGAAACCTTAGAAGGGTAAAAAAAGTACGAAGAAAACTGGTTTGAAGAAAAAATTTGTTGTTTTTCCACTTTTTTAGTTTTTTTCTGAGTTTTTTCTGAAAAGTAGTCGGGGCTCAGGTTAAAAATTAATTTAAAAATCTGAAACTTTGGAAGTACCTTCAGAAAGGTAAAAAACTACAAAAAAAACTGTTTTGAAGAAAAAATATGTTGTTTTTTTAGGATATAATTTAATTGAAAAAAATAATGGTTTGTATTTTTTAATGGGTTTTTACATGCTTCCTAAACTTTTAGATAAGTAATCTATATCTGAGTACCTTCAGAAGGGTAAAAAACTACAAAAAAACTGTTTTGAAGAAAAAATATGTTATTTTCCCACTTTTTTAGGATTTTTTTTGTTTTTTTAAGTGGTCGGGGCTCAGATTAAAAATTAATTTAAAAATCTGAAACTTTGGGAGTACCTAGAAGGGTAAAAAAGTAAGAAAAACCTTGTTTACAAAAATGTTGTTTTCCCACTTTTTTTTTAAGTGGTCGGGGCTCAACATAAAAATTAATTTAAAAATCTGAAACATTGGGAGTACCTTTAGATATTTAGATATTTTTCCATATGCAGGTATAATTTTTGGTATACTTATAAAGAAAACTTTATAAAGTTTCAGTAAATTGAACAATTTAGAGTAAAAAAGATTGTTATCTATTTTTTTTAATTTACTATTAATGATCATTGAAAAATCATAGGTATTTAATATAATCGTTATTTTAAGCTAAAACCATTCATAAAGTAAAAACAGAATTAATGTAAAAATATTAAATTGAACAAATAAACAAAACACCAAATAGTAATTAAATTGTATTTAAAATAGTCATAGATATTTAACTATTCAAGTAATGTATCTTATTTTATATTTCCTTGAATTAAATAAACCATTGGGCTAACCAAAATAGTGTTAAACAAAAATGTATATAGTATTATAAGGTATTTGTACACCTAAAACTCAATGAATTCGTAGAAATTTCATGAAATCATCGCTCTAAGTGAACTAAGCAATCGATAATAAACTATTGGTTTCCGCACCTGCGTCCTAAAATCATTTTCACTTCTTTGTTAGCAGCATAGTAAAAATGTAGTAAGTCAACTTTTTAAAAAATAACTAATAAAATAATCTAAAGAACAAATGGATTTGAGCTTTTGCTTTGTTAGATGGGTTTCAAATAAATATTATTCTGCAGGATTCATGAATTTAATATATTTAGCAATAATTGAAGATTAATAAATAATATCAGGCAATCTTAAAAAAATATATTACGAAGATTATGTAACTGCTATAGCTTTCAGCAAAGTATATAATGTTTGTCCTTATTTGTTTTCATAGCTTTCTTTTTTTAATACAACCACCCTTTAGTCCACCCTTCCTACTCCATCATTTCGTTGCTTGGCAACCCTCATATTGTCCCCCAAAACTACTCTCCACTTCGTTGCTATATATATAAAATAAAACAATGCTCAATCTTAAAGTTATAATAGAGGTTTAATTGTTGCAATGATATGATTTGAGCGTTATTTTTAGCACTTTTATAATACTTAGTTGACAAAAATTATATTGATTTTTTTGTTTTGTTTTGTTTACTAAAATAAAATGAGGGTCAATGAAGTAAAATAGTGATAAAATAAATAATATAAGACATCAGGAAGGAGGTAATTCCGGCAGAAGAAGCAAAGCCATGCAAGCAGGAGAAGCAGCGACAACGGCTGAGGGTTGCAAGGCAGCGGCAAGGCGGCAAGCAAGCAGGGGTAGTCGGGATGTAATAGTGGGGTGGTCTGGGCGGGGGTAAGCAGCCCCGGACAGGCGGCGGCGGGTGCCGCAGTATTGGGTGGGTCAGACATCGGAGGAGTAGACGTTCCATGCGTTTGCTCCGGAATTCCGATTTTCTTCATAGTCCTTTCAAAATTACGCACGATTTTTTTCACAGTCAAGTGTTTATGTCATAAGTGATCTGTGCAAATGCAATGGTTTTCAACGTGCACCGGACTATTTTAAACACGGTAGGTAAGTCTTAGTTTCATCATCTATTTGTCGACACAACAACACGTATGACCGCTGCTCAGACGCGCTGATCATATTCCCTTGTGCCTATATTATCCCACATATTTCTATTCTTTCTTTTATGTGTTAAATCTTTTAATATTTATGCAAAAATATCTCTAGATATGAGTATGAAAACTTAAAAGGGCATTCAATATCTAGATTAAACACCTTGAAACTTATTTGAATAAACACAATGATTTATTTTGTAGGCATTGATAAGAAGAAGAGAAAATTTGTAAAAACAAACTAGGCCATCATGGAAGTGGCTATGCCCATGACGGGCTCAGCAATGGACTGTTACGAGGATATGTTCAAGGAAATAACTAGGAAGCTTTACGGAGAAGATGGACTGCCGGAATTAAACACGAATGACCGATTGGCCGGGCAAGATCGCGGTTTAACGCCTATTGACTATGATGTTGACACTCCTATATTGAAACCTGAAGAACACTTGACCGCTTTCGGTTTGGCCGCCTTAATGCAAAACGGTTTTTCTCCGACTGGCATTTTAAACGCGAACTTTCAATCTCACAAGCCCTCCACCAGCAATGGCAATTGCAATGGTAACAGTATCGTGGCTTCAGGATTAGAGGACAAATGGGTGACCAGTGAGGATAACTTACAATGGACGCAATCGAAAATAGCTACGTACAACCCCGTACAAAAACTGTTTCGCTGCACGGAGTGTGATTGCGTGGGATACCTTCCAAGAGTCTCCGAACATTGGTTGGGGACGCATTCAAACTTACGGGCCTTTCATTGCTCGCAATGCCCTTACGAGAGCGCGTGGGCCCGTTGCGTCAGAATGCATTTAAGTCGACAGCATAACATAAACACCGACGAATCTTGTGATATTTTGACGAAAAATAATCCCGTACTTAAGGAAATTAATAGCTATTTACAGCGGTTGAAAAACAAGTTGGATAGCAACTGCAATAAAAGCGTTACTAACACAGCACAAATGGTTGAGGAAGAGTTTCACCCATCTGTTAATAGCAACGCGTTGATATCATCGAACATAGCAGCTGGTGGCGGCAGTGGCAGCTCCAGTAGCAACAGCAGCGGCAACGGAAATAACCTGGATCAAAGTAGCACGGCCAATAAGAGATACAGCTGCACATATTGCCCTTACGCAACCGACAGAAGAGATTTGTTCACTAGACATGAAAACATTCATAGAGAAGAAAAACCATTTCAATGTTACGTCTGTCAAAAACAATTTAATCGAGCGGATCATGTTAAAAAGCATTTCCTGAGGATGCACAGAGAGCATCCGTACGATTTAAATCGAATCCGAAGACATCCGCCCAAAAATGCCTCTGGGATGTCTTATTACCAAAAGTATAATTCCACTAGTCAAGCAAATACAAACGAAAGTTTAACAACAACGCAATCGATCAGTTCGCTATCAATTCCAAACGGCTATAGTAATTTAACGTCGAGAAATCAATCGACGACAAACGCACGTATAACAAACGACGGGAAAAGTAACGTAACTGGGGGGAAAACAGGATCAAGCATTGGAGTGAAAAATGGTGGATGCAGCAGCAAGAAAAAAGGTGAAAAACGTTTCACTTGTTGTTACTGTTCCTGGTCAGGAGTGGACAATTGGTGTCTAAAGAGACACATGAATACCCACTTAAAACCATTTGTTTGTGGTTTGTGCGACTATAAGGCAGCAAGATCCGAAAGATTGGCAACCCATGTATTGAAAGTCCACAATAAGAGGGCATGCGGAAAATGTAGCTTTTTGGCTGACGATTTAACACAACTGACCAATCATCAACAAGAACACCAGTAAGTTTAATATGCACTCACTCTCTCTGTTTTTTTTAATTTGCAATTTTATTTCAGCCCATTAGAACATAGGAATCGGTCTACTGGAAATAACGTTCTACGTACATCGAGCTTCAATAATGGATCTACTTCGAATCATTCACCATCTGCTACCACCTGCAGGTAATTTTTTTTTCATTGATCTTTATTGATTATAAACAAAAGGCAAAGTTCAGCATCTACCTTTTAACACTGGACAAACAGAAATAAACAGCCATACCCATGTGGGATTCGAACCCACGACCTCTCGACTTGTAGTTCGCAGCACTGACTATTACACCACCGAAGGTCAAGTAAAACCATGCTTATACATTGTTAGTGGCCCTCAAAATTAATTGCCAAACGATTTATTTAAAGATTGGTTCGAAAATAACCCTAACAGAAAATAGGGGCCCATTTTCAAGAAATGCTAATTGCATCAAGCAATAGATTCTAAAATAGCATTATGCTTCTCTCTTAAAATGAAATAGTCAAAATTCTACTATTTAAATTAGTACCAGCATTTTTTACTAATAAAATAGTCGTTTTCACTTTTAAATAGTTATTTTTTACTAGGTAAATAGTTAAAGTTTGGCTAATTTAAGATTAGTCACCATCTTTGACTATTTCTGAGAGTTAAAAGTAACTAATTTCTTTAATCGTTTGCGGCCAACAACAAAGTATTATTTGAATTAAATGCATATACCTAGGCTCAATGGTTAAATGGCCCATAAAAACAAACTAAGATGCAAACAGTTTAGCTCAAAACAGCAACACAAATAATATACAGCCCGTTCAGAATAAAACCGAATATATCTATATATATATATGGGGCGTGGCCTCGCCTCCCTCCAACGCGCGACACAGTAGATAAGCAAATAGCCTGCATCGCTAATGAGATTGTTTGCATTATTATCATTTAATTTTTTAAGTCTCTACCTGCTCGACCTTTCGTCATGTCGTTTATCACACAAGCAACTGTGACGCGCCTTGAAGGGAGGCGAGGCCACGCCCCATATATATATATAGATATATTCGGTTTTATTCTGAACGGGCTGTATTCAACTTTAAAATATTATGAACAATATTTATTGACAAATAAAATTGATTTTTATAAGAGCGACTGATAGCCAAATGGGTTATGACAACAGCTTTACAATGACAAGCGACAGACCTGAGTTCAATCCCCGGCTGGGTCAAAACATTTTTTAAATTTATATCTACTAATTTGTCTATTTCATTCAGTGGAATTTGACTAATTATTCTGATTTTTATATAAACCAATCACACTGTTTGTAAAATATCGCACAATGAATATTGCACGCTACATACATAGAATTGCAGCAAAGTTATTTAGTATCTTGATGCAACATTGCAGGTAACTTAAAGTTGCCTGCAATATTGCAATCTTGCTGCAAAGTTTCAGAAATATTGAGTGTAGTAGCTTCATTAAGCTTGAATTTAATCTATTACAACAGAGATAGCCTTAGCTGATTTATAGAAACCTGGGGGGCCATATTAAATACAGAGCTCTTATTCGGACCAGATTCTCTAATTTCGGTACTAAAACGAGTTTATTGATTTCAGCACAATAAGTAATTCAGCAGTAACGACAAGTTTAAAAGTACACGAGCTGAGCGCAGCTGCAGCTTTACTTCAAGCGCAACAACAAAGCAATCGATTCCTTCAAAACGAGGCGATGAAATCATGGAAAGTCAGTCAAAGTCAAAGCAGTAATCATCAGCAGCAGCAGCAGCAGCAGCAGCAGCAGCACACTGCAAAGCAGCATGGAGCTGCTAGACTGTTCAACTACATGGAAGCCAGCGATGGTTCCGAGGCGGAAGCCGAGACAGAATCAAGGGGCGCAGAAGACATGTGTAGAGTGAATTTAAGTCATAGAATACAGTCGGATTTTCATGAAGCGGGAGATGTTGGTGGCCATCAAGACGAAGAAAACAGCGACGAAATGGAGTTGCCGCTATTCTTCTGTTCCACCTGTGGCTGCGAATTTGAGGATGACATGTCTTTGGAAACTCATCAATTCACGCACCGCCACAGTACCACATCTCCCGCCAAAAGCGATGATTCTAAAGAGAACGTCGATCCAAAGAAAAAGTATAAATGCTGTTTGTGTGATGCAAACTTCGATAATCAATCGGGCATTATGTCGCACATGTTGGCTCATTCCAGTCTGCTAACGAAACCGCCACCAAACCCGCAGTTAATGCAGCTGCAGCTGGAACAAGACCTAGCGAACCAAACGAACTCAAAGAGTAGAAGAAAACAAAGCCGGCCGAAGAAAATTGTATTGCCTTTTTGGGACACCGACGAAGTGGAAGTGCTAAGACATTTAAACGGAAAACTCCGAAAATGGCGCAATGCTCTTACAAACAATAAAGAAGGTTGTAGAAAGTTGGCGGATAAATATATGGCCCAATTGGTCACAAGACGGGGGTTAAGCTGTATCTATTGTAAAAACAATGGCCTAAGCCGTTACCACACAAGGGGTAGTTTGGCGTTTCATTACTTTTGGAGACATGCGAAAAAACGGTTTAAATGTGAACACTGTTCGTTGAAATTTCGGCACAAGTACCAGTGCGTGTTGCACTCTAGCCGCGTTCATTCTGAAGAAAATCCATCAGCAGTGGAAACAATTTCTGCAAAAGAAAACCCCCCTGCTGTTTTAGCGGAGTCTTCAGCTTGCTCTTCTCAAGACTCCACGAATCCATACTTTACAAATCCTCAAACAGTACCTGATCAAACTTCTGTTAACACACACAAATTGGGCATGTCCTTCTTCGATCACACATTTATCCATACGCAAAACGTTTTTAACAATCACATGCCTATTATAATTCCAACGTTTCCACCAAGTTAGAGTTAAAATATTAAAAATCTATTTTTTTAACATTCATTAATGCAAAATTAAAAATCAAATTCCATTTAAATTGCTTCAACGAATTTTATTGCAATTTTATTCTATTTACACTAGGTACCTATATATTTTTGTATACTTCTATAAAGTGGACATGATTTTAACTCTTTCATTTACAGCACACATTTGTAACGCATATTGTGGACACTGAAGTAAATTTTGGGGCAAACATTATTATACATTTATTCATATTGTTACCTTGTAGTTATTAGGTACAATGAAAAAGTGTCCTTCCAAATTTTCTTTATAACCTTATACAATAAATATTTTCAGACCTATCAGATACTTATTGTTAGTACCAAAAAGGATTGTTGTACAATAATGGTACTCATATTTTTTATTAAATTAGAATAGTAATAAAAACAACATAATATTTTAAGTATAAAAGACAAAGTGTGCAATATAGTACCTACATAATACGATATTATTATTATTATACATACCTTGTTTTATTTTAATTTTATTTTTAAAGGCTGCAATATTGTTATTATTTTATATTAATTTTGTGTTATTGTTTATAGAATATTTGTATTGTTTTTAAATTATTATTATTGATGTATTGTGATGTGTTTGTATTATTATTCAAAAATATATGCATTAAATGTACTAATCCTACTTTTTATTATACCTACCTATTGTGTAAGCCCTATCATATGTATATCCACTTTTGAAATATATGAACAACAAAAAAAGAAATAAAATAACATCATTGTTAAAAATATTTATTTATTTTTATTTTATAATCTTATATTCATATACATTGCTGATCTAAAGGTGATCCCAAATTATTGACTTTTAATTTTAAATAATATTTGATATTATAATATATGATACGCTCAATACTCCAATTCGGATATTGACCAAAAAATGCTTAAAACTAGTTTTGAGCAACCACTATTTCCCAAAGCCCAAATACGGCTATTGACCAAATAATTCAGGGAATATATTTCCTATAATAAATAAATAAATAAATAAATAAATAAATATATATTAAGTTTTATCAGTGCTAATAAAGAAAAATTTCGGGTTTAAGAAATAATCGTTCTTTGGGAAATGTCCGAATTCAAGCATTCAGCGTAACATATTCAAAGTATTACTACTTATATGTACATATGTAGTTTTAATATATTTAACTTTTATATATAAACAAAATACCTTTGCATTTTTATCACTAATCTTTGCTCTGTGTTTTTAATTGATTTGTACAAAACTGAAAAATTATAGTAGTTAAAATCAATTAGGTATATCTAGGTTTTATTGTAAAAGCAGGTGCTATTTAAATTTAAATATTATTGCTTTTTATGTTTTTTAAAATGAGATCATTTCAGATAATTGGGTAATGTTGTAGTGGAAATTTTGGGGACGAATAGAAAGCTTGTTTAGGCTAAACACCAATCCTATTATCATACCATAATTCTATTGATATGATAAACTATTTAAGTATTTGTACTGTTTGTACTACAACAATAGCCTAATGTTATTGCAAATACCTACTGTATTTTATGAGTATACTCTTCTATTCTTGCTTTAGAGAACGAAGCTCTTAATGCTTTCTACATGTATGTACCTATTTGGGTAGTGTGCATTTGGCACTGGATACTACGACACTATTATAATTATTGTGTTATCAAACGACGGGTTAAAAAATGTCTGGATTATCTCCGTATTGTCTTTTCCAGTAGTTTCCATTGTAAATCCAATCATCTTGTTTTGTGTATGGGTTAGTACCTTGATGGAACCACCTGAAATAAAAACAGAAATGTAAACATTACAATTTTCATTCATTTATATACCTATAGAGTCTGTCCGGCGAATGTTTTACCTTGCGTCATCAATTTAGAATAGAATTGATGACGCAAGGTAAAACATTCGCCGAAGCGACTCTAGTAGTTACCTGGGTGCCCACTCAGTTGTTTTTTTGCTTTTACGGTGCCTATTAACGTCCCTTTGCTTTTCTTCAAGTCTAGTTTTTTCAATGGCAGCTCCGTCGATATCACCTTGTTCCAATTTTCTTATGTCAGGTCTTAACCTCGAATCTGTTGGAGGTAGGTTTGTATCCATTCCCTGCTCCACTTCATTGAGAGACATTGCGAATTCCGTAAATTTGTAATACTAAAATAGTTATAAGTAGTGTTTTATAATAAATAAAAATCATAAAAATTAATCATACATCATCGGTTTGTAATGGCCTTGGTTTTACTTTCCATATGGTGGTGGAATTTGGTATGTCAATGGAGTAAGCTGAATCACTTTTTGGAACTTCACCATCTGAACATTCTGGGGGTCCCCCAGATTCGTCGAAACTCTAAAATTGATCAATTTTAAGTATCAGTTGGTCAGGGAAACATACAAGAATGTGCAAACCTCCTGAGTAACTGAGTTTGATTTGAATGAGCTAACTTTAAGACTGTTTAATTTTTGTAAAACTTTTCTGGATGTATGCGATGGAGAATCATTTGGACTTTTGCTGCGGTCACCGTCTTTTTTAAATTTATGAGCATGCTCCTTAACATATTCCTCATACGCGGAATATTCGATGCATTTTATAAATTCCGTCCATTTCCCATAAACGTAGTGAAGTTTGTTTTTACTAAAACATATTTTGATTGAATGATTACGTAAAAAGGGTAGACTATTTACAATTTGTCTGCAATATATCCTTCCACTTTATGAAGATCCTTATTGTTCCAGCCAGCGGGTTTAAAGGTTAGGTGCGCTTTATGACCAGTTACTGAATTAGTTATTTCCATATTACCGCACTGTTCCATCCATAATTTCCCAACAATTATATTATGCACACAACATTGTACATTGCTCCATGTATAGGCCTCATTCAATCTAAAATTACATGAAACATTAAAAATTCTCAAATTCAAATGGCTGTTTACTTTGGAAAAACAACAGTAACAACTCCTTTAGGTTGTATTTCTACACTTTTGCCCCAAAACTTTAATTTAGGATGAATACTACCGTGAAAAGCCCATGTGTCTGCGTGTTCAGCATAAAAAGCCGACACTGGCGGATGATGGCTGACTTGCTCGCAAATTATTTTAAAATCTTCTCGTTCTAATTCATACGTTTCGCCCAATAATGGGTTAAACGGTTTTCCTAGACGTTCCCAATTCGACGCTAACGCACTGACGGCAAATCCTACAGAATAATTTGTTCATTTATTTGTTAATGTGTTCAGGTAGGCGTGGGTATGTGTATTCTTACCAGCAACATATGTCATTCTGGTGACTGGATCTGGCTGTTCAGCAGCTAGTCTCAACAGATACGAATACTCCATGTATTCGGTCATTCTTTGAAGGAAGCTCAGCGGTTCGTTGAAAACGACAGGCATGGTGATTTTGCTTAATTCTTTACCAATGCAATTTTTTAACACTGACCATATATTATAGTCGTTGTGATACATAGGTACAGGCAAAACAAGTCTAAAAACAGCTTTAAACATCTACATCTAACAAACTAAATAACTGCCAATCACCTGTATTCTTTCTTCTCCATTCTGAGTTTTGTCACAAATCTTTATCCCCCCAACAACTAAAATACTGTTGCCTCTTTCATCCAACATTCGACCCGGACTAAAAATCCATAATGTATGGGGTTTGGTCACTCGAAAATAGACTTTACAACATTTGTTTCGACTAACAACTGATTACCTACCTACGTACCGTGTATTTCATTCATTTACACCTATTCATTTCATATTGTATCGATCTAAATCGCACACATTACAATTTAAACCAATCAGTGCTTGGGGCGTACATAGGTGCTGCTTTAGGCAAAGAAGGCAATCCACCCTTTGTGCAGCATAGAAGGAAACAACAGGAAGACTATAACGGCGCATGTACCACCGCCGACACAACCGCCCATAATCAATTTATACGCTCAAATTCCTCTAACATGATGTGGTTAAATTTAAATGATTTATTGCAATTATTTTCTACATGTTTACTTACACATCCCAATCTAATTACTTTAACACTCAGCGATGATATGTACAAATACCACATATTTTTAAACACAAACAATATTTTACACTTAAATTCCGATCTTGATCTACTACACTTGGTAATGGCCTAATTTTATTTTATTTTAACTCGAATGACTTTTACATATACCTATTTTGGCAAAAATTACAGAATCGACCATTAATCCCGGCGCATTCGCCATTTTTGCGAAAATCTAGTTATTTTATTATTTTTGTTATAAAAAATAAAAATTGTCCAAGTCAAAATAAATAAAAAATGTCGCGTATTCCAAAGACCGCTTGTTTCAGCATCAGTGTTTTATGTATCAGGAGATCATGAAGTCGCAGAGGTTAAATAATTTATTTCGCTGTATATACAACTACCCCTATCAGATATAGGTTTTAAATGCTTTTAAGTATCAGAAGAGCATAAAACCCGCAAAATTTACAAAATTTTCAAAATTCTTACAGTTTTTTAAATTTTCAGAATTTTATATATTTTTAAAATATATATAATCACTTATTTAGCTATAAAAACAACTACCGCTATCAAAAATGAGTTTTGAACGGTTTTAAGTTGTAGGAGAGCATGAAGTAGCTAAATTTAATTTGCAACTAAATCGGTGTTTAGTCGAAAAAGTGAATATGAAAATTTTCAATTAAAAAAAATTAAAGTTCTTAAAATTGAAATAATTCCTGATTTTTTTTCACAAAATTTTTAACATTTCAAAAATCTTTAAAACTATCAAAATTGACAAAGTTTTAAAATTTACAAAATTTTCCGAAATTTCAGTCAATCAGTCAATAATTAATCAACTAATAGTTAGTAATTAGTCAGCAACTAGTCGGTAACTAGTCAGTTAAAAACTAATCTCCTTCAAAAGTTTCACTTCTATAGTGTGCTTTTAAAGGATTAAATAATTTTTATAATAATTTATTATACACTTTTTTCTTTAATTTATAATAGAAAAAAACTTTCCAGATACTTATTCACTTAATATAATATTGTATATTAAATTAGGCACGAGCAAGCTTACGAGTAAGTGTTTAATTAAATGGGTATCTAAAAAATTTTATAAACGAGTTGTCTAAAAATGATTTAAATTAAATATTTTCAAATTGGTATATTTTTATTTTCCATTTTTTTAATAAGTAAATAAATTAATTTTCGGTTTTGGTAAGTAAAAATTCTTGGGAGTAGGATAGACGTCGGTCCTTGATGTCATTGAAAACTTACTCAATACAAATTGATACACATTAAATAGACAACTTTAGATAAAGCTGGTCAGTACATCAAGCGGCAAGCTCTAGTAAACAATAATAAATAAGTGGCTGTGCAGTGTTGTGTTAGTTGAATGTTAAATTTATCTTTCGGTTATGATTGCTGGAAATAATTTAAAGGAGCCGTTGCATCCAGTTTACTCTAGCCATGTAACAAAAATAATCGGCTTGGCAGTAGTTATTTTTCCCTTAGCATTTTTGTTTATTTTATCCACTTTCACATGGTTACGCCTTCAAAATGTTGAAAAAGACTTGGAATTGTATGAAAATAAGTTTGCTAGTTTAACCAACACTTTGCGTGCACTTGGAATTGCTCTAGACGATGATCTATATAACTCTATTGCCAAATTTGAAAACGAAGAGGTATGTTTTTAAATAATTTCTACTTTTTATTATTTATAATTATTATATCACTTATGCATTTATTTCCGTTAAATGATAACCATTTATCATTTCACTGACTGTTGACAACTATATAAATAGGCTTCTAAATAAAATGTTTCATTAAAAAAGTGACGATTTGAGTTAAGTTAATTAGGCTTCATTAAAGAATTCCGCAAAAACCAATTAAGCACATCCTAAATTATAATTATGTAAACTGTTTTAGCATAAAATCCATTTGTAAATATTATTATATGCATCCATAATATAAGATTTCAGTTTAAGTTGACGATAAGCTTTTGTTGTTGATTCATCTAATTAGTATTTTTAGATATCTAATCATTTTTATCCTTTCGCAGAATTTTGAAGAGGAAGAGCGGTCAGCGCAAACCCAAAGCCGTAATGATGATTATTCCGACGAAGATTATGAGTCACTGAGCGTTTTTAACAATGAACTGATAACAGAATCATCCATAAATAAAAATAATTTAAGAAGGAGAAGAAATGTAGTAGCTGCTACTAGCGATGGAGTGCTTGTCAACTCGGAATCATATGCAGATATTAAGAGGAAAAAGTTTTATCCCAATCCAACAATTTCATACATATCATCAACTTCACCGCCAGTATATTCGAGAGTTTCTAGAGTCATGCACAAAGATGACAAGTCAAAAGCCTTTAAAACCACAGTGCATAAGGTTATGTACAGAGCAGGAGATAATTCTGCAGAAGAATCAAACATGAGTGAAGGGGCCCAAATACTTCTTAGAGACGACCACCATAGAAAAAGATATCGTAACCGAGCCAGTCGTTTAGAGAGTCTAGACGAAAGAGTCCAAACTCCCCATAGAATGGGAAGGATGAAACCTTTAGCTAACATTAGATTTGATGGGGACACATCCCAGTACGTACTAGGTCGACATAGTAATTTCAATGGCAATGGACATATGAGACATCCAAGGAAAACCTACGTCGATTGGAAGGCCAAACATTGGGTCAACTCAACCGGCATGGACCAACATTTTTATATGAACAACGGTGGCGAGTTGACTATTAAAGAAAGCGGCTTATATTTTATTTATGCTCAGGTATGTTATAATTATTTATTAGAGTGTCTCAAAAAAACCGACTATTTTTAGCTCTTACTTTCACAGGGTCATTTTCTAGAGATACTCTGACGAATTTTCAATGTTCTTTGGAAAAAAAATAGTCGGTTTTTTGAGACACTCTATTATTTATTCATCGATAATTATCTTATATTGAACTTACTTATAGATTTATTATTTGGATGAACACGATACAAACGGGTTCAGAGTTTATAAAAATGAGGATGAAACGGTGCTTCAATGCACCACATCAACTCATACTCAAGAAAGGACACTCAAAGGAAATACTTGCTACACTGCTGGAGCAGATTACTTATCAGAAAACGATGTAATATCGTTATCTGACTTATCTGATGGACGATACTCGTTATTCGAACCTGGAAAATCGTTTTTCGGTCTTATTAAACTTGGCGATGTAAAAACGAAGTAGCTTTACAGTACCTATATGAAATATTTATTAGTTGTATGTTATATTTATTGTCTAGTATGTATGTTAAATATTTAATAAAAATTTTATTCAAATTGTTTTATATATATTTATTAGCTCAAATACCCAAAATTTAATTAAAGACATGAAAGGAATTTCAATTGGAAATATTTTTTAATAATTTCGTATCGACCGTTTTCTATGGCTATGACTGCGCATGTATCGGGAATAAACAGTCCTTAATGTCGGGTAAATTCGAGCAGTATAAATCGAGATATTCTGTTAAAAGCTATTAATTTTTCCAAATCGTTTTGTTTAAAGTGGATGTCCAATTAAAGGTACGCACATATATCCCTATAAGATGCAACCATGTGTAATTTGTTCTGGAACATAAACAATTACAATTAATATTTTAATATTAAAAATTTTAAACAATCCGCTAGATTTTTTATATGCATGGCTTACTTAGAAATCCTACAGCGGGATATTTAAGAAAGAATTGTAAAATTTATTGAAAAATCAACAGGTTCCTGAGTCGGCCTTTATGTTTACCTTAATTTATTGATTTTTCATGCCTCCATAGTGGGTGGCCCATTTCTCGACGATCATCCATAAAACTTATTTTTAGGTGGCAGTTGAAAATCATGAAGGGAATCTGGATGATTTTAATTATTTTTTTAATCGAGAATGCCTGTTCCCAAGACGATTCTCTAAGATCGGCTCTAAAAGCCATTGATAGACGAGAGGAGGATTTTTCTGCTTTCGAAAGGCCGAATGATTTGGCCTTTATCAATGCACCTCATTATTCTGGCAGAGAATGTACCTCCAAATAACAGTATGTATTTTCCTCACTAAATTGTTGTCTTTTAGTTAAAAAATTGGGCGGAGATTTGGATTTAGAAAATCAGCACCGAATCGACGACTTGGATAATAAACGCCTTTTATCCCCATTTAGAGAAAGAGTGGAAGAGCAAAAGCAAATCGAGGAATTGGCTAAAAATTATCTTTCAAACCTTGAAAAAGAACAGGAATACAACTACAAGAACGAAGATTTAGGTGGTGAGATTGATGATGATTATGAGGACATCAAAGGAGAGAATGACGGCAATAACTATGAAGATGGTGTAATACAGGAATTATGGGAAAAATATCGACAGCCATTAATGTACACGAGGGGTAGAAGCAAGAGGTATTATCCTCAGATGAGCATCGGCGAAAGCATTGGCCTGCGGAAGAGAATGAATAACTTTAATTCGGAAAGTGGCCCATATTATTACCTTAAGATGCGCTCTGGAGCCCAGCAGCAGAAAAGGTTTCCGGTTACAAAAAGAAGTAGCGACCATGCAGGGTTGAAGAAGAACGAAGAGCGTGATTTTAAAACTGAAACCGATCCAAAGGTAGCTAAGGAACTAAGCAATGTGTTTGGTCCTGAAACCAGCTCAAAGCCACAAATAACTGAAAAAGTACAACACCAAACTCAAACGCGAAAAGCACAAGAGAAAGAAGCTACCAAGGAAATACTACCAATTGGCACGATAAACAACGAAAAGCCATTGCAGATTAAGAAGAAATCGATCGATTGGTCTGATTATTTTGGTTTAGACCGACGTAAGAAAGCTGATAATAACGAATGGTTAATTGAGAGATACCACAAGGCGATGAAAACAGCATCGAAAAGAAATGTGCAAGTAAAAGAGAAAAATACTACAGACCGTGATTTGGCTGATCGTTTGGAAGAAGATGAAAAGATTGAAGATATCGATAGAAAATTAAAGAATATGGAAGACACAATAGTCGATGACACTTTAAAGTACACAGGAGCGCATCAAGGGGCGACTGATTCCAAACAAGTTCAACAAGTTAAGAATAAGGTGATATCACGTCTTGCGGCCGCGTACAGCTTGGAAAAAATGAGAAATGCCCTGGGCGAATACAAGTTGGCCATAGCAAAGGAACGCGAACGGCTCAAGATGCAGAAAAATAAGGACATGGACAACAAGCAACAACAAGAAAAACGTACTTCAGTGCCACGTAAGGAAGCTGTGGATGAAAGGATGAATTCCAAAACGAGCGATAAAAATGAAAACGAAAATGTCATTAAATGTACCCAAGGAAATACTGCTGAATGTTTAGAACAAAATTATGGACTATCCAGCGACCTGCTTGAACAACATTTTGGACAAGGTACACCTACACGTTAATGTTACCGTAGGTTCAAGTTTAAACATATTTCCCATATTTTAGATCAATGTCCTATCATTGAAAAAGCCTGCAATGAAGTTTCGATCATTTTGGGAGAATATGGGCATATGTTTGAAAAGGCTTGTAATATGTATGAAATGTGTCTAATTTGCGTAAGTAAACACTAAACTTTTTCCAAAAATTAATTAAAATAAATGATCATTTTAGACGAACAATATTGGTATGTCACCCATCCATCATTGTAACAGCTTGTTTTTGGCCAAGGCAAATGAATTATGTCAGCTGGATGAAAAATGTCAACGTGAGGCAAGGCATTCCTTAAGATTTTTACTAGATATAAATGGGTCTTTGCAAGCTGATCCAGGCACTCAGGAGCAATGCGAGTCACGATGTCCCAATATGCAAACCTTATCCGAACTATTCGATTTGCGTTAAATGCAGATCTGCATCAGGACCGACCTACTCATTCATTAAAATATTTTTAAATGCTAAAGCATTTGAATAGCGACTTAACCAACTAATTATTATATATCCAGCGTTGAACTTAATAATCAACTAAATGTTACCTACCTGTATGTATGTTATTCTGTTATTATATTTAGGTATCATATCTATTGTATGTAAATGTATAGTATAAAAAAGTTGCTTAACTCACAACATTTATTATTGATAGAAACATATTACTTATTTACCTACTGTGGAGTACTATACCAAAAGTACTAAAAAAAGTCCAAATTTAAATTCACAATGACAAAATTTTAGTATTGTTTTATAAAGATTAAAGCCCTGTGTTTTTTGTGACAATAATTCGTATCAATAATCGTCTAAATAGTTTTTACACCTATCTATAATTTAACCCAAGTACAATTAAATTGAACATATTATGTATTGCTTATAGGACTGCATTATCTACATATACATATGTATGTATAATGATTTTAATATATTTTAATGGTAAAAAGCCTTTTTATTTTTTCCTCCCTGTATCTAATATATAAAAAATAGTTACTTGTCTATAAAAATAATCAATTGGTTGTTTATTCTAGTGATAAACAGATAGCGAGAAATATTAAAACAATAGGCACATACATACTTATTGCTGTGATTAGATAGTGGAACCTGATGAGAAATACTTTTACTATGGAAGGTAAATATTAAAAAATATTGGTTCTATAAAATAAAACAATCGAATTTTAGACATCCGTTTATTGTTGTTTTCAGACGAAAATGCATCAATAATAAATCGACAGCCTGCAAGAGATGACGGTAGGTGAGGAAGTGACATGGTGTGAGCAAAATTTATAGTTGATTATTTTTAGATGGTTTTCCTGGAAGCAGAAGGCCAATTCCAATATCTTTCATCGATTTGGAAACATCTCAAACCAGCTGCTTCACTCCACTGCATGGCTTGGATTTCCTAAGACCACACAGCCAATACGTTATACAGCAAACCGTCGAGTTGCAAGACTGTAAGTAAAGATATTAAATTGCAACTCAATGGTTGAATGGTGAATAAATTTGCAGTGCTTGATGAAGCATCGGAAAATAGGTTCAACATAAAAGCAGCCCGAGGAGAGACTTTGTACTCCGCATCGGAATCATCAACCGGTTGCCAAAGAAGTTGTTTTGGATCCAGCAGATCTTATATCATGAAAGTATTCGACCCATCGCAACAAAAAGTTATGGAGTTTAGGAGACGTCTGGCCTGTGGTGCTTGCAACTTTTGGTTCTACTTACAGGTACGTTAAGTACCCAAATAAAGTAATTTAATTATTTATTTTATTTTAAAAGGAATTAGAAGTATGGGCAGATCCTGGGGAATATTTGGGTGCCGTTAAACAAAACATGGCATTACTTAAAACATCTTTTAACGTATCAGATAGAAATGCAAACATTATCTATAACATTCAAGGACCTGATTCCTTTTGCTGTCTATTAGGAAAAAATGAAAACTTCCATGTAAGTTTATGTATGTAGTTAAAGTTTTAAATTCACTAATTCTGGGTAGCAAGTTTGGAAGTTGCCCCTCCAGAACTGAAGTTTTTTATAGGACTTTAAAAGCAAAAAAAGTAATTGCCGAAAGTTTACATTTATTAAAGAAAAAACTACTTTCAATAATGGATTCTTCGGCCGAGTACTAGTACTAACATTAAATAGGTTCCTATACATATATTTTTTGAAACAGTACCTACCTACCTTTTCAATAAAATCGGGATGTTTTAATTCCAAATCAGTACAGAATTTTTTCGTGGTCTGGCAATAAAAATACGCTTGTTTAGATTTACAATAAGGATGGTTCAACGCAAGTGGGCACTATTATTCATCAGTGGGATCAATTGGAAAACTCCTATAATATACAGCTTCAAACCCCTGATAATGCCACAACTAGACATAAAGCACTTTTACTGGGTGCAGCATTTCTTTTGGTAACAAACGAACAATGTGTTATACTATTTTTACTTAACTATTATATTTTTAATTTTAGGAGTATATGTATTTTGAAAATACCAAGAAAACTCGTGTTAGGTGCATTTGCTAAATGTCAGATAGTAACAAATTCTATACAGGGTAATAACTTAAAAATTATTTAATAAAAAACAATTGTATATATGTTCATGTTTATTTAACCGGTTCTACAAATAAACTCTAAAAACTATTAAAATTTATAATTTAAAATAATTTAATATGGGTACCTAGGTACTGTCTGTCCACTCTAAGTTGGCTGAACTAAGGAATTTTGTTGTTTAGATATTAAAGAATTGTCGTACTCTGTGCTTTTAAAACAGATTTTATATTATAAATAATACTAGTATATAATATGTACTAGTATTATTTATAATATAAAATCTGTTTTAAAAGCACACAGTACGACAATTCTTTAATATCTAAACTACAAAATTCCTTAGTTCCGCCAACTTAGAGTGGACAGACAGTATGTATGTCAACTAAACAACACAAAATTTACATAATGGTTTTCAACTAGGCAAGTATTAAAAATGAAGCTACCAAAATTGCAATAATAAAATACAAAAAACAACAAAAACCGTACCCACACAGCTGTGTAGGTAGGGAATTAAATATACAAATATATTTATTATAACACAAGCGTCCTATTTATTAAGTAGGTATACCTATAGGAATAATTAATATTAAAATGATTTTATTTACACTGTTTAAAATTTACAACTGCCGTTTGAAAATATCTATAATAGGTAATTTTAAAATACGCGTAATTCAAACAAGATTACTAGCAGATATATGTATGTAAGGGCAAAAAAGTAACCAAGTACTAGTCATAATTAGGGGTGCTGGCTCCTGTAGGTACTATTTTACAAGAATCAAAACCAATGTATTTTTCATAATATTTAACAATTTAAGTTAAAGCATTTTTTAAAATTTGAGTGCAGATTAAAAAAAAAAATATTTTTTAATTAAAACAGTTTTGGTCTGATTTTTGTACTACCTGTTTTTATGCATTATTTAATCCACTCGTTGGTGAAATATAATTTAAAATTGATTTACGTTTAGTTTAGTTTAGAAGCAACATACACACATACTCGTACTACAACCGTATTGATGTTAAACACTGATTTAACTATATTGTTAATATACATAAGTAAACTAGAATTAATTAATTAACACGAAAAGTGGACAGAATTGTGTATAATTGGACAGGGTAGGTTTAGTATTTATTCTGTCAATCGGATGATCCATTTGACTGGACGACTAAACCACACATTTTTATTGAGTGATCAACACACAATCACTGAGCAAGAAATAAAAACTTTATATAGACTAGATAATATTGCATAATTTTCAACTACCCTATTGAAAATGCCATATAGAACCATATAAAAAACACGTATCTGGATTCTATATGGTTTCTATCTGGTTCAATATAGGTATTTGAAACAGGCATTTCACTATAGAACCAGATAGAAGATTACATTATAGAACCAGATAAAAACAGTCTAAAACACTATAGAACCAGATAGGGAAACCTATCTGGAAATACATATAGAACAGAAACCAGATAAATCCATATACATCCATATACATGTCTTTATAAAGACATGTATATGGTTGTATATGGATTTATCTGGTTTCTGTTCTATATGTATTTCCAGATAGGTTTCCCTATATGGTTGAATATGAAAATTTTTAAAATGGAAATCCATATTCAAACATATAGAATCCGTAATGTAAACCAGGACTTTCCATATAGGACCTATAAAACCATATAGAACCAGATACGTTTCCTTATCGGATTCAATATGGGTTCTATATGGCATTTTCAATAGGGTAGGTATTTGATTTTTTTTCTTCCCGGAATGTTCTAAAAACTCTACCATCTATGATATATCTACTTGACAACACCAATTTGACACAATTAGCCAATTTAGCTACAAATCTCTCGACTTAAAAATTTAAGAATAATATCTTTTAACACATCATCTTTATAAAAATATAATTTGTTATGTAAATGTGCCTACAAAATATATAATAGTAATGTTGTGAAAGAATGATTTGTGCCTGTCCGTACTGCTAGCAAGTGTGAGGGAGCTCTCTAAAATTTGTAGCTAAAATGCTTGCTTGCACAAATTGCAGTCTTAAAATAAAAATAAAAAAATTAAATAACGACTGTCAAAACTATTGTGTCTTAATTTAATATATTTACTACACACAGAATAGATAAATACTATGTATGTATACTACTACTCTATTACAGCTACATTCTAGGTAAATCTGTTGTTTTGCAGCAGCAGGTAGTAAGGTACTACATATAACATACTTGTGAAGAACTGAAAAAGTGCTCTCATCTAATTAACCTAACAGCGATATCACAGAAAGAAATGCTTACCTAAAATAAAAGCTGAGAACGTAAATGAAACAACAAAATGGAAAAATTTAGTATTTAGTGCCCAAAAACCCGATTAAATACCTACATAGATAGGCAAGTGTCCTTGTTTATAAAGCGGTGTGCAATTGCATATTCATATGGTACATACATTGGCCCCAGCAGATTCGTTTCGATTCGATCCGATCCATCCTGTCCACTGGGAGCAGTGTTGCCAACTTAGCGACTTTGTCGCCAGATCTAGCGTTTTTAAGTTAGGCAAAATTGATAGAAGTGTGTTACATCGTTGAAAAGAGAACAATTCATGAGCTGGCCAAATAATCAGAAATAAATTAAAGGCCAATATCTAAAGAAGAAGAAGAAGAGAACAATTTTACCTATTTTTTGATGAAAAAATCTAAGTTGGCCATGATATCTCAAATTTTAGGGCGTAGAAAAAAACAAATGAATGCCATTATCATTACCTGTCATTGCAAACAATGTCAAAATATAAAGTTTCAAATTGCTTTAATAGTAAAAAAGTTGCTTAGAAAATGAATCTTTTCATTGGCAAGGCAAAACACGAATGTAAAGTGACAGGTCTGTGTGAAAAGAAATTGACAGCATCGTTTGACATTCGTTTCAAAATTTGGATTGTATTTGCATAGGTAAGTACCTAAATATCATTTAGAACACAATTATTTGTGTTTGTATAATAAATTCTAATTTTAAGTGCATTTATTTAAATTAAGAAGGTAATGTTTATTGATTTTAAGTAACTTATACCTTAAAAATTGAAAGAATAAGATGCCAAACGTGTTTTTAGGTTATTTTGTTTTGTATTTGAATATAATAAAAAAAGGGTCGTAGAAAAAACGACTCTTGTGAGTCAAGTATAAAAAAGTCTCTTTTCAACACTTGTAAAACAAATAATTATTTGAAATATCCTAAACAACCCAAAAAAGTCCAGTCTAAAATAGTTAACTATTTTAGACTGGACTTTTTTGGTTTGTTTAGGATATTTCAGAATCGTCGAGGGTATCCTAGATTTCTTGACATAATTGAAATGGCCATAAAATAGTGGAACTTTTTTGTAATTTAACCAACTGTTGGCAACACTGACTGGGAATATGAAAGCGTTTACGTAACAAAGCACACACTTTTTGGGTGCATCCAGATTTTCTTTGCTTTAGAATAATTTACAATCGCAATGTCACATTATTTCATTGTTAGGTAGGCATACTGTAATGGTAGATAGTATAACTACCTAAAGCTTTGCTTGTTTAAAAATAAAATATAGACAATACTTAGATACTTATGTATATACATATTTTTTCCTATTTATAACATATTATACAATTTAATGAATGTGACTTGAAATGTAATTCTGGCGTTTAGTGCAAATTAAGGCTTTAAGAGGTAGATGTCTGGCTGAACATAGGTGTAAATGCGGCAATAATAATGCAACAACCGAATAGCGTTCAATCAATTAATCAATTGTACATACAACAAGTGTATTTGTGTGTCGTGTGTCTTATGTAAATTACTACTTAACTTTTAATGGCAAGGGTAAAAGAACATTGCCATGTTCAATGGACGGCACAAATATCAATGTGTCGTAAGAAACGGCAATAAAAGGGTGGACTGATGGGATGGATGGATGAAAAATAACGTTCAATTAACTAGGTCAATTAATAACCGTACGAATTATTTCTTCTCTACTTGGCTTTAGTGACACGATTCCCCACGTTGTTTAAACCATTTCCACGGGACCGAGACCTCGGCAAGGATTCTAAAAGGTAAAAATAAATCATCATATCCACCTGAATATATTCGTTATTACCTTTATTTAAACACTTGTGCGAATTGCTCAATGCTTCTTTGTCTAAACGCATTGCTCTTCCCCTTCTATCTAAAATAAGTTTGTCCGCTCTTACAAACATGCCGTGCTTGGGTTTGCATTCGAAATACTTGACTCCTTTGACGGTACCGTCGTTTTTGCCTTTGGGCGCATCGAGCTCGACGCCAATCCAAGTACCATTCGCAAATTCTGTTTCGCCGATGTAGGCAACCACTCCGGACGAGTTGTACGGTCTTATAAGAACACTTTCGCCCAGCACCACCCAATCGGGGACGGGAACATCCGATAACTTCGTCAAATCCGGTCTCGAACCGAAATTGCTGTCTTCTTCCAATCTATCTGTCGAGCTGTCCATATCTTCGTTCATCGACAAATTGGACCCTGATAGATTCGACAGTTTATTCTCCAAATACCGGGCGGCTTTACTTTCCGTTATGCTCGAGCTTTTTGCCTGCGGAAACGATGATCGTTGATGATTTTTCGACTTTATGGACTTCTTTCTTCTCACCACTCTTCCCGGTGATAAATTCGTCCTAACGCAACCATCACTTGTTACTTGTGAATCCATGATTGTCAAACCGTTCAGAGCCGTACAACCCAAGTCGTCGGAACTTTCATCGTTTGTTGACTGGGTGTTGTTTAAGGTCTCTAAACTCTACAAAACAAAACATTTCATTATCGAATACATCGTTTATTACATCGTGGTAACCACCTCGGAATAGTGGTCATCATGATGGTCATCGACGTTTTCCGAGACCGACTCCAAATCTAAATTCAACGCCGTCTTCGATTGTTCGAAATCGGGAGTAGCTTCATCAACACTAATGCTTCTCAAGGAGAGTGAATCATCACTGGATAAATTTGTTGAAGACACTGCTTGAGAACCGTAACCACTCGAAGTGGCCGAACTACTGTTTCTCGGCGTCAGTTCCATCAATGAATCCAATGTTCGAGATGTTGGAATACTTCTTTTTACTTGATTCTTACTCTTAGTAGTGTTGCTGTTCTGTATTTAAAATAAACAATATTTATTATGTCTAAATTAGGGTGATTCAAAAAAATCGATTTTTTTTATTTTGACACTGAAAAATTGGTTCCTATCACAGTTTTCCATTTTTTATTTAGTCCCTTATGAAAAAGACCATATTTCATTATTAATCGTTTAATCAAATCTTTATACATATTTTGTACGAAATTTAAGGCTCTACAAAAAAAGTTTGATGTGTTTAATTGATTACTCCAACCGTTGAGAAGATATTTGTATCAGTAGCATTGGGATTTGGAAACGAATATCTTCTCAATGGTTAGAGTAATCAATTAAACACATCAGACCATTTTTGTAGAGCGTTAAATTTTCTACAAAAATATGTCATATTCATTTGACAATAATTATTTTTCAATGAGTTGCAAAATTATAAAAAAAAAATAATTCAAACTTTCATCTTGAATATCTTTTAAATGGTTAGAGTTAAACGCTTAAACACATCAGTCCTTTCTTGTAGAGCAATTTCCTACAAAAATATGTATAAAGATTGATTAATAATGAAATATGGTCTTTTTTATAAGGGACTAAAGAAAAAATGGTTAACACCAATTTTTCCGTGTCGAAAAAAAATATTCTATTTTTTTAATCACCTAAAATACAAAATTAAAATCATACTTGTGTATTATATTTATCATCCTGGCCTTCTTCTAATTGCTCTTCAATGGTACAATCACGCAATAAATCCAATGAATGTTTTCTTGGCAGCGGTAACTGCTCTTCGTGTAAAGTGCTCATACGCAAGCTCAATTTATTGCTAGCCGGCGACACCATACTCACTTAAAATTAAATAAAAAAATTAATATTTCTCCCAACAATAAAATATTTACGGTATATACAGTAAGCTACAAACTAAATAAACCCAGAATGAAAGAAAAAAATCTCTACGAAACTACATATTAATAAACGTACATTTCGTAGTAGTGGCGGGCTGTTGTAATCTCAGAGAGTTCAAATTTATGTTGAGATTTAAAAATGTCGGACGGGCTGAAATATTTAAGACATATTAAGAATGGGCAATTTTCAGAAACAACATTCGTGCGATATATGTTCATTGTTCATTGTCACTGGTATCTACATAATCATGATTTTACATTTAAAATGATACATGTACCATTTTAAAGTCAAAGAGACGTCGTTCCAATCTAACAGAAAACAGATCATGCAGGTTTTGCCAATTGATGCTAATTGTAGTTAAGTGTTCTTCTTTTATCATTGTGCAAAAGGACTTTTTATAGTTTTTTAACTTTAGTTAGGCGTTACGTTAAAAAATTAAAAAACCCTTTCCTGTAAATCAATATGCACAAAAGAATATTTTCTAATATTGTTTAACTACACATGCTCATGATGCACGCGGCGGCGTATTTTTTGGGGGAGTTGGGTTAATTCACTTAAAACATTTATTTTAAGTAAGTCTCTGTGACTTTATTACAATTACATACCTACATTTATGGGTGGATTTGAACAGCGGTTCTCAACCTTTTTTACTAAGTGACTCCTTACATGTCAAATTTGTATTATTTTATAGTTGTAGGTGGTTAAGAACCGCTGGATTAGAAAACACATGGTTATTTAAGTAGGTTTAATAAACTGTATCATACGAACTGCATGATTCAGTTGTATCAGTATTTTTTTAATATGGTAAAGCTAAAACTAAAATGGCAAATTATAACCAAAACCATGCTGTCGTTTCGTATCTACATATTGTCTAACATCTACGGTTCCAAAACATAGCTTTGAGATAAACAGCATAATCGTCATATTATCAAATGCCTCTCAAAACGTATGTTAAATTTCAAGCTTATATTTAACAATCAATATTTTATGTTCCACCTATAGCAAACTCATCAATATGCAAGCCTCCATTTTACCTGAAAGAATGGAGCCTTGTGGTTGCACAAAAAAATCCAAACAAGTTAGTCAATTTACCTGCCAAATTCTAATATTAATTAACAATGTATGTGGTATGGCTACTACCCTATCTATTTTATTTAAGTACAAACTTATTAACAATTACTGTAATTCTTGTCAAAATTAAATCTGTCTATACTATCTATAAATTATTTTGTTCTAAAGAAGCTACACTTCATCCGAACTGAATCTATTATATGTTAGTTCGTATAATAAAATGAAATTTATTTAAAACCATCATCCACCATTAGCCTCCGTTGATGATAAAAAGGTAAATTGTGATCGTATTATTAAATAACTTACCGAGTCCGCCGAAACTTGGTTTGCTTGGCGTGCCGTCTGTGTCTTTGCAAAAAGCGGACCGGGCCAAGGCATTTAAATCGCTGCTTAGTTCCGACACGCTCTCCGATCTCGATATTTGCGAAATGCACTCTGTGCTCAGGTCCAACCTCGACAACTAAAAAAATAATTATTAACATTTTATACATGCATTTTTACTACAACGTGAAACAAACACTTTACCCCATTCTTTGACTCCAAAGTCTAGGCAGCGTTAAAACATGTACAAGTTAAGTGCATATTCTACAATACACAGAGAAAGATACTTACTTGCGAGAAGTTAGGTACACTAACGGTCTTTCTCATTGCGTGTTGTCCTTGTGCTTGAAGAAGTTCTCTTACAGCTACACTTTGACGAAGTTTGTCCAGTGTTAAAATGCTATCCACTGCGCTAACACCTCGTGTATATTTTTCTGAAAAATATGAATATTGAATACCTAAATGAAATCAATTAATTAGTAATTTCTTACCAATATATGTTTCTCCTTCTTCGTTATTATCTTCACCTGATGCGGCAAGTTTCGCCAGACTCTCTCGGTCTTCAAGTTCTTCGCTAGCTTTCGGAACATTAGATACCACCAAATAGGTAACACCTGTTTGCGTTATAAGATCGCTTCGAACAATTTTCCGCTTAAATCTGTCGATAAACATCATCCCCTGTCGTTTGTAAATATTCACAGCCAATCTTTTCCGCAAAACTAAATCCATCGGGGCTGGATGAGATAATCTGACGGTCACTCTTAAAATCATGTATACCCTTTCGTTTGCTGAAATCATACATACACAGCTACAATTATTTGATCATATCAATTATTAACGGCAAGCATTACCGTCTGTTATTTTATTTAAATGAGGGCTGTTGTGTATCGAAGAATCCCAGCTGGAAACAGCGCACACGTCCTTCTCCAAGTTGTTTAAAATTTGTAGCGTGTGAAATTCGCTGCTCACTTCTTTCGATAGAATCGAATTGACACCGGTTAAAGATATCTCTTCTCCAGATTGACTTGTTGACAAGTCGTCAGCTAAAAAATTAAACAATAATAAACAAGTTAGTTGTGAATCACATAATTACCATTTAAGTCAAGGAAAAGTACAGGTATGTGGGGTTCCATTCCTGGTGGCGGGCTCCACATGGCTGGAGCTCCAGGAATGCCGGTGCCCGGTTTCGGCACGTACACTTCATTGGCTTCTTCCGTCAAATTCATTATTTGCTCCATTAAACTTTTTTCCCTTTCAATTTCCTGTTCGCTTTTGTTCTTTTTATCTGACAGCTTTTGCAGCTGAAGGTTCAAATAATTTCGCCTTCTAACGAGAGCTTCATTCCATTTTTCTCGAAGTATTCTTAAATCTTCTTCCTGATACGAATCCAGCGCTCTTTGCAATCGACTTCGAACCATTACGGCACCAACATCGATTTTAATTATTTGCTGGCAAATAATGGGCAGTGTGCCGGAGTTCGAGACAGGTTTAACTCGGACCTGAATTCTTCTTTGTTGACCCTGGCGCAATTGATAAATTCCTCCAGTAAGCATATCATTTCTTAAGGCCACCTCCACAGGACTGTAATCGCCTAGGTCGTTGAGTTCTTGTATATCAACCCAAAGTTCAATTTTGCGCGTCAGTTCGAGCCAACGGTCCAACAGGGATCGGGCGGTGGCGGCGAACTTTTGTTCCACCTCCCATCCTGGCTTGCATTTGGAGAAACCGGGACTTCGGTTTCCCCACACCTCGATAGACAACGCGCCCTCCGTGCAGTGTTCAATGAACTCCTCGCTCAGCGAGAATTGAAATTCTTTCTCGTGATCAAACTTGACAGTTGTGGAATGGTCTTGGTTTGCGTCAGAGTGTGGAACTGATATGATTTCCGGATGGTTCCAGAAATTGTATTGACAATAGACGAAATTTGAAAGAGGCAAAGGCAGACCTGATGCTTGTTTAATGTGAACGCGAATAGTTACTTGGTGGTTTGTCTGCTGCCTGATGTCGTCTTCCTGGTCCTGGGCCTGGCCGCCAAAATCAGACATCGACGAAGACACATCGAGGGCCGCATCGCACATTCTGTCTTGTGGAAACGTTCCTGCCACTCTGCTTATCTCCACTTGCAATCTACCAGCCACTTCGCCTTGTTGACTTATGATTGGCGTGTGATAATCCAAGGTGACGTCGTGGAATAACGATTCCAAAAATATGTTGGCAACGCCAATGAGGTTGTGGTTTTCCTGCGACTCGAAAAATGGATCCGCGGGACCTTTGACCAAGTGCTCGCACGGTGAAGAATCGATGGACAATTCGTAAATTTCCCGCATATCAATTAATTTATTAGCTAACTTTTCCATGGACCAAACTTGACTGGAAGCGGCGCGTTTCACCAAAATGGCCGGTTCGCTGACAAAGGAGCCTCTCTTCCTGTTGGGACTTAAATTAGCCGGCGGTATTTGCAGGGTAACGCTGAACTTGGTTTCCTTTTTCATTTCATCGGCCAAAATGTTCGCCTCCTGAACCATAGAGTTGGCTTTCAACAGGTCTTGCTTTAATTGGCCGATACTTCTCCTGAACATGTCGTCTCGTTCCTGCGCCCACTTTTCGACGCGCATCTGCGTTGTCGGGGTGCACGGAGTCGTCTTTCCCAAACCGATGCGCAACGGATCGTACGAATACGGCGGGTATGGAGTTGACGGCGACATCGTGTTTCTCAGTTGCTGAAACTGCCTCTCGTATTCGATCCGTTGCTTTTCCAATGCGGATTGTTTGTCCTCTTCGTGTTGCTTTTCGAGACGAGCGATCGCCGCTTGGATCGGGTCGTTGCTCAGCTCGTTCAGCATCAACTCGTCGCGAGCAAAATTGTAGTCGATCGGCTGCGCAGGCGTCTGCGGCTCCGACGTCACCGACCTGGGGCAGTTTACTTTGAAAAAATGGTGATTGCCCAGCGCCACTCTGTCTCCTCGCCTTAAAAACGTTTTCTTCGCAATTTGCGAACCGTTCACGCACGACTTGGCACTCTCGCACGGTTCAATGTACAAGCCACTTTCTTCGATTGTCAACACGCAGTGTTTCGCTTGAATTCCCAAACCTTGCAATTGAATGTCCGGTTCGACACCGTCGTTTCCGTAACTCTTACCACCTACCACTGTATGTTCCTTCAAATAATACACCAACATTTCGTTGAGGTACGGATCGGCATTCAAATTCACCAAATAATACTTGTTTTTCTCTACTTTTATGCCTGAATCCTGTATACTGATGCCCATTTTTTCCAATGCATGCTGCCGCTCGTTTTGTATTCTCTCAGTTTTCTTCACCTTCTCGTCCCAGGTCTGCGAGAAATCTTTATAGAGTTTTTCGCTTTCGCTTAGTTTTTGATGGATATCAATTTCCCCAACAGGTGAACCCTAAAATTATCGATCAAAATATAAGTTAAACAACATTAAAAAAAAATTACGGTTGCGTGTTTTAACATCTCCTTCAGTGCTTCCACTTCCTGTGTAAGCTCGCGAATTATTCGAGCATTTGGATCTTCATTGACCACGGCATGGTTAACGATTCTCTTTGCCCTGTCTGCGTATCGCAGTGTCGACAATGTTTCCTCGTAGTTATCGGCTGCCGGCGAAATGGTAGCTACCATAACAGTTTTACTGTTACCGCCCAAGTTATCCTTCAAAAGCCATGTCAATACAGAATCGCGGTATGGCACGAACTTATCCCTGCTCCCCTTTCCTCCCGACTGATCGGCTAACTTGGAAATGACTAGACCCAATGTTGTGAGCGACCTAAAATTTAACAAAAAAGATACAATTTTTAGCGATTATCGTATTGTGATCGTACTTGTTGATATTGGAGCCCTCTTTAAGCCGATCGCCTACAGCTCCGGTTTTTACGGCCCTCTCGGAACCTGCCAGATCAACCAGCGATATTCGGCTCACTTTTTCTCCACTTACGCCAGATTTGCTGTCGGTTAAAGTTTGCGTTAAAATAACCGTGAAGACGGCATGCGACCTAGAAGACTCGCTATTCATATTAGTCGCCGCTACAGTTCTCGATTTATTTCCCTCTGCCATCAAATTATCGATATCCTAAAAATGCATACACATGCCACTTTAGTGTCTTGGTACAAAGATCAATCAATCAGATCAACCAACCTGAAAGGCGGTAACGGCGAGCTGAGACAGTCCATCTACATAAGGTCCCAACACATTGTGTTCCCTAACTTTTAAAGTTTGCTTATTTGTTTGAGGATCCAACAGATCGTGAACCTTTTCGTTGTAAATCTCCATGTAACTTACTTCCACTTTGTATGACAATTCCGAGCTTTGTTGTTTTGCAATAAGGCCGAATAAAGAATCACACAGTCTCGGGATTATTCCTTTATGTTCGTGCGATCCCATCATGGTATAAGATTTTCCTGAACCTGTTAATTATTTCAGTACAAAATTATTACCTATGCCAACATTCTTATCTACATCTAATAATTTTACGTTAAGGTAATAAGGTCAAAAACTAAAATCGATTTCTCGCAATTATTTTAATTTTAATTAATTATGAGTGCAATGCAAAAGGGTGCGACATTACTAAATGACATGCAAACCGTAAAAAAATCAATAATATTAAGTAAAAGTGCGGCTGTGGTGAATTACGCACTATATGAGTTGTCGAACTTACCAGTTTGGCCGTATGCGAAAATGCATGCATTGTACCCTTGAAAAGCATTGTCCAGAATATCCATACCCAGACAATCAAACACAACTTCCTGAGATGCGAAATTCTCTTTTGTTGGATCAACAGAGCAAAAACAATGGTCAAAAGCAAAAGTTTTTAACGATTTTCTAAAAATAAAACAATTTTAAACAATTTAATTACTTATTTTTCTCCGTTGTTTTTTGATATTTTTTACCTTTCTAACTTATCTAATGTTGGTGGCTGATGTATTATGGTTTGTTCTTTTTCCATTTCAATTATACTTTGCGTTCCAAGTTCTTGTTCTGGAAAAATTACGTTTATTGAACACTTAGAAATATTATGTATTATTTAATAATATTTTCTTATACGTAATGAAGAGAAATTATTTTTTTAAATACTATATTTTAATGAACATTGATTTTTTCGAAGCAAGAATGTATATATTTGTATGTTTATTTGAGAAACAAAAACTCTTAATAAGAATATTTTATTCTTCAAAAATCGTTAAATAATTGAATGTTTTTTTTTAATTATAATTAATTAATATATATTTGTATGTTTATTTGAGAAACAAAAACTCTGAATAACAATATTTTATTCTTAAAAAATCGTTAAATAATTGAATGTTTTTTTTTAAATTATAATTAATTTTTACAGGTGTTCATTTTAAAATTACCTGTTCCATTATTATATATATTTACAGGTAAATAATAAAATATTTGGTTTAGCTAAATGTTATACTACCTGATACCTATTTTATTCATGAATAATTTTAAGGATATTTCTGCAATTGTTAGAAAGCATAAAATGTTAATCTAGGTAAGGTGATGTAAAAACTTATTAATATTAAGAAATATTTTTATACGATTTATCGCTTGGAAGCGAATTATTTTGCTGACATTTAATAATCTATAGGTACCTACAATGCGTGTATTGTATATAAAAATATTTATTTAATAAAAATACACACACTACTTATTGATTTAAATTTAGGCAGTAAATTGATAATACCGTGATCTTTTTTAAAATATTGATGTTCTAAATCAATTATTTTCTCAAAAAAAGAATCAAATAAAATACGAAAATGGGACAACGCGGCACCTATTTGACAATAGATAGTAAAACCATTGATTACTCTTCACTCAAAACAGTGCTGTCTCTCCAGTAATAGTTTATTTGGCACTAATACTAATGCAAATTGTTATATTGTGGACCTACACATACATAGGTATAAATGAATCATGATCGTAAACGAGTAAATAGGTGATTGTCTTGCCCGCATTGACTAGTTATTGTGTTGTATGTATTTATATGAGATGACAGTTACTGTAGCAGTGTGGTATCTAACTATACAAACAAAGGTTGATATATACAGTGTCGTAGTCACTAAAGGGCAATAATATGTATATTTAACAATAAGCTAGATGATAATTTAACGTTGACGTTGTTAGGTAGATAAATAGTTTTACATACCTCTGCGATTAAAAGGACGGAGCCTTACGGCCACTTTTATTTTGTCTGACGACATGTTTCCTTGTTTCTTATCAATTAAATCAAATTATTTATATGTACACTATTATCACACTTTCTTTGTATAAATAATCACGTTACTATCCATTCTCGATCATATTCACTAGATAGAATTTATCACAACACGAAAGTTGACTACTTTCGCCATATTCACCAATGCGATCATGATATTGGACATTGCGCCGTACACAACACTTTGGTCAATAGACTGCGCAAATTTCTCAAAACCATTTTCAATGTTATTTACCACACAGGCGACATCTGCTTACTTATTGCCCACACACAAGCTTATCAACGTAATCTACCCAAACCTTTATTTATTTATTTATTATGGGTATTAAAAGTATTTTTATTATTAAAATATATTTTCTTTCAAATTTGCTAGGTGGCGTCATCTAACGACAAGTTCTCCAACCGTGCCGAAAAAGTTGTCAGACCTTTACTGACAGATGGCGCAACTTGTTTCATTTTCTCAAATACTTTGGTAAGTATTTGCATTTTCCATATATATATATCTGGCATTTTCTCATATATTTCCACACATATACTGCTTATTTGTTGTATTTTGTTTTGAGGGGAAATTTATCGATTTGCCGTTTTATTTGCATGTGCATAGTCAGTTCATAAGTGGGGGATTTATACCATAGACATATTATGATACGAATTGTCAACTAAATAAAATTTATTTATTTTGAAAATGACTTCTCAAAAACACAAAACACACATGGAATCTCGCAAATCTTGACCCGTCCTAAAGGATTTGTATATGTGTGCAAGTAGTTTTCTATTTTTTTTAATATAACGGGGTAAATGTGTGTGTAATAAAATACAAAACATAATAATAATAATAATAATTTATTTTAAGGTTTTTAAAACAATTTTTATAATCTCAAACAAAATAGAATATTCTTAATTGAATAACATCTTTCTGAAATCTATACCCAACATGCATCACAATACTTTTAGTTTTTTTATTTACATATATTTGGCTTGAAAACGGTAGTTTTACATAAATGTACCTAGGTCTAATTTGAGCTAAAGGCACTTAAGAAAGAAAGGCACCAAAACAAACATTGTTTTGTTCTAAGTTAATAATTCATTTTCTACACTTAATATTTAATTATCGCTCTTATTTAACCATAACTTTAATGGTGATTAGGTACAACTGAAAAGTCTAGTTGTGTAGTGATTTTTAATGGGAATTTGAGCATTATTCAATATTAGGAGATAGTCTATGTCTTATGATTTGTACTATGTAGAAAAATTGTTGTTAAAAATGCTCGTTATCATGACTCTTATTCAGGAATGATATACAGGAACAAAGATAATGCAAAAACAGATTCCTCCCAATATTTTTCAATTATTTCCTCGAATATTTTACGACTATTAATACTGAATTTGCTTAGAAATATATTGCTTCTCAATATTTCCATTAAGTTTAAAAATATACATACTTACTTCAATGTAGGTAGGTATACAATATTGATACTTAATAATACCTTAAAATTGATAAAATTGTCTACAAAACGTTCCTTTGGTAACTACTTTCCATTCAACATGGCCAAGCTTGTGGATGGATGGTAGGTTGGATAGATGAATGGGTGAATGGTAGGACCAACAACTATCTTCTCGATGTGATGTGATGTGATTTGTATTATGCAATCATATCAATATCCAAGGTGTCCCCGTCGACATGGTCTGTCATATGACTGGTGGGTGTTGGAGTGGGCAGACGGGGTTCGCACAGAAGAGGATCCGAAGACGATGAGGAAGAGGACGCGTGGTGGCGGCTTGGAGAAGCCAGCAAATGATCGCCGGGTATCGTGTTCGGCGACGAAAGCATCGGGTCGCCGCCATTAACGCTGTAAACGAGATCATCATCATCCATGCCTTCTTCCATCGCGGACAGGCTTAACGTTGCGTCCGATATGACGTCAGGCATCTAAAAAAGCGTTATAAAATTATTGTTAGCTCAGTTGGGCCTGTTATTTGCGTTTCGCACCTTTCTGTGATCTGTCAGTTCAATGGATGGCAGTATGGCAGCTACGGACGTGATTGATGGCGCGACGTCGGCTTGGTGGTGATGATGATGATGATGGTGATGGTTATTATTGTTTTGGGTGGTGTAGGAAGTCAGTTCACCAACTCCAGAAGAGGATGGCGACAAAGAAGACGAGTTGTACGGGTTAGGGGAGTTGATGGTCATCGTGTGCCAATTGAAGTCAGATATAGGAAGTCCATGCGACTTGGCTTGCCGTTCAAGTTCCTAAAATTCGTTTATTTCCTTCACCTTAACTTATTTTTACCTATTTGGCTATAACAACTACAGTGCATTGAAACAGTTTTATTGGATTCAACTCGTACCTGTACTCTTAGTTGCAGCCTTCTATTAATGCTTTCCATTTGCTTTTGTCTAGCCTCTTGTTGCTTTAATCTTTGAACTTCGTTCTTCAAACATTTTATGTATTCGACTGAGGACCTGAGTATTGTGCCTTTGTTTGGTCGAACGTCTCGCACAATTTCATAATAGGGATCGTTATTTTTTGGCAATAATGTCCCCAGTTCTTTTATTCGATCATTTATATTAAATCGACGTCTCCGTTCAACTACCAAAAAATAATATTAATAACCTGTAAAACATGTCAAATTAAAGCTATGACTTACTCATATTATGATTATCCTTTTTTTGTCTATCCTTAGCAAGGGCATGTAATTCAGCCTCGCTAAGTAAATACGGTTCATTTTTTATGCTTAAGTCGTTTCCTGTAAGAGAATTGTCGGTTTTAAAGCCATCTGATGCTAACGAGCTGGATTCTAATGATAACAGATCATCTATGAGATCTTCGGCCTGAAAACAGAAAAATACATAAATTACATATTTTATGAAGTTTTTTATAATTAAGTGAATTTTGTTAAACTGATAAGTAGGTATACCTAATGTGGAAAAAGTCATATTCAATTTTCAAGGTCAAATAATTGTGTAAACATAATTGAAGATTATTTTCATAAATTACCAGACATAATTATAATTATACGTTTCCATAAAAAAGCTATTTTTGCTTCCTTTCAATTTTCAAATAAATAGGTGCATTATCACGCGTGTCGGTTTTTAATACATAGGTAATTAGTTGCTGCAGTTCATTTAGTCAATCTTGTTAAAAAAATTTAAAGTCTCTTCTAATTTTCCACATTTTTTCTTATTATTAGAAATAATATTTTTTTTCAGCAAAAATATTTAATTTCAATTTTTCGAAGAAAAGTCACTCCTCGTAATTTCTTTTGCTTGTTATATAAATACCATTTACGATGAGAAACTTCTATTTTGCCATACAGGGTGCTAAAAAAATACAATTGTAGTTTTTGCAAAATTAAAAATTGTTAAAAAAAGGTCTAATATGAAGAGCTTGTAAGGAGAAACCAAAAAGCCAAATTACGTTTTTTATGTGAGTTATTGTTACTAAGATATTTGTTATTAAAACAAAATCAATTCAGATCCTTACTTGAGTGGTCCTATTATTTTTTAGAAATTAACTTCTCATTTTGTGATTATAAATCAAGGTTGTTGCATTCAACTGACATGTCTACAATTATTTGTTAAAATTTGAAAACTAGTATCTTAAATTTTCAATATCAAATATCTTAGTATCAAAAACTCATATAAAAAAACTTCATTTGACTTTTTCTCCTTACCAGCTCTTTATAATAGCGCTTCAAAAAAAAATTTTTTAATTTTGAAAATCTGTATTTTTGCTTACCCGCTACAACACAATTGATGTTTCTCAACGCGAATCGTATTTATATAACAAGCAAAAGAAATTATGAAAAATGACTTCAAACATGTTACATTTTTTAATCCCAAACCCTTTTTAATAAAAATTAATCCTTATATACATAGTTACATCATAATTACAAATCAATTTTCAACCTATATAGTATACCCAAATAAGTGGAACAAACCAGTGGAAATATTATTTTAAAATAAAATAAAAATTTGCCTGCTTAAATTAGTGAAAACCGTTTTTAAATGAACAAATTATAAACAATTAGTACGTGAAGTTTATTAAAAAAATTATTGCTAGATATCAAAGTTATTGCTATAGCGATGCAAAAATAATAATTGCACAATTATTTTGATCTTCACGGTCAAGTATTACCTACAGAAACTTAGTTTTTAATTAAATTGAATTAATCAAAATTAATTTTATGTAAAGTAAATAGTATTATCTTGAAATATATACATATGTATATATACATAACTACTTTTTATGTTGACATTACGTTTTTTTAAATATCCGTTAGAGTTATTAAAATAATAAAAAACACAAAATTAAAAAGTTTCTTCGGTCTAAAACTGGGACTCCAAGGTTTTAGGACCTGGCCATATAATAATAATATTGCTTAATGATTTTTTGATTAGTGGTTACCATGTTTATTAGGATTTACTTACATACTTATAATTATTTATAAATTTATTTTTACATTAATTTAAATTAAAATTTTTTAACACCTTTAAATTGTTTAACCTACTTAATATATAACAAATTTATTATACACATTCAACTATTTCAAAACTAGTGCATTATACCTCTGTATGTAAATAATAAAGGTACCCATTAAAATTTCATATTATAAGTATAGGTACTGTTATTTTTTCAAATATTTAGTAGGTACGATATAACAAAAATTTTGATTATAGCTTATTAGGAATATATGATAATGAAACAAAATTACCTGTTTTTTTCCAGAAGAGGAAAATGTGAGCATTTGCATTTAGGTGGTTATGTATGTTTGTATGTGTTTATGTATGTATGTATGTTAATGTCCTTTTCTCATGCACGAGATAAATTATAGCCAAACTATAGCCTAATTTTTGTATAACTTCACAAACAGAAAAAATTAGGATTTTGACCAAAAAAGGTGTACCTGTACCTACATCGTTGCCAGTAGTAAATATTTAAAGAAAATAAACTAGCATGTTAAGAAAAATATTTCTTCACTGTAATAAATCAACAAGTATGTACATAATGATAATAATTAGATTAATTTATAATGTGTCTTATCGCAAAACTTAAATAAATGCTCCAACAATAAATTATTACATTATAAAATTTGTTTGCCAAATTACACATGTACATTGCAGAAAACAAGCACATAACAATTCTTTTTCTGCGATATAAACGAATAGTTGGTTAAGTGAAGGCTATTCCATATTTCATCGAATCATCTTAATCAGTATGAGCACGAAAGAAATGAGCGTAAACGAGTTTATTACATTTCACACGTGTGATGCAACGCAACTTTTTTGTTTTTTTATCTATCAGCTATCAAGCTGCATATACAGGGTGGCCCATCGCAAAGATGTATCACAACATATCCCTTTCCATTTGAATAAATAAGGTTAAGGGGTCGAAGTTACAGTGATGAAATTAATGTGTAAATATGTCCCCCTGAATGATTTTTTTTATTTATAGTTACATAAACGTAGATAGATAATGTATTTGTACCTTTTATTATTGTGCTGATTGGTAGCTGTAGTAGTGGTAGTGCTAAACACGTTTTTTCTCGATTTAAATATCAAAATACCGGTTTCTTTAGTAACCCAATTTCTGACGAAAATCTCGACTACATTAATTTGTGACGTAATGTAATTGGAAAACATCTCAAAATACTTTTTTCGTATTTGTATCTATACGTATGAAGTTTTGAGCGACAATAAGCTTAATATGGCCTAAATTCTTTGACTTTTTAAGGGCAAGGGTTTTAAAAAGCAACGTGTCAAGGTATTCTGGTTAGACAACAATTAATCACTGTTGTGCTTGTTCTGTTCTAAATTAAAGCAAATATTGTTTCTAATTTAATATTATATATTTACGTATGTACATATACATGCGTAGTTCATTTCATTAGTAAAAAATGCAGCTTAAACAATGTTATTGTTGTTACATTTTCCAAGAAGATACACAACGCAAACTTATTGCTTAAATAGAAGTAGGGAAGTATTGTGAACATAATTATTGCCATTTGTCCTTCACAATGTGTTAAATTGTTAATGAAATAGTGGTCTGGACTCAAAGACTTTTAATATCTTGGCTTAATTTAACTATTATAGGAATACTCAAATATGCCCATTGCCAGGATAGGTACGGGTATTATAAATCTAAAATAAAAATAATTTCTTTGAACTTGATGATATCCTGTATCTACGTGTGTATACACGTACATATGTACATGTCAAAATTTAAACGATAATTAACTGATTTATGAATAGAAAACAATGCAATACAAATAGGAATATACAATAATAATTTGTTTTTTACTATTAAATCCAAACCGATATCGTTATGTAACTAAATTTAATAATAACATCCTGTAAATAGCAAACACATAATTCTCACATATAAATTATTGTTTGAATGAATCTAATAATTACTGTGTGATTTTTCGTTTTGATGTAGGTAGCCTTGACCTATTCTAAGGACTTTTAAATAAATACAACAAAGTATTCAGATTTGAAGATAACGTTAACGTTAAGTTATTAACCTACATTATGCAAAAACCTGTTCAATTTTTAAGGGTGTCCAAATAAGAACTTTTATCTACTTCTATTGCATAATATTGTTTTTTTACGAATAATGGTAAACATTATAAATTCCCTGCCTAAAAACGTTGGTTGGGTAGGCATCAGCGATTTCAATATTCACTGTGATTTGAACCAATCGGGTTTTAAATTGGGAGAAGGCGACTATAATTACATTTAAAATTGGTGAAAAGTAAGGTTAACCTTTTGACAGATGTCAGATTTTGTTTATTTATTTTTGAAAATCATTGGATTATCTTTTTATTGGAGTATACTATTACACTCGAGATTATGCGCATTATTCACTCGGATGATAATAGCCTGCATTATCTATCTCATAATAATATACTATTAATTTAGAAACAACACAGTTTTTTTGAGTTATCAATATAGCTGCGCGTTCATTTGAGGAAATTTAAGAAGACGAATATGCCCGGCGAATTCGCCAAAATTGACAACATGGTCCTTGAATATAATTTTAGTATGTTTTCTCCAAGAAATACTATGGTTGTTACTATTATGTATTAGTGAAAATATTTGAACATTTGAAAATAATATACCGTTACATCTATATTATTATTAAATAGTTTTGACATTGACTATAATATCCTTGACAAATTGGATTTAGTATTTATTTATTTTTATCATTATGCAGAAGAATAATTTTATATAAGTATTAAAATTTGTTTAAACGATACATTATAATAATAATTATTAAAAGTAGAAATTGAGGTTATATAAAAATGACAGTAGCCGAATTTTCTTATTGGTCCAAACGGGTTTTTTACAGACTAGGAGGTAAAAAACCCAACCCGATTGGTCTAAATTATTTTTACAACCTAGGTGATAATCACTTTAGTAGTGCGTATTGACAATAGAAGATTTAAAGATAAGTGTATATTATGTATCAAGTTTTATAAATGCCATTTTAGTTACGAGTTTAATTAAGTACAAGCGAAGCTTGCGCGCGAGTGTTTAATAAAACAAGTTGCACACTATACTTATATACGACGAACACAAAAGAGAATTTAAAGCCAATTTTATTTGTCAACTTTCACCCGAATTCAACCTCACTTTCTCCCAATTTATAATAAAGCTAACTTCAGCCCGTGACTAAAAAGTTACGGGCTGAAGTAAGCTTTATTAAAAGTGAGGTTAAATCCGTTGACATTTGACAGATGTTAATTGTTTAACAAATAAAATTGGCTTTAAATTTTTCTTTGCGTTCGTCGTAAATAAAGTAAAGTATGCATCTCGTTTTATAAACTCGT